GACAACGGCGGTAAGAGTAGTTGTTAGTTAGTAGCGGTAAAGTAGCGGTTCGCCGCGCAGCCGCGTCGACGAATACGAGTGGCCTGCCTGCCCGTACCGTAGCTGGCCGTGCTTGCCGTGGCTGTCTGGCTGGCTGGCTGGCTAGGTCGGCCGTCGCTCGTCTCCAGAGAAAGTGATGATGGGGCTAGTAGAGTGGGTTGATAGATTTGGCACGGACGTTGATGGTGGCGGTTGACAGAACACATACGAACTGAACTACTACAGTGCTATGACAGCAGTGTATTCTCGGCGTGTGTGTGTATTTCTCGGCGTGTGTGCATCGCTCGTGTGTGTAGCCCAGAACCTGTATCGGGGTATGATGTGGTATGCATACATGCGTACACGAATAGCAACACGATCTGTCCTGTTTCTGTGAGTAGGGTACCTACATCCGGTACATACCAAGCATCATGATAGATGCATAGATGCATACAACAACAACAGACAGTTAACATCGATTGCATACTGCATACATACTGTACACTATATACCCGCAATACTCTACATGCAATACATGCACACACACACATAACGCACATACACCTGCATACGCACAAGGCGGGAGAGAAACCAACTTAACCTTGACTTTGACGAGGGAGGGGGGAAAACAACAAAAATCCAAGTAGCCAAGCAACCATGCAAGCTGAACCTCGCCCTACCGATCGACGCTTGTCCCGCCCCACTCCCGATCTCGCCCCATCGCTGATCGCCCATCAACATTGTCGATTGCCGATTGGCCAATCACCGCGCTGGACAGGGGAGGGATAATCGATGGTGTGCGTGTGCGCGTAGTAGTGTGTGTGTGGGGGAACGGAGGAGAGAAGACCGTATGGATGTGAGTGAATCGTCAACTTTCAGTAGTTTTGTTAGTGGGCAATTGAGGGAGGTTAGTTTAGTTTTCTTCAGTAGTGTTGGGAGAGAAAGTGGTGCGAGAATAATACAATATCTCCGTGGACAATTGTGTGTGTGTGTGTACTGTACGAGTGTGGGAAATGTCTCGGTTGAAGTTTGCGATCGATGCGCAGGCGAGGTGTGAGTGTTTCACTTGGAAGAGGTGGCGGGGAGAACTGTACTGTACCATCATAGTACGGTACCTCGGAGAGAGCTGGGGCGAGTAAGGCCGAGAGTGTAAGTTAGGTAGGAGAAGAGAAATGAGGAGGGGTTTTCTTTTGTTTTCGAAATATGGTGCGATTGTTAAGCGGGAGGGAGTACGGGGAATCGTGGAAGAAGAAGAGAGTTGAAAGAGAAATGACAACAACGGCCGGGTCGGGGTGGGTGGTCGGTAGTGGTCGGGAGTGATCGGGCCTTTGATAACCCGGGGGAGTGGGTGAAAGGCAATGCAATGCAATGCAGCAGGGAGGGAAATGAAGGGAAGGGAAGGGAAGGGAAGGATGAAAGGAATGAAGGGAAAGGGACCGACCGAGGAGGAGATAGATCAAAGAGAGTTGGACTTGGGGTTGGACTTGGGGTTGGACTTGGAGACGGAGATGGATGGTAGACGGTAGACGGTAGACGGTAGACGGTTGACGGTTAACGGGTGTATGTGTATGTGTATCGGGCGGCAGTAACGCGGTTTACGGGAGTTACGCGGTACAATGTGGGTATCCGAGGAGGAAGGAGCGGGAGGGGGAGGAGATAGAAGCGGACGAGATACAGGCACTACAGTAGAAAGATGCAGACGAGATACAGGCACTACATATAGAATCTGTTGAATCTGTAGAATAGACGCATGGAGATGGGCTGTGCACTTCAATAATAGAATGATACAATGATGATAATGGCACAGTCAATCCATTCACCCCTCACTCTCACTCTATCTCTAATCTGTCTCCCCCTCTATCGTAATCTCTCTACTGTTCCCCTCTATCCCCTCCCTCTCACCCCCATTCCCCTTCCTCTTCTCCCCTCTCTCCCCCACCACACCCACACTCACCCACACTCACGCATACACATACCACATACAGTACACACACACCCTCTCCACCCCTCCTCCCAATCCCAACAGCTCGGATGGCATCCACCCATCACCTCACAATAGTTACATAACCCTCACATCCCCACACATCACCACACACACACACACACATATACACTTACACGGCCACCACGAAAAAAAAAAACGCGATACGTCACCCCTCCCACACCCACCCCACCAGCAACTGAGACACACCTCTCCCCAACAACCACCTAACAACCACCCAACAACCACCACAGCCACCGCCCAGTTCACCACACACTTCACCACACGAATTCCTACGTGGGTATAATCCAGTCCCAGAAGCGAGAATCCATCACGCACACCACCCACCACCAGAGTCTCACATTCCAGCCTCTCCCACGATGCACACGAGACCACCTACCATCGTCCACTACCCGTCTCCCATCCACTCCACACCACCGACAGTCGGTTTTTTTTTGTCAGTCCCTACTACCAATCCATCACACTTCCAACAGGATACCAGCACATGCACACACACCTCTCCCTTCCACCCTCCCACAATCCCATAACAACATACCAAAAAAAGAGGTGTAATCCCCATACCCCCCCCCTCCCCGACACCGACGAGATGGGATGACTCGATTCGGGCGGGTGCCACAAAACCAACCACCACCCTGCTGTGCGAGGCGAAGTTCCCAGGACGGCTGTGAGCAGGGCTGTGAGAGGTGTAAGCAACGGACTGTGAGAGGCGTAAGCAACGAGAGCGGTTTGGTTTAGGTATGTAGGTGCGACTATAGGACAGACAGGTAGGTGTGGTATGTGGGGACTGGTGGGGTGTGGGGCGGGGTTGGGTTGGGAGGCTGGGAGTGGATGAGTGGGTGGGAGAGGAGGAGGAGGAGGAGGGGAGGCTGGGGGGGAGGAGTGAGGTAGGTTAGTGGGTACTTGGGAGTGAGGTAGGTGAGTGGAGTGGAGTGGGTAGCTGGGAATCGCGGAATGGGAGAGGGAGAGGGCGGAATGGTGTTGGGTGATGGGATTGGCTGGGATGGTGGGATGCAGTGAAATCGCCGAGGAGGTAGAATACTAGATTATAAGATGGATGGATGAATGGATACTGGAGTATAGGGATGGGTAAGCAAGATGGATAGATCTCAATCTCGGGGACACACATATGTAAGGGAATGCTGCACATGAGGGCGGGAAGGGGAAGGGTGCGGCGGGAGGGTAGGAGAGGGCACGTGAAGGGAACGAGAAGGGGTGTGTGGAATGAAGATCTTGGGATGGGAGGAATGGGAGGAATGGAGAGGAGGGGATGGGATGGATGGATGGATGGGCACGTGAATAGGTGAGGAGGGATGGAGGAGAGGGACACGTGAAGCTGAGTGGGTGAATAGAAAGTGGTGTCCATAGCGACGATTACGAGACGAGAAGAGATAGTTGGGACACGTCAATGGAGAACGCGTAAGGTGAGAGTGGTGTCCATGGCAATAGGATGGGGTTGTTCACGTGAATGGAGGAGGTTGGTTCACGTGAAGGGAAAGAAGGAGGGGGGCACGTGAAGATGAGTGGTGGTGTCCATGGCGACGATACGATGGCCATGTTATCGATAATGCATCGAGGAGGGGAGTGGAGTGTGGGTGTGGATGGTTTGTGTGGACGACTCTCAAGTTGCCAGTATTCCCCAGACACACACATATCCACACATACACGCACCCACTGCAGCCCTACAGCCCTACAGCCCTACAGCCCACAGCCCACAGCCCACAGCTCCCCCGCCATCTCTATTTCATGGAGAGTCAAGACTACCACACTCTATGTGAGATAGACTATGTGGGAAAGACAATACACACATACTTTATTTGGGAGACATGGCAGGTCTTGACATGGGAGGTTTTTCAGTGGAGTATCTCAGTATACAGTTCTATTATGTGGGGAAAAAGAGGCAGCCACACTCTATCCCCAGAGACAACACACACACCTTTATTTGGGAGGCAGGGGAGTAGAGTGTTTCTCTATGCCATATGCCTCTCTCTATGCCATTTTCTATTAGGAGAGCTAGTCCATTGTGGAAGGAGAGAGGCAGCCACACTCTATCTGAGAGACAATACAAACACCTTTATTTGGGAGGCATGGCAAGTCTTGCTGTAAAGTAATATCTCAGTATGCCACTTTTTACTGAAAGAACTAGCCATTCCGTGGGGAAAAAAGACAGCCACACTCTATCACTAGAGACAACAGAGACAATACACACACCTTATCCAAGAGAAACGACACCAACAGAAACAATTCTCTACTCGGTAGAGACACAACACACTTTACCTCAAGACACACAATCGTCATACCTCCTTCCCCGCAGATCGACGCTATCGATCTCCAGATCACCGCCGTCCGTGCCTAAACGACACCTTCGCTGCGTGGCCGCCACAAACTCCACCCATCACCGCTTAAGACACACATCCACACACGCCATACACCTCCAAGACATCCACGCACCATCGGTCGACTCGCCAACTATCCCCCCCCTGGCCAGGCAACAATCGCCCTAATCGATAGGCCGGCAATCACCCCTCTATCAGCCATCTCTACCCCACTCACCCCTCCCTCCTCCAGCCTCCTCCCACTATCCTCCCACTATCACTCCCACTATCGCCGCACTATCGATAATCGCGTTTCTATATATACACCCCACACTCACACGAAACAGCGGGACGGACGGGCGATCGATCGGCTTTGCATGTGCATGTAGCGTAGTGTATAGTGCGATACGATGCATGGCATGCATGACATAACGCCTCATTCCTTCCTTCTTCCCTGTCGACGGGATGGATGTTCGTCGTCTACGTCAGCTCAGCCGTGGAGGGGCGTGTGTGTGGGGTAGCGTAGTCGCGTTGCGTGCTGCATGGATAGCGTTGGCGTATCTTATCGGACGCGCCGAGAGGGGTAGGTAGAGGGGGCTGGGGCTGGTTGGGCTGAGGAGTGGGTTGGCGGGAGGGAAAGTGGGAATTGGCGCGGGTAGGCGGGATGGGGGAAGTTGGCTAAAAGATGGTGGAAGCTGGCTACGAGATGGAGTAAGTTGGATAGTTAGTACCTACCAGCTCCCCAAACGAACAACCCGCAGCGGAGCGGCTGAGTGGGAAACTCGCCCCCATTGTGCTAATCTTAGTTGCATATACGACGCTCGACAGGCGCTGAACGCGGGTGAGCTAATCTTGGTCTACGCGACTACGCGAGGGAGGCTGAATAGCAAATATCCCCCCGGACAAAGGCCGAAGACGGGCGGGTGGTGGGTAGATGAGCTAACCTTGGATCCACGACGGCGGCGGCTTGGACGGAGGCTAGAGGGATAAAGCTTTGTCATGCATGGCCTCGAAATAGACTGGACAATGGCTGGCTGAACACGGATGAAGTGACTGTAGTATCTGTAAGGGCCTGGCTGGCTGTATGTACAGATGATGAGAGATGGAAATAGAATACTCAGATGAGCTAACTGCGTTATTTGTAAGGGGCTCTATGTACAGCTGGGGTATGGAAATAGAATATCCAGTGAGCTAATCCTTCTTCTTCCTAAGGCGGCATCTAGAGAGGCTAGATAGACGGATGCCGGACATGGATGGGCTAATTTTTGGTCCGCGACGTAGAGATGATGGCGCCGGGAAATAGCCTCCTTATAGTCCGTAGACTACCCTTTTACGGGAGAGCTACTCTGATCTACAGGAGACTACATCTATGAAGGCTGCAGAAAACCCTCGTACCCTCCTTGAAAATGACTGAACGCAGAAGCGAGATTAATCTGATATCTCCAGGGCCGTATACTAGAAATACCAAAGTCCACATGATATACCCCTCAACTCCATAAAATTCCATCTACAGATGCTGCATAAACCCTTACCTACATACCCTCCAAATTTCCGAACGCAGAAGTATTTAATCCGATACCCCCAGGGCCGGCTATACCTAGGGACCGCCGTACGTATATGGGGAGGTTGGGGATATTCGCCTCCCCTAAACGCCGGACGCGGAAAGGCTCATCTGATATATGCGCAGCCGCATAGACTGATACTGCATAAAGCCTTGATACTTCCCCCGAGTTGGACTGGGAGGTGCTGAACACGGTGTGAGTCTTGCGGCGGCAGAGGCGGAGGCTACTTGAGTTAGGGATTTTCGTGGACGGTGGCTGAACACGGATGACGTTGGTGGGATCGAGGTGGCGTCAACTACATGATGATTTGATGGAGGCTAGATGGAGGGCTACGATGATGAGCTAATCAGGTACAGGTCGCAGACACCTCTATCTATCGCCGGACTATACCCAAAGACGGGTAAAGCAATGTCCTACCCCTCTATCGATCCGCGAGCCGGCATCGACGGGGCCTTGATATCGCCTCCCAGGAACGCTGAACGCAGCTGCGCTACTCCCAACTCACTCAATCTATCTTCACCTCATCCCGACTCTATACGGAACTACGCAGACGCCGGTGAGGGGATAATGGACGCCGCTGATATAGTTATCCGATCTGGCCGATCCGCCATCCGCCACTCAACCCACGGCACTATCAACGGACACTACGTTCCCTCCATCATCACCGGCAGCCAACCCGAAGCGGGAGTCGTCCTCGCCCCCTCTCCCATCATCAGATCACCGATCTTATCTCCCTCATCTCCGGTGCCTATCCCAAATCGAGAATCTCTTCCCTCCCCCCGCGATCTCTTATGTCTCCTCACCATCGGCGATCGATCTATCCAAGGTGAATTTTCTGGATGCCGCACATCGGTAACTATCCTCCTCTTTCCCGTATCTCCCTGGAGCTACAGCGGATAGTGGCGGGGTATCAGGGGGATAGTGGCAATTACTCATGCAACCGCGTAAGGTAAGGGGTGGTTCTATTTTTATGAAGGGGAGAGACAGATGACGACGCGGTGGAGGGGAATGGGGGAAGTGCGGGTGAGGATGCGAGGGGGTGACGTGGTGGATAGGGTGGGCTTTGATGTGAGGGGAGGAAAGGGGGTAGGGAAAAGGGGTGGGATGATGGATGTTGTCTTCTGTGGTGTGAGTGAGTAAAAAGGGGTGAGCTCTGAATGGTGTTCTTTGTGATGCGAGGGAAATAGGGGCGGGGGAGCAGGTGTTCTTGTGAGGTTGGGTTGGTTTTTCCTCCCTGCTGGTTCTCTGGCTGGCTGGGTGAGTAGAGATTACTCAGGTTTGCTTGTGCCGTCATTTTGCACCCGCGCTGCCTTCCTGGTTGCGCAGCTGTGGATTTCTCTCTTATGTTGTGATATTGATATTGCACCAGCCAGCACTGGATTTCTCACTTATGCTTTTGCTTTATTCCATACCTCATCTCCACATTACTTTCTTGGCTGGCTGTCGGTCCGTGAATTCCTTGCTTGTGCTTGAGCTCTTCCCATCGCATTCTTATTGTCTGTTTGGCCAGCTGATGTGATTTTCTCACTTGTCTGTGCTCCTGAAATTGCGTGGCTAGCTTGCTATGGATTTCCCACGAATCCTTTGATATTGATATTGCATCCTTACAAAAGAGCCACTCCCAACGGAGGAAAATATCGAGGTTATAAGGCCGATGATATTGTTCTTAACATCCATTTCTGGGGTCATCAGGGCATCGTAGAAGATGACATGGCAGAGGTCAAGCCTATCAGGGAGGCCATTGGCGGATGAGAGGATTACAAAGAGTATAGTCGCGGATATCCCATCTCACTATCTTACTGTCGTCCTCGCGCTGTTCTCACCATGGAGCTGTTTCTTACCGTCGCGCTGTTAGCTGTCACCATTCAGACCCTGCCGATGACGAGGCCTCGTCATGCCATCCCACGGTTAGCCGTAGCCAAATTGAGACGCATAGTATAGCTGTCTCAGATGACCACGATGCGTGTAAGCATACGGCGGAGCACAATGTCGAAGGTATCCAGCAGTCTTCCCAAATGCTTCACCCTTCTTCATCCTTGGGGCAACCACGATGTCGTGTGTCGCCGCCCGATGCTCAAGCAGAGCTATGCGGATTCTAGACTCCTCAAGTTGCCAGCCTAAATCTTCTGAGTCACGGAGGCCTTCGAGCTTTGAGCGTAATTAATCGCGCTGTTGTCACGCCAGTATTGCTGCACAACCTAGAGATCTCCTGTGTGAGTTACTCCATAAACTCCGCAGCTTCCTCATTTTTTCCGCAGTATTCCATTAGCAATTTTCTTGAGGTACATCTTAGTCTCTACAAGTAGTTTCCTGAACGTGTCAGATACCCCCTTTCTCGCTCCTTTCCTTACCCCTTACCCCTTTCCCCGCCCCCTTCCTCCCCCTTTTCTTCCTCTTTGTCTTCTACTTTGTCTTCTACTTTTTTCTCGCCTTTTCTCATCCATTTTTTCCATTCTCCTTTCCTCGCTTCGCCGCAGAGCAAGAACAAGCAGCGCTGAGAAACTTGAAGAGTATGATAGGTACTGGTTGTCCAATAAGCTCCTGCTGTAAATAAGAGGCCGCAAAGAGGATAACAGCGGGCGTCTCATCTCAACCTCTTACTATCGCCATTCTACTGTTCTCACCGTTGCATTGTTCTTACCGTTTACTTACCTGTCGACACTCTGTTGTCACCACGATGGTGTTGTCTGTCACTGCAGAATCTAGGACTACCTCCGAAATCTTCTCCGTGTACGTCGTGAATCGAAGGGCTCGATGACGACCGTCTTTCCGTGGGTTTGCCCCGTTGCAGCTGCAATTACCGCTGCAATCCATAGATTTTTTTTAGCTCTGGGCGGGTTGTCGGTTGGGAGACACCAGGCTCCTATCGATGGGAGAGAGGCGGCTTCCTTTTCAACAAGAAGTGACTCTGAGGTAATCCCCCGTAGCCATGCTAATGCGTGGGGCCATGATCCGATAACAGCCGGGAGGTAGTATGATGCCCGGAGACACGGTGGAACTTCTCAATATCCTCCTCCTTAGAATCATACTCGTTGATGTCATCTTTAGACGTATCTCCTTCGTCTCCCCTGTCCTCCCACCAGCACAGGACAGGCAAGATATAGATAGTAATTATCCAAAAAGGGCCTATCATATGCAAGCTTCACATCTCAGTTCCCCGAGGAGAATCCGAACGCCTAAACGAGGCCCAAAAGTGTGATATTGTATCAAGATGCGGGATGTGATTTCTATATCGTACTATACACTAAAATGCCTCGCTCATCTATCCCACATATCTTATCCCCGTATCATACACCATCCCACCCCCTTTCCCCCACTTCCCCCCTCACGAACCCCTCTACCCCCTCAACCCAGGCATAAACGCCATCCCCCCCCCCTGCCCCCCCCCCTCCGCCCTCCTCGACCAAACATGCTCCCTCAACCTCTCCAAAATCTCACTTCCCTCCCACCTCCCGGGCACCGGTCGGTACGCAGGCCTATAAGTCCCCAGCGTCTGCGCCCACTCCCCCTTCGCCGGCTCCACAATCTTCCCCCCCTTCTCATCCACCGGCGCCTTGCCAGGTGTAGGAGTAGATGTGGATCCGGGCTCGTCGGGTTGCGTGGCCCAGTAGTAGATGTCCCAGTCGTTCTCGTCGAGGAGGCGGTCGTAGGCGGTCATTTGGGCGTGGGTCATGGTGGGGAGGTGGGCGTCGGCGAAGGTGGAGAGGAGGAGGTCGGCTTCGCGGATGCCGCGTTTGCGGGATTGGTCTGTGGGGTGGGGGGTTAGCTGTGTTTTTACTCATGATGTGAAGAGAGGGTCGAAAAATGGAGCTGTGCTGTGTTCTGGGTGGGGTGGTAAGAGGACGCTCCCCCTCCTTTGGGTCAAGGTCATCGCGGACAACCCGTTCCCCAAATCCAGCACACCCACACCCACCCCTATCTCCCCTCTCCAACCCTCACCCCCAAAGAAAGATCAAAACTCACAAACAAGCCTAGCCCTCATAGTCCCCTCATCCTCCCCAACCCTAACAATCGGCGCCATCGCCCCCTCCGCACCCTCCAGCTCCCCAACCCCCAACTCCCCCTCATTCTTCTTCCCATTCACCAACCCCCCCATTCTCCTCGCCGAGACGCAGAACGTCCGCGCACAGCTGATAGTCGCCAGACGCGCGAATCGCGGCGCAGACGTGCGGAGACATGGGTTGGAGGAGGAGCGCAGGGCGCGGAGGAGGGAGGTGCTTGCGCGTGGGGCGGCCATTGTGTTTGTGGTGTTTGGGGGGTCGATTCGTGGTCGGACTTCTCGTTACTCTGTCAATTCGTTCGTTCGTATATCCCTTCTCACTGCCTTCAATCGTATAATTTGCGCGTATAGTACGGAGCCGTCACGTCCCGATATGCTTGCTTACCAAAGCTCTACACTGGGAGACGCGGATATAAAAGTCCAGCCGCCGGGCTAGCCTCGGCTCTTGACCGTGACGCTAGTATGTATACAGTTTAGCGCGCTTAAGCTCTAGAGTTATTCCCAACATCAACGAACGAGTCGCCGTGGGAAAAAAAGAAGCCACCATCTTTCCCAATGTTTCCACATATGCGACAGCTTAGCTTTGTATGGTGTACTCCGTAGATAGCAGCTGCGCGCCTAAGAGTTAACGAAGAATCATTTTTTATAGCTAATAAGGCTAAGTTTAATTGAGTATCATTATTATTTTTGAGGCATGTTGGGCGACGGAGAAAACGAGGTTGGAAGGTGGAAGATGGTAAAATATGGTGGGGGCGGTGCGTTCGCTATGCTGGAGCTTTCGCCATGCATGTACGTTACTAGTTAAAGACTTGAAGTTACTAACTACCCGTAACGCTGCAGATTTATCTTCTCTTGTCTTATAAAACATCAACACAATGTTCACTATCCTCATAATGTGCCCTTAAGTTGTCCGACTTCAGCAGAGCTAATCGAGACCTAAGTTGGGATATTCACCACACCAGTAGCAACAAAGTTGCATGGAGCACTTGCTGAGTTCATTAGTCCGCCATTAGAAACCATCAACCTGTTTTGATTATCTGAACTAATAATCGACAATTGGCGTGAGTGAGATGTCCACTGGCCAATGTCAACTAGCTTGAACCCAGTTGTACCAGCAGAGTCCTCATTGATGAAGAGTTGTTCTCTACTGGCTCCACTAACCATGATAAGGCCCGACCCATCAGTTCGCTCTGGGTGCGGAGTCCAGATAACATATGGTGCAGAGTAGAGATCGGTACGTGCAGTGTTGTTAGCAATGACGGGGTTTCCAGTCGATGCGCCAAAGCTGTAAGGTGATGTAGCCACTTTGTAGTACACCTGACAAGATGGCGAACCACAGTATTCGTAAACCATGATATATCTCCCAGTGTTTCCAATACGTGCTACGATAGCCATGCCGGGACGCGCACTAAAGTCGGGATACGTGACATCGTTGACAGGAGCAGTCCAGGTTCGCAAGTTTGTGCTTGTGACGTGAACGAGTTTCTGTGCGTGTGCTGGGTCACGTTGGTCGGAGTAGTAGACCACCATGGTGTTGCCATCAAGCAGTAGAAAAGGTTCCCATATGGCATCGTTACCGTTGCTAACAGTCTCAGGCCCAGCGCCATATGCTATGTGGCTCACAAAGGTCCAGCTAACGCCATTATTCGTGCTTGCATAAAGATCGATATAGGCTTCGCTGAGGTCAGAGGGAACAGAGGCACCCGCAGCAAGAATCGTGCCCGCTGGGAAGCCTGCGAATTCAGTTTTCAGGAGGTGAAGATGTGGCTGATAGCGCAGGCCCCACCCGTTCACAGTATCCCTGATTACCGAGTACGAACTCCAAGTTGCACCACCATTCGTAGAACGGTAGATTGGGAACCAGGCTTTGGTTTGTGGCTCAGGAGCGTAGTTCTCCCAGGTCATGAGAAGAGACCAGTCTGGCAGCTGCAGTGAGCGGGCATAAATCGTACGCCAACTGGTATAATCAGAACCAGGCTGGAAGACAAGATTGTTGGAAAAGGTGGACCATGCGGCTGGAACAGGATTTGGCTGAACGCATGCTTGAACTCCCAGCAGGAACTGAGCTGCCGCAAGAGCTCTGAGGAGCAACATGGTGATATGATGAAATAAGGAGTCAAGTGGACGAAGTAAGTTAAGCTTTGATCAGATGAAGCCTGAAAGTTTCGGATATTTGAACTGGCTAGAGAAAGCGAGAATTCATATGATCCCTAGCCTTCTTATATACCTAAGAGATACGTCAGTATTGGACATCAACGATCAGTTACCAAACTCGCTTCCTGTACCTTTTATTGACTCTAATCAAAGCTCAGTTAAACAGACCCCCCATGGGGAAAAGGCGTGGCAGTATGTGGGGATGTGATCCTAGTTGCCTTCCACGTGGAATTTGAGCCATTAACCGAACCGTAATGCCGGCACCCAGAAGAGGGTTAAAGCCGATGGTATCTGGGTTGCGGAGAAAGCGGAAAAAGAACAAGGTCCAGCTTTATCACTGACGTTCGTTCCTAAGTATACGGCGTGAATGTTTGTTAAGTTGGAAGCAATTGAGCGCAAAAGTTGAATGGGAGGTCGGCCATTTCGGTTGTTATTGGGGTATTCCTCTCTCTGATCGACTATCCCATCGGAGTTTTAGCCAATCATCGCTCGCTTAGTCCGCAGACGGGGGTGCTTAATGAGTGTCCATGCTGTGGCAAAGGGCAGATATGATTTGCTGGTCAGTTTCCTGTTCGAGAGACCGTGTTGTAGTGGGGTTCTAGAAAGTGCGTTGTTACTACGGTATGCCTCTCTCTGATCGACTATCCCGTCGGAATTTTAGCCAATCATTGCTGGCTTAGTCCGCAGAAGGGGGGTGCTACCCCATTAAGATAGGAACAAAAATAAAAATAAACCCCATGATCAACACTTCTGTTTACTCAATATTTGTTTCTGGAACCCCCACTCTGCGCTTACAACAGGGTCTCGAACATGAAACTAACCAGCAATCATATTTGCCCTTTGCCACAGCATGGACACTCATCAAGCATCAAGTCCGTCCGCGGAACCGGGATAGTCTATCTCCCCCGTAACACACTTTCTTTTACTCAGGATTCCTTGCTTCCCAGAGGGAGACTTTCTTCCCTCCCACATCATTCCCACCATCTCTACGCCGGGTCGTCGATGTGTATACTACTGAGACCTTGAAGTCGAACATTTCACAAGCTACCAAACTCACCATCGCATTCTCCTGGATTTTTCAAAGATGCAATTGGCAATTCCATCCCTCCTAGACTCGCCGTCTGGGAAAGAGCTACTGGTCAATGGACGGCCCTTCCTCATTCGCGGCGCTGAGTTGCAGAACTCGTCCATGACCTCAGCTGATTACATGGAAGATGTCTGGCCAAAGCTTGCAGCGGCCAGTATAAACACCGTCTTAGGCTGTGTGTCGTGGGAAATGATTGAGCCTAAGGAGGGGATATTTGTATTTAATGAGCTAGACAGCGTAATCGCGGGTGCGAGAAGACACGGCCTACACCTCATTCTTTTATGGTTTGGATCGTTTAAAAATGGTCAGTTATACCCATGTTCCTCTCAACTAAAATATTTCAATTCAATCTAATGACGACGACATCAGGTCTTTCCACATACGCTCCTGGGTGGGTTAAGAGAGACATGAAGCGCTTTCCCCGCGCGAAGTTGCGGAAAGTTGGAGGGGTGTTGCACGTCGCAGACGTCCTCTCGATCTTTCATGCCCAAACTTGGAAGGCTGATGCGCGAGCTTTTAAAAGCCTCATGCAGCATTTAAAAGAATTCGACCAGAATCATTCTACCGTGATTATGGTTCAGGTTGAGAATGAAGTTGGCATTCTCGGAGATTCGCGAGACTCGTCCAGTGCGGCAGACTATTGCTTTCGATCCCCAGTTCCGCAGCAGCTCATCGATGCCCTTAATACGAACTGGGACACCTTACACCCCAAGCTCAGAGAAAATCTACAAGACTTCAAATCATTGTCTCGCAAAGGCAGTAACAAATCCTGGGAGTCGGTTTTCGGTCAGAGCAATCAGACTGATGAAATATTCATGGCGTACCACTACGCGCTATACCTCGAAGAGGTCGCAGCTGCAGGCAAACATGCTTATCCCATTCCTCTTTTTACGAATGTCTGGCAGAGCTACGTCGGGGAAGATACTGATAATGAATTTCCTGCCATAGTAGGTGGCGGAGGACATCCGGGGGACTACCCCTCTGGCGGTGGAGTTATCAATGTCTTAGACATCTGGCAGTTTTTCGCGCCGACATTGGACTTTGTCGCTCCGGATATTTATTTGAATGATTATGCCTCTTCTTGCGCGAAATATCGACACCGTAACCAGCCACTCTTCATTCCCGAGCAGCGTCGTGACGAGTATGGGGCACGTCGAATCTGGATTGCTTATGGCAACTACCAATGTATAGGGACAGCCCCATTTGGCATAGATACGCTCAAAGTCGATGAAAACCCTTTCAAGAAGCATTACGGCCTACTTGCCAAGGTATCATTCCACGTTTTGGCAGCACAGCGCAAACCTGGCACTAGTATTGGCTTCTGCTTCGACGAGCCTGATCGTACTGGCAAGAGCCTACCCGTTGTCAGTGTTGTGTTCGGTATGTGGAAGCTTGAAATTGAGAGATCCTTTGTGTTTGGGAAAGCAGGCCCGGGCTTTGGCATGGTCATTCATCTAGAAGCCGCACGCTTTCTGCTCATTGGTGAAGGCTTTCAGGTCAAGTTCTCTTCCACAGACCCAGCGGTGGTATTCGTAGGACTGCTCAATTTCGTTGAGAAGGAGGTCGTTAACGAAACGACGGGAGAGATGCGTTCGAGGAGGGCTTTTGGCGGTGATGAGACCAGAAGTGGAGCGGCAGCGGTAATGCCTGGAGAGGATCCTGATTACGGAGACTTTCCTATTTCTATTACTATCCCCGCAAAGACGAGGATTGCACAGTGTGAAGTTTATGCTCTCAAAGACGAGGTTGTTGGTGTGGAGGAGTCATTTATGAATTGAAGGCGAGCTCTTACTTCTTTGTTTCCTTACTGTTCGTTACGAGTCGATATTAGGGTAGCATTTCGAGATAAATAAGGACCTATGACTTGTAGAGGATTTTGGACAGCGTATAGTAATTTGCTAGGTTCTAAAAAAGCTGTTCTGTATCACCAAGTAATAGTCCAATGCTGTTCGATATAACCCTCCATACATTAAATAAGTAGCTCTGCATCAAACGTAGTTAAAACGCATCTAGCTTACGGATGTAAGTGTTAGTCTCTGTTAAATAGAACCAATGCTACTAAATTAGAAAACTTTATTAAATTGTTAGAAATCACTAAAATCACAGCTTCTTTAGCCTCAGTTGATTTATATTACCTAACTAGGAGTTATAGTAGACTATAGTAAGCACTAGATTAGTCTGCATATGCTCTATTACTAATCTACTCTAGTATTACTTAGCAAGGCCGAATGAGGTAGTGTTAAGCCGAAGGCTGTCGAAAACTGCTGAATCGCTCTAGTTAGCTGATCGACGCTAACAGGGACATATTCTCCTGTTTAAGTTAGTAGGTACGAGTTACACCAATCACATATATAGCACGCATATCACGAGTTTCTCTAGCCTAACACATCCTCTTTAGGTGTGATGGCACTAAACCCCGCAGTTTAGTTGCACACTTGTAATTCTGGCCTGTGCGCCTAACATTACGCTAAATGCTGTTGCCAGTTTCCTGCAGTTTACAAACCTATTACCGTCTAGAAATTCATAAACTACCCACGAATACCCCCCAAATGCGTAAGAAATGGCGGGTTGGAGAGCATGTAAACAATGTCGCTTTGCAAAACGGAAATGCTCCCGCGTTGACATCAATAAACCGTGCGCACAATGTCGAAAGAGACAAGTTCCTTGTTCCAAGGGCATGAAAATGACTCGAGATGCAGACTTGTTACCTAGCCGGGGCCAAGACGGTCACTCGCCAACGCAGGACAGTTTCGACCTCCCACAAGAAGTCATTGTCGGGCTCGTTGAGCATTACATCAATAAGCTCCATGACAGGCCGCATAGCCTCTTCCATCTACCCACGCTGCGGAAGCAGGTCCAAAACAGAGAAGTCAACAAAGCACTGCTTCTTGCGATTTGCAGCTTAGGCTCGAGATTTTCCGCAGATCCTGAGATTTGCTTGCTCGAGGAGCAATTGACGGCTGAATCGAAACGTCTGATCCTAGCTGACTTGGAGAATATCTGTCTTGAGGGCATTCAGACTTGTATATTGATCGCCAATTTATGTGCGGCTGTTGCAAAGCCCTCGTCGGAGGCGCTCTTCTTTCGTGAGCTGCAGCCAAATTCTACCCCATAGTGAATTCTATGTGTAATACTAAGTCAGCGCACAGGAATCGCCATCAGCATGGCTCAAATAATGCAACTCACTGTTTTTAAACTTAGTGATTCAGTGGTTGTTTGCGAAACTAAGAAGAGAATTTGGTGGACCCTCTTTATGGCGGACCGGTGGTACTCGTCTGGTATCAGTCTTCCACGCCAAATCAGCGACTGCGACCGACCAACTGATCTGCCCATGGATGAGACTACATTTCACACACTCGCCATTAATCAGAAAGTTCTGGATACTCCCTATAAGCCAGGTTTATGGGCGCATATGATTACTCTCGTGGATCTCTTTGGGCCAATCCAGGACCTAAGTCGACGCATTGTCGAAGATGATCTTGACGAAATCGACGTAGACAGAGCTACGCATAACCTCTCGTGCAAACTCGACCTGTGGGAAGAGATGCTTCCACCAGATACGAAGCTAACTGAAGAAAATCTCGAAGTACACAAGAATCGCAACACAGGCGGAGCATTCGTTGCCTTGCATTTAGGATTTCACCATTATTCAACTCTGCTACATTTTCATTACCTCGATGCTAGGCAGGCCTCGCATGAAGCGAGGTTTTACGCAGAGCGCTGCAAACATCACGCCTTTCGCTATAGCGAGCTGTTAAGGTTCGCGCGAGAACATGAAGGTTTCGAAGCAGTGTATCTCACTGTAGCTCATATGGCCGTCGTGTCGTCCTCAGTACTGGTGCACACACTCCTATTCGGAGACGAGGACCAGATATCGACCGCTCGTAATAGCCTAAACGCCAATTTTGAGGCACTAATCGAGTTGGAACAATACTGGCCAGCTCTAAAATCAATGGTACAGAACACCCCGTTCCCTCTTCTTACCCTAACTCGTTTGAACGGAGACTAAGGTTTTGGAAGATCAACCGTCTAGAGATATTCCAAAACATGTGCCTTATATCGGCGAATCAACATACTCACACGCTTAATCGGTGGATGATTCGTTTTTTGATCGAGCATGCATTGCCTATTGAGGAAAAGGTTTGGTCAATTGGCGCATTTACAACAGCAGATGACCTCCAAATCTTCTCTTCCGAGACTCAAAAGCTTACTGAGCAAGGACGGTTCACAAGCTTTCCTTTATTGGAGTAGTCAGCAGCTTGAGATGTATGAATATGAAAAGTACGAATTTTTGTTTGGAACATGTGCGACAACGTATTCCCGGCGTCATAGTCCGATCCAGCTCCTCACTGGCGCTTTAGTGTCCTGGTCACGGAGGCACAGGAAATAACTAGATACAATGAGGGCTGGCGATCTTATATTAGTACAGCGACAATTGATCAAGCCAGCTCCCAGTCAATAGTCGCTGTACCAAGCCTTGCCTCCCACCAGCTTCGCCGCCAGCTTCAGCGCAGTTGGGCGTACCTGGGGCGAAGCCGAGCGTTTGAGTTGAGTTGATCAACCAGCTCTGGGCCTGAGCTAGCACCAGGATCCAGGTCTACAAATAGTACGAAGGCCCGGTAGATAGTTAGTTGTTCAATTGACCCAATTCCTACATACTCCACGATTACTGTATTCTACGGTGGTGCTCCTATTCCAGTAGTCAGGCCGATTTGATCACCGGTTTGGGGCTTTAGCTAGGCTTACGATGCGGCCTACCTATAGTACGTAGGGCCCATAGATAGATTAATGTAGTCAATTGAAGCTATTACCTACACTGTGCTGTAAGCTGTGGTGTTCTGTCCTATTCTATGATAACTATGCCGTGGGTGGGATACATAACTCTTTTCGCTACGAGTCCACGGTCACAGCCGATCGCCTCCAACTGGCTCACGGCCCAAGCCAGGTCACGTTCTTACACCCAACCTGCTGTGCCCAAACGTTCTGCGAAAATTGGAAGATCTTATTAAAATTTAAAGCAACAGATAGACCATGAATGTAAAGGTACCTAAAACCGATATCCGGGCGGGCGAGTAAGCCACGCAATACTTTCAAGTTAACACCACATGACAGCAGTCACATGTTACTCAAGTCTAGCTTTGTCCACCATTTAAAATGTTTTGTTTCCGTATAAGATTACTCCTTAGTCTGATCCATGAATTGGATTTTGGCGTTCCCTCCATATGTAATGAACCCTTGCGCCGCTAAAAGTGGCTTTTGCCACTGTAGTTATCGAATACCTTACCCCGCACTGATTCAAGGCTCACTTGAACCTACAGTACATGTACTTGCCGGGGATTGATACTTTAAGGCCTGATACGAGCGCCAATAAAAGTCCGTTCCAAGTTAATTTCATGATTAGAGCGAGTACGAAAGCTGCCCAGCCCCTAGTCACCCATGCAGTATACAGCGGCTTCTAAGCTAGTGATGCAACAAGGTATGTATGATCTCCAGGTCCCGACGGCGTATGAACCAATGATACATGAATAAAGCCGAGGTTTTTGAGGCTGTTTTGATCCCCACCCACATTTATCGAGGTGTAACTTTCGGTTTGGTATCCTGAAGCTGTTGGTTTCTTCATGCCAGCTATTGGATTTTACACTTCGGAATTAGCGTGTATGGGCTAAATTCTCAGCTCAGCAGTATATAACCGGACATCTCATTTCATTCCCATTAACTTACATATATTATCGAACACAGCAGATTCTTGTGCAACGCAGCACAGCACGGTACGGAACAACACTCGCCTTCTTCTTTCTTTGCGAAGTATTTGAAGCTTTCGCTCATTGCATTGTGCTACATTACATCTACATTTATACATAAAATATATTCCCAACCCCCGGTATATATCTCTTCAGATTTGAAATTAGAATCAAAGAGGAAGAGCCACAGCCCACTAAGATGACGATCAAACCGCGAACATACCAAGTGAACTATCTCTATCTACTAAATCGACACTTCTTTACTAACGCCTTTGAACAGTTTTTGGTCGGTGTCTTTGCATCGCTAGGGTCATTCCTTTTTGGGTACGTGGGCATCATAAGCGTTAACACAAAACTTGCTCAATCAATTCACGCCAGAGTGACAATGTTGACTGAGTATTAATAGATATGACCTTGGTGTTATTGGAGGAGTGGTTGCTTCTAAAGCATTCGTCCGTGAATTCAATGATCCAAATCCAAACCAAGTGTAGGCCCTCCTCAAGTTGAGAGACACGTACGATGAAATTTTACTGACAGGGCTGTAGCGGCGCTGTTGTATCGCTTTTTACTGGTGGTGCCTTCTTCGGAGCTCTTTTCGCTGGACCAATTGGTGATTGGTTTGGTCGAAGGATCGTTATACTCATCGGTGCCGTCATGGTGTGTTTGGGCGGTGGCATGCAATCTGGTGCTCGAAATATCGACTACTTCTATTCAGGACGCGCTCTTGCAGGATTAGGAGTCGGATTCCTAGTCATGATCATCCCTCTGTATCAAGCTGAAATCGCACATCCTCTAATCCGTGGCCGTATTACGGGACTGCAACAATTCATGTTAGGCATTGGAGCTGCTGTTGCTGGTAAGATATCTTATCTTACTGAAACATCGCATCTTACTCCTACTGATGGTTTTTATAGTGTGGATTGCATATGGGACGAACCTTCATCTTGCCAGTACAGATAACAATCAATGGCGTATCCCTCTTGTGATTCAAGTGGTACCTGCTGCAGTCCTGGCCCTACTAATTCTCCTCTTCCCTGAATCTCCGAGATGGCTCATTGTCAACGGCAAGAGAGAGGAGGGGCTTCAGACGCTTGCTCAGCTCCATTCGAGCAACGACCAAAGTGATGCCTGGGTGAGAGCAGAGTTTGAGCAGATTCAGGAGGCGATCACTTTCGACCAAGAACACGGAGCTAAAGGGTACAAGGAGCTGTTTACCAACAAATCAAGCTTCCGTCGTTTAGTTCTCACGACTGCTCTTCAAGCTTCCGTACAAATGACAGGTGTTTCTGCGATCCAGTACTTCTCACCTGAGATCTACAAAACCATCAACATCGGCACAACAGATGCTCTCAAGTACCAGGGAATAAGCAATGTTCTATCTATCCTAGCGCAGTTGTGCACTATCTTGTTTATCGATCGTCTAGGTAGGCGATGGCCCTTAATCTGCGGAAATCTCGTCAACTGCGTCTGTTTCATCATTGTCACAGCAGCTATCGCCACTTTCCCATCCGCGTCGCCATCACGCCAAACAAGTCTTGGCTGGGCCTTCATCGTGGTCAACTGGATATACCAGATATCTTTCTCTTTTACTTGCGGTTCCCTCTCCTGGATTATCCCCGCTGAGATTTTCGATACCAAGACGCGCTCTAAGGGCGTATCAATCAGTGTCATGGTCTCCTTTGCCTTCAATACAATGATCGGACAAGTGACTAGCCCCGCAATCAACGACATCAGCTGGCGTTACTTCCTCGTCTTCGTGGTTTGCAATTTTACTAACGCAGTCTTTTTCTGGGCCTTCATGCCTGAGACTGCAAAGCGTCCACTAGAAGAGATGAATATCCTGTTTAGTGGCTCCTCATGGTTCGTGCCAACTATGAAGAGGGATTTATTTGCTGTTAATGACCTTGAACATCGCATCCAGGAAGTTATTGAGAAGGAAATCGCTCTCAATGTTGAGAATGCTAGCAACAAGTAGTGCGGTCTAATTAGGTAGCTTGGATTGTGTGGATGATGGGAAACGGCGACCTGCGAAATACACCCCAGTACGGTCCGATGCTAATTTCTAAATATCACGCTCTCTTGTTGTCTTCGTATATTTCGCCTTTAGTTTTATTAAATGTGATCTTTAGTATGTAAGCATGTTGTACAATACCACATTTCGGTAAGGGGGGCAACAAGTTGATTGTACATGTAATATTACTATATAAAGGTTTCTTAAGTTATAGGCACATAATTAGGATGTAGAGTATACTACTAATCTAAAGAGCTAATTAAGAAACAACTAGTTTATTTATCTAACAGTTATACCTTCTTAGGTCTTGCTCAATTTTATATATAGCTAACAACAGCATTTCCCCCTACTAATTCACCCTTTTCTCTTAATTATCCTAACAAAGGAAAAAGATCCAATTAAAGCGCTTACTATTTTAAATACCTAAGATGAACTGAACTGTAAATCTGTAGTAGTTAAGCATAAAGTTAACCGGACAACTCTTATGCGTCGCTACTAGTAGCTGGGACAATTGGCGCATCCTGCTCCTCCCCTTTCGGCTTTGGGACGCGAACCCACCAGTACATCAAAAATGCTCCACACACATTGAAAACGATAAACGCCCAAATGATGCCGAAATTCCTCCACCGCAAGTCATAACTCAAATTAATCCCCGCAAGCAAAGAATTTGTATCTCTAATGGAGCAAAATTGACAATCTGCAGCCGCTTCAGGGTTCAGCAAGTATCCACCGGATGTCGAGATATAGTCTTTCAAATATTCCCCACAAGTACTGCCATTCGAAGGATCAAAATGGAGAAATTCGATATCAGAGCATGTGACGACCGTATTAGCTAATCCAGTAGAAAGAATGCCATCTACTAAATACGTAAATGGACTGATACGATACGTCCAGATCCAGAAGCCCGGTAGGGCGTTTAGGACTCGCAAGTACACCGCAGAAGATCAGACACATAGAAAAGAGCATGTTAGCGATATTACCGCCTTCCTCGGCAGTTTCAATCCCGGCGATCACGAGATCAGTGAAAGTCGAGGTAAACATGAGGAAGACCCAGATGAAGAGGAAGAAGAGTCCACCTCTCTCAGTCGTTTGATCAGCTGCGACTACATCCTTGTACATCCCGATAGGGTAGTAGAAGCAGAAGAAAATCAGTGCAGCGGCGAGGGTGTTCCATGGAAGTTCAACGATGACATTGCTAGTGATAAAGACCTGCCAAGAATAGGTTTTCGACGGCCGTTCGCGGACTTCGTATAGAGAACGTTGCGTTACGAAGTGGGACATGATTTGCTGTACGAGATTCCCGAAGATGGTGAAGAGCATAAAGATGCTGAACAGTTGACCCTGAGATCCCTGGAGCAACACGGGTGTGTCCTAGAATGAAAAACCTATGAATAGTGACGCAGCAGTGGCTAAGAGGAGCTTTGAGTACAGATAAGCGGGCGTCCGCCAGTACTGTTCAAAGACTCGAGTCAAAACTACTGGAAGTTGGGAAGAAAATGGCGCAGCGTATTCGTTGAGTGCGGCCGGGTTCTCGTTCGCGAGTGGTTTGACAGAGAGCTCAGCTTTCATGATCGCGAGCTGACTTTTGACTTCCTTACGTTCAGGCGAGTTGTTCCAGGCATCGACCCAGTCAATCTAGTGTCGTGATGGGACCACCTCAACCACAATATGTGGGTCTCAACTTGCGACGCGTTGCACCTCGCCTCGACATTAGATGGTCATAGGTAAGTATGGTGAGAGGGCGAGCAGGGTGAGCAGGGTGGGCAAAGGTGAGCAAAGGTGAGCAGGGTAAGTAGGGTGAGCAGGGTATCTAGTGGGTGAAAATAGTATAAAGAGCCTAGCTCCCACTTTCACATTCCTGTCCTATGTCTTCTAGGCGGATGCATCGATCGTCCTCCGCGTAGAACACATTAATTTTGGACATAAAACGAGGTTTCTCGTCCGCCTGCTGGACCTGTGGCTCCCAGAAATAGTGATTGGCACCACCCTTGGAAACTGTGAGGGTGGAGCTTCATGGAATGTATAGACCTGTTAAAAAAAGCTACATAGAGAGTTACAAATAAACAAGCATTCGCAGTATTTCATTCCGTACCTATAGGAAGAGATATACATTGTACTTGCTATAAAAACTACTCACTTCAATCCACCAGCAACAACCAAACTCTGTCCAGTGCAATAACCGGTCTTAGCAAACATCTCAACTACGTTTGCTACCTCATCTGGCTGCCCAAATCTTCCTAATGGGATCGTCTCAATTACACCTGGCACCGCCTCAGGATTCGGGATCATGCCTGTTGCTCCAATCATGGCAGGTGCCACATCGTTGACTGAGATGTTGTACTGTGCTAGTCCGCTTGATAGGTTCTTCATCATGCCCATGAGGCCACCTTTGCTTGCTGCGTAGTCTAAGAAGAAAGGGGTGTCAATGTATGATGAGGGAGGATGTGTGACGAAAGAACATACGGCAACCGTTGATTCCACCACCATATGCTGCTATTGATGAGACGAAGATAATGCGACCCCACTTTTGGGCTTTCATGCCTTCTACGACGCCCTTCACGAGGAGGAAGGAAGCACGGAGGTTGACGTTCATTGTGTATTCGAATTCGTCTAGTGGTATTTCACTGTAGAATCTTTAGTTATTATTCTTATACGTTGACGTGTATCGTTGTTTCCTCACGAGATATCCACGATTCTCTTTCCGTACCCAGCATTGCTGACTAGGACATCGATTGGAGCTTTATGTTGCTCTTGGATCTCTTTGAACATGTTTGCAATATCTTCCACAGATCCCATATCAGCCTTGTGAATCGTTATTCGCAAGCCGTTGCTTATCTCATCGAGACTTGCTACGAGTGCATCAATCTTGTCTTTAGACGTAGAGTATGTTAACGCAAGGTTGACGCCACAAGATGCTAACTTCCTTGCGCAAGCTTCACCAATACTGCAAGGAAAACGGTCAGCGACACTAGTAAGTATATCTTAGAGCTCGTAGCAATTGCTCACCCCCCAGATGCTCCAGTGACTAGAGCCAGTCGGCCCTCGATTTTGTTATCCGCCATATTTGCTTAAGTTAGCTTCTGCCTTAAAATGCTTCACTGGTTATAAAGAAAATAACTTGGCGGCAACTAAATTAGCGAACTTCTTGAAATTTTTTAGATTGCAATCATCTTAAGATATTAAAGATACAGAGCAGAAATATTTCAAATTAACCCCGCACAACTAACACTAGTCCCGGTATTCAATGCGACGTACCCGATCTAACGATGGGAATGTGGGCTAACGGCTATTACGGAATCCCGCGTGCACGGCCAATCCTCCAACACTTACTTATCTGATAACGTCTTGATAACGTCCTGATAACGTCGTCCGTTTTCTGGCTAGCTGTTTTACTAAAGCTGTTATCTATTCTGACGGACGCAGGAAGGCAGAGGAATAGTCGGAGGGCGCAAATTGTAGCTAGTGTTATCCTGTTTGGAGATCTTGCACGCGTATTGCGGGGGTGGCGCTGTACCCCGGAGTTTCTCCGTCTGGACTGTCTAGGCTCCTTGGGACCACGATACACCGTCCGACACCGTTGGACACCGTCGGACAGCTACACGCGCTTCTATCATCTCTGTCTCTCGCACCAACAGAGGAATGCCGTCCTATCAGCCATTCCAATGCCTGATCTGTCTAGTCCGCTTTACCCGACATGAGAACCTCAAGCGACATGCTGCGCTTCATTCTCGTTCCCAGGGCGAGGCCTCGCTTCCCTGTGAATTTTGCCAGGCTTCTTTCTCACGTCCCGATCTACACTATCGCCATATGAAGAGAAAACACCTAGAGCACGAACAGAGACGGACTACTAGGCCACATCGCGACCCACCGGCGCTCAGACAAGGCAGTGAAGGATGGAGCCCTCAAGCAGGGAGCTCTCAAGCAGGGAGCTCTCAAGCAGGGAGCCCTCAAGCAAAGAGCCAAGATGGCTTACTCCGTCAGCGTTTCGGAAACGAAGGTGAACTGGAGATGGCTAGCAGGATTTGGCACACGGCATTATGGTATGCGCAACATCAGTTCGATTATGACCACTACGCAGAAAGCACAAATCTTGCAACTAACGCACCTACTAGCACTGGAGATAAAGGCCAGCTTAGTATAGATCCACTCACGCACCAACAGTCGATGAGTGAGTCGACTTGCAGTTGCCAAATCGAACAGGATACTGCAAACCTGGAACGGAACCTGCTACTAGAAACGTCCTTTCTCAAACCGGCCCACCATGTAGACACCCAACTACATCCGCAGACCATCTCACCGTCTGCTTCTTTCGACACAAACTTGGCGAGCTTCAATGTCAACCAAGACATCTATGAGAGCGTGTTATCAAATAACCTACCCCAGCTCCAGGACAATTGGTCTCCGTCTGCCCAGCAGATTACACGGGGCTGCAATCTATTCTTTACGCATGTCTCACACTTTGTCCCTTTTCTTCACCAACCAACATTTGATGTAACTCTCGCTGCTCCTCACTTGGTCCTCAGCATTCTCTGCGTTGCCTACCAGCACGGCGAGGATCCAGAATGTGGTGATCAAGTAGGATCAGGCGTGATCTTGTCTACACGCTGCTTCCACCGAGCTCGTGCTCTCATTACCTCTAACGAAGAGAGGGCGGATCGTTTAACACACACTGTTATGATGGCCCAGACGTATTTACTACTTCAGATCTGTGCCATGATGTATCTTTGCGGTGATGACTCCACATATGTCCCCAAGATGCACACCAGCATGATTTCTCTTGCTCGAGCTGGAGGAATGATGCACCCATTGTCAATTGAGCCTGCCGCAACCCAAGATCTAGAGTCTCTGTGGCAAGAGTTTATTAAAGCTGAGTCCCACAAACGAACGCTCTTTGCCGTGCATCAGATCGATACGCTGTGGTACCAGTTCCTATCTATCCCTCGCTCGATCTCACATTTGGAAATCAAGCATGACCTTCCATGCCCAGAAGACCACTGGGCAGCATCCTCCTCCGCTGAATGGGCGCATCGGCAGCTGGCTGCGAGGCATTCTGGCCCCTCGGTGCAATACGAAGATGCTGTTCGGCGCTTTCTATCTCCCAATGGAGACCTCAACTCCATTCCAGCATTTGACCCGTACGGAGCTATCAACATTACACAATTTCTGATCTCTAGTACTCGCGAGATATCGGGCTGGTCTACAATGACAGGAATTATTAGTATGGAAAGATTAGGGGCCTTAAAGTCATCACTTGTCGCACTCAGGCCCTTTATCCGTCCACAAGCCGATATAGCAAAGGCCACGAACGAGGTGACATGGGCGGCAACATGGGAGACCGCCATGATTGAGCTCCAGATGTGGTCGCCAGCGCACACCGGTGGCATTGTGGAAGCAAGCATAGATGCTGTGCTGAATCGGTCGACCTACCTGGCACTTTCCTATGAATTTTTCTGCGACACCAACACCGCCAGAGCCGTCCAGCCACACGTCGACTGGTTCCTACGATATCTCGATACGACACTCGCACCAGACTCAGAGGCCCCATGGATTATTTTGTACGCGTACAAGGCCTTTTTGATTGCCTGGCAGCTCGTGAATATGGGGTTACCAGGGGCGATGCAAGTCGTCGGTGTTCAGGATGGTGACGTGGAGCGAGCTTTGATATGGGCAAGGAAGGTCTTCCAGCGCAGAAGTCGGTGGCAGCTCAGCAAGCTCATCATTTCATGTTTGGACAATCTAGGGGAACGAGGAATGCATTAATTTATTGCATCAGGCACTGTTATTATTTGCATTACAAAGCGCTATTATATTGAATCAAGTTTATTTGCTAGGTCATGCCCAAAGCTAAATAAAGAAAACATATGACAGGAGGCAGACATCGCTGATTTTCTAACTGAGTATCCTAGCAGCATCAGTACATCTCGTAGCGCCAATTGAGTTGCACCATTTCCTCTGTGACGCCACCCTTGACAACCTTTGCAATATTCTCCGCTTCGCCCGAATCCAGACGTTCGTTCTCACGCAAGACTAGCCGGCGGTATAGGGTGATGGTGGCCGCAAACAAAAAGGCACAGCCCATCAGCGTTCCAAAGGCGGCATAGAAATGCGGCTTCGCATAGTACAAGTATGAAGCCCAAATGTTTGACGTGCCACCAATTGCATTGACCAGAGCAGAGGCGGCTGCGCGCTTCGATATTGGTCGTGCTAGATGCAGATTGATCGTCTTGTAGAGGAGGAGTTGCGGGCCGACTGACGCAAAGGGCAAAATCATCATAGAAAAGTAACGCGCCCCAACGTTGAGTGTCACCATCGGAATGACGTACATGCCAATTGCAATGGTAATGCACACGATAATTATCGGGTAGACCGTGTTCTTGCGATCCGAGTAGAACATGATCCCATAATAGACTATGCCAGCGAGAATGTAGGGTGGCGCAGTTAGGAGTAGGCTGATAGTGTTGGAGAAGCCGAGAGAAGCGATTAGCGTAGGGAAGTAATTGGCAATGGAGCCTTGCGCCTGTGAGAGCATATTGCAGAGGATGAGGAGTAACAGCTTGGGATCACGCAGGGCTTCAACAAAGCCCGCCAGCGCACTCTCGTCCTCCGTGCCCTCTGCTGCACCTGCTTCGGACTCGATGCGCCATACGGCAATGTCACGCTCCAGTTGCGAGAGGATGCGACTGTTGTGCGGGAATTCGGGCATGATGCAGGCACATATCACGCCAATGACAACCGTAGCACTGCCCTCGATGATGAACAGCCACTTCCAGCCAGCGATATTGTGTACTCCGTCAAGGTGAAGAATAGCTGCCGCGAGGAGCCCTCCAAAGGCATTGCCGACTTGCTGCGCAATGTACAGGCCGGCAATGCGTTTCCCCAGCTCCGTTTTCGTATACCAGGCAGAAAGGTAGTATATTGCGCCGGGAAAGAAGACCGCCTCAGCGATTCCAAGAATGGCCCGCACCGCAAGCAGCTGGCCGTAGGTATTGACGGCTGCCGTTGCCGCCGAAATGCAGCCCCATATCGTCACAGCAAAGCAAATATACATGCCCGGGCGTGAGACTTTGGTGATGATGAGGTTGCTCGGAATCTGAAAAGGCAAGTAACCCACAAACAGTATCGAGACCGCAGTAGCAAATTGTTCGGTGGTCATATGTAGATCTTCCATGATCCCTTGGAGCTTGGCGGCGGCCAGATTCTGACGGTCGATGTAGTTCAGAATGTACAAGATCCCAATGGTTGGGAGAACATAGAAGTCCATCTTACGGACAAGTTGCCTGTTGAGACGCTTAATTTCGCTATCGCTGAGGTTGAGAAGTGACTCTGGCATCCGTTGATACTCGACGCTGGTGACATCGACTTTCCCTTCTTGAGACAATATATTGTCCTCAGCATGGGCTAACGATGTGCACTTATCGGTGTCCATGGCGGATTTTGAGACCTTCCTTGCGTTCAAGCTTTAATGGCGAGTATAAATGTTGGGACCTGTTGGAGAGAGAGCGTGATTGTCCTGGCGGTTACTGGGCGAGTTTATAGCCCTGATGAGGTCCCTCAAAGGCTTATAATAAGGAGCCAGGTAAGGGATCTTATTTTGCTCGGATGGTTAAGCCCCCTTCCCAGAGGACCATGGCCGATAGATTAGTCGTCAATTGACGGCTTCATCAAAGAGTTCATAGATAAGCAGAGGTAGGAGTAGTTTAGGAACAAGCTCCGATGGTCAAGGCCTCTTTGCAGAGGATCACGACCCGTAGATTCGTCGGCAATTGATGGATTCACCAAGTGGCTCGTAGATAGGGAGAGGAGGAGCGGTTTAGGAACAAGCTTGAGCGGTCAATACCCCTTTGCAGAGGAACACGACCCGTAGATTCGTCGGCAATTGACGGATTCACCAAGGGGCTCATAGATAGGGAGAGGAGGGACGGTTTAGGACAACCGTCGTCAGCCCAACGGGATCTAGTCTGGTAGGAGGAGTCAATCGTGGGGCTTATCGCGCAGAATCTGGGGCTCCTCCCAACAAGGGTGGCAATAGGCTTATCGCGTAGAATCTGGGGCTCCTCCCGACAGGGTAGGGAAATCTCTAGCACTAAGGACAAGCGTCACCAGCTTAACGGAACTAGTCCTAGGAGGAGTCAATCGTGAGGCATATTATATAGACTCTGGGGGAGCTCCTCCGGGCAGGGTGGCGATAAGCTGCAGCACCAACTCCACTTCGTTGTGGGTCACTCCTCTCTATGGGTCAGGGACGATGAGATTAGCAGGTGAGCATGGAAAATATTAGCAAGCACAGAAAGTAACGTAGCTGAGGCATGAGAGAGTAGAAAACTCATTGTTACTTAAGGTAAGCGCACATCTTACCTACCTCCCACGTACAAACGACAAAGTAAGATCTTACCAGCTCCAACAATGGCCTATCCCACAGCCCACACGACCAAGGTCGAGAACCATCGACTGAGGCTACTTAACAAACTCAAAGCCGGAGAGTTCCCATTAATGACTTTCGTGGCCATTCCCTCAGTACGCCAAGCCCAAATCGTGGCTTTGACTGGTCTTGACGGCATCATTATCGATTGCGAGCATGGCCATATCGGAGACGATTCGATGCACAACTCTGTCGCTGCCATATCAGCACTCGGGGTATCGCCCATCATTCGCATCCGCGGCCCTGCGCACGACATTATTAAGCGTGCTCTGGATACTGGCGCGCATGGCATCATGGTCCCGCAGATCAACAACGCCGAAGAAGCGAAACAGATTGTCGCATCTTCCAAGTTCCCACCGCAGGGAGTGCGCGGTCAAGGCTCAGCATTTCCTAGCATTGGCCATGGTATTACGACGCCCCAATATATGCAGTCTGCCAACGAAACGGTTGTGACTATGATTCAAATAGAGACGCGCGAGGGTGTCGAGAACATCGATGCCATCTGCGCCGTGCCTGGAGTGGACCTCATCTTCATCGGCCCTAACGATCTTGCGCAATCTCTCCTAGGATATGTGCCCGCGCGCGGAGATGAGCCAGAGTTCCTCGCTGCCATTGACAAGATCATCGCGGCGGCGCGAAAGCATGGGAAGTGGGCTGGACGAATGGTCAATGATGGTGCAGCAGCGAAGGAGGCCAGAAAGAGATATGACACAGTCGCCATTACAGGCGACACAAAGGCAATTCAGAATTGGTATATTCCGGAGTTCAAGATTGCTCGGTCATGAGAAGGTTCGGGGATACAAAAATGCCCTTATAGAATAATAGAATTTCATACATAAACATATCACTATCTAGATTTGAACGTTATTCCTCGCATCGTAGACTTATGTGCCGGCATGCGCTGTAAATGTGCGTTATGGGCATGTACGTCTGGTATTTCTGGTTAATCGTAATATAGCAGACGTGGTTGTTGTTCTTAGTGTCTACATTTATATATGACAAGCTACCTCACAAGCTACCTCACTTAAAAAGCGTCCTGTTGCGTTTCACCGTCCGTCCTGTTACACAGTGACCTACGTTAATTAGCACATAAATTTATTCGTCTCTTGGCAATCTTTCAAATTATTCAATAGTCTGGCGCATGACACCAACAGTAGTTACAATTTCTTCGGTATTTATTCTATTTATTTTAGCCTTACAAAGGCCAGGTCTCAAGCCTGTGCAATACATTCGATCTCAATGACCGTCCCATTTCCTGGCGCGACGGCCTGAAGGCACGAGCGTGATGGCATAGGCTGTGGCAAGAAATCAATGTATGCCTCATTCATTGCGGCAAAATCTTTTATGTCGGCGAGATAGACATTGTACTTGACAACTTGTTCAAGCGACGACCCTGAAAGCTCGAGAACTTCCTTGAGGTTTTGTAAAGCGGTTATCTGTAGGCAAATGATGTGAGACTCAGTTACTAAATAAAAAGAATAGAAACCCCAGGACAAGACGTACTGTCGCTTGTTTAATTTCTCCCGTGGCTGTTTGACCTGCACAGAAGACGAGACCGGGGACCTTGACAGCAGGGCCTGTGAGGACTTGGTCAGTAAACATCCGACACTAGGTAAACCCGCCTTTCATGGAAACACTCACAGTTATGAGGCTTTGGAGGGAATTTCTCGCTGGAAATAAGTTGCCGTGACATTGTTGCTAATGTTTACAAGTGACTCTTTTAGAGATAATGTCAAGATAGAAAATGTGTCAAGAAAGAAATTCGGAAAGCGAAAGTAAGTAGGTGCTGCCAGTTGCTGTTTAAATGTTGGCTTAGCGCAAGCCGTCCACAGTATCCATCCCCCCCACACCCCTTCCCCACCCCTCAATGCCAGCCTGCGTCTTCGGCCCCACTTGGGAGGAGCTCCTCCTACGCCAGCTCCTCCCACGCGATACACAATGCGGGCTACTCTAAACCAGGGTCGTATCTTACTAGTAGTAATTTTTCTGTCGTTATTGGCCAGCACAAACTAATCAATTTAGCTTAGTTTATGCTTAAGACGGCAATCTGTCTACCTCCTCGTGCCCAGACAGAGGAGCTCTCGAGAGATAGTGGCAAGGTGATAACCAAGCGCAGGGATAGGGCGGGTACACATAGGCTTCCATAGCTTCTTATCACACAATTTGTATAAAGGCATATGGCGTAACTGTGTAACTATATCTAGGTATTGTCTGAGGCATCGGCCACAACTACACACTTTTGCAAACATCAAGTCATGGCACCTGCAGCCCCATTTAACCCTCCCTCAGCCAACCGGCCTGGCAAGCCTTTTGTGCCAGAATGGGTCCCTCCCCCAGCCACAAAGGAAAAGCACAACTTTGCTAAACTCAAGTCAATTGATCTTTCGTTACTTGACTCGGATGACCCTGCCGTCGTTGATAACCTTATCAAGCTAGTCAAAGTTGCTATTCGCGATGATGGCTTTCTATTCCTCGAAAACTATGGAATTTCCTTAGAGCAGGTAAGAGAAAATTCGGAAAAGAATATTAAAACCAGCGCCACTGATCATGTTTCTCTCGCCTTTTCAATAGCTCCACCATCAATTTGCTCTCGCACAGTATCTATACAAAAACATTAGCGACGAGGACAAGGAGCGCCTTCTTTTCGACCCTGACACCGGTGTATGGTCCGGTTACAAGCATCCCTACGGATTCAAGGTAATAAGATCTTAACCCTGCATGTGGAAGTTTTAAACTTGTGCTTACTCTGCGTTCTCACCCTTCAGCGAGACCGTGGAATCCCTGATGGCATCGAGCAATTTAACTGGTACAAACCCGACTGGGCAGATACTGGTCGTGTGCCAACGTGTCTGCACCCCTTCATGGACGAGATCGAGGAATTTTGCAACTACCTTACAAAGTCTGTTAACCGACGACTCCTCACGCTCTTTTCACGCGTTCTAGAGTTGCCTGACGATTATCTATGGGACAATGTACAATCACACGGTAGCCCAACTGGTGAAGGTTACTTCCGTCATGCACTCTTTCGACCTGTGCAGAAACAAACCGAAGAGTTAGCCAAGGGCCTTCGTATGCACGGCCACACAGACTTTGGCTTGACTACCTTGCTGTTTTCTGTTCCCATCTCATGTCTCCAAATATGGGGTCGCGACGAACAGTGGTATTACGTGCCCTACAAACCCGGAGCGCTTGTCATAAACATTGGCGATACCCTGGAGATTGTCTCTGGAGGCCACTTCAAGGCCACTCGTCACCGCGTTTTCAAGCCTCCGGTCGATCAATTACACGAAGAGCGCCTCTCACTGGTGCTCTTCAACAGCTCCGTTGGCGAGTTGCGTATGGCGCCTGCAGAAGGTGAGTGAATGAGCCTAAGGCAGACGGTACAACATGTATGCTGACTACGTTCTCCAGAATCTCCACTTATCCAACGAGAGGGCTGCGTTGAGGAGCAAGGCGTCTACAAAGAGTTCAAGAACCTCACGGCCCAAGGCAAAAATGTGCCCACCAATCGTCAGTGGCGCGAGATCCAGATCTCTACAGCTACGGATCCAACAGATACGGTCCGTAACAGAGTCGGTGCTGATCAAGTGGTTATTGATGGTAAGGTCGTGCATCAACGAGAGTACATGGGCGTAAAAGTCATCCTTCCTGTCTAAGCACTGCATAAAAGATGCAGAGGTTTATACTGATGTAATAAGCCAGTATATGTGTACATAAGTAATTGATAGCTACTAGATTGTATTGAGGCATGCTGTGAACTGATAAGCCCATATACGATCGAGTGTGCTTAATCATGGATACATAGGTGACCACATGCAGTATAATTCGCGTCTTCGGATCATATGCTCCTCTACGGGCAGCAACAAATCCGAACACTCTAAAGGTGTCGCTATCCGCACCATTCTCGATCAAGTAGGATTAGGCGTGATCCTGTCTATACACTGCTTCCACAGAGCCCGTGCTCTCATAACCTCCAACGAAGAGAGAAAGAGTAGAAAGGAACTTATAAGGACGAGTTATAGAAGTAGTAAATAATTGCCATTCTACAAAGCAGCTACTAAAGCATGATAGAAAAAATCAAATGTATATCATAATACAAGACTACTATATTTGTCCTATCGCTTTAATATAGATGTAATACATAGATAGCATTAGAATCTATATACTCTTATTAGTGCCACCTTAAATCGAACACTGTAGCAATTATTAACTCAGTGTATGTTTCCAAACCATGTGAACTTTTCAATGTAGCCTGGCGCTCTGCACTTTTCTAGCGCCATCATAGAAAATAAGAGCCACGCACATGAAACAAGGTACGTAGGCTAAATCAGCCAGACTCTGGTACTATTACGAAATTGACGCGAGACTGACACGAAATTGTCACGATGAGGCTGGTGGGGTGAGCGACGAGCTGGGATTCCACTTTTAGGGGGTAAATGTTCTCTCCTCCTTTCAGATGGTCAGTTTGAATCAAATGGGATGGGCTTAGACGACGTACCTCTTATTATAATGTCTTTAAACCTTCTGGTAATAGTACAATATCCCTCCTTATCAAAAACAGCTTCATCGCAGTGTTTAACTACACTACCCTATGCTCATCCCTTATTATAACTTCCCTCGTCTTGTTAGGGTTGTTCTAGTACCCCTTCTATAGTAAGTATCCTGTTATGCACAGCTCTCCCCTCGCCCTAACCGGCATGATGTTACCGTGGCGGTAACAATCTTAGACTGTAAGTGCAGTAAGACACGGCCTACTGTCGTGAGTTTGCAATAGATGGAATCCCTAGCATGTGCATTAAAGTAAGTCGGCGACGCCTCCGTCAACCTATAGCTACTCGTAAACTCCCTTATATTAAGTTCCTCTACTATCCGCTCTATTAGCAGTACTGGCAAAGGAGCACCCGTAATAATGCTAGTGTGGAGATTAGGACATAACTAGGTTAGGGGGCAGGGGATAGAGAGGAGCTCTTCGAACATGGCTAGGACGCTATAGATGGCAGTACAGTTTTCAGCAGCGATGGCAGAGAGAACGGCAGGGGCGGAGAAAGAGGGGCTAGGGAGGACGACGGTAGAGCTGTAGGTAACGTAGATAAGGAGGCTAAGGACGAGGCCAAAGCAGTGGAAGAGGGGAGGAGGACAGCAAAGGATATCAGCTAGGGTAAAGGGCATGCAGTAGCTAATGGAGTGGGCGTTGTTGAGTATGTTGCTAGGGGGTGTTAGCTAGGGTATAGAAAGGAGAGACGGATAGACTTACTAATGCGTTAACATTGCGGCTTTAGGCTGCCCTATTAAGCTGTTAGTGTATTAGAGGTTATAGATGTCATGTAGGGAAACAGTTATGCTAGCTGCTTTAAGGCTTTAAGGTTAAAGACTTCGTTATGTATAAGGGCACTAGCATTAATGCTGCTAAGGTTGTTTCTATTTAAGAGATTTAGAATAATCTCCGTAAGGAGCTGTGTATTGTTATAATTCCCGTACACCTCCTACGTAAACAGAAGTTTACAACCTAATCACTAATTAGCTAACGCCCTAAGCACATCTCTACGAAACTAACTTGCCTAAATGATCTAGCGCATACTGTGCCTCTATAGACGTATAAGTGCTATTTAGCACCACCACCACGCATCCTACATACCCCACTGCAAAAAACACGCTAATATACTCCTTATAATTGCCTTCAAGAATCCCAACACGATCTCCTCCCCATACACCTAGCGCTAGCATCTCCTTCGCTAGGCTCCTGCTTCGGTGCTACAATTCCGAATATGACCAGCGCGCGCCCGTTTAGGGAACGACCAAGCACGTTTTATCGCCACGTAGCGCGCACTGCTCATCCAGTAGCTCGCTGAGTGTTAGGTCGACGAGGGCTATTTTAGCGCCTCCGTGCACGAGAGAGAGGGTGGTAGGTTCCGCAACATCGCTGATTTGTGATGCGTTGTTTGCTAGAGGCGTCGGATGGTAGTATTAGAGGAAGCCATGATGCATGCACACTCGCGTCTGCAACAATGAAAACCGCACGAACTGAACACACTGGGAATCTATAAGTTGAAAGAAAGGCGCAAAACTAAATCCCTCAAATTTTCATTCTTAGGCGTATACGTCGGCTTGAGAACACCTAGGCGGCACACGGCACACACACACTTCTCCACCCACCCCTTGAGCTCCCAATTTGTTCTATTTCATTTCCGGTGCTATTATTTCCAAGCCCATTTTCTATGGGATGGCTTCATTCCTTCCGAGGCCACCCTTTTCGCACTTCCGAACTCGATCTTGCACATCAACATCTGCCGTGGCGAAATCAACTGCAATTAGTAGCGGATAAGCAGCACGTTCCGCTTATTGTATTATTGTTGGCATCCAACAATGGTTTTTGATACGAAATAAAGAAGTGCCTAGATACGTAATCGCACATAAATTGTGTGATTGTGTGGTGTCTTTGGTGGCTCGAATTTCTCGCTGTGGCAGAACGGGACAAGAAACTCATAGAATCAGTACAGATAGTATATAGAATAAATACAGGGAAAAATATCTATATACATTGCAGTATTCTAAGAAAAAGGTTCGTTTCGCACCATGTGTCCATTTCCTTGAACATTCGACAAATTTTGTAGCAAATAAAAGGGCTGGGTAACAAAATAAACTTGAGATGAGTGGTGCTCCTCTCTACCATGCGAGTTCTTATGTAAAGCCTCGCAGGTTGGCTCTCCGACTCCGTCTGCGTCCTGTAATAGTGCTGTTCGGTTTGATGTTCAACGGGGGATGATCAATACTCGAGGTATCATTGAATGTACAAGTGCGACAAAAGTCTCGAGGTGGCTCGTCGAGGACGGTGCCGTTTGAGAATATAACGCCAGTGAAGGTCTTGAACCCAATATCCACAAGCGATTTTAGCTGCGCCGTCTGCACGAGCAGTGGGTTTTTAATCTTGCTGACCAGGCAGTTCTGGCTGACCATATAAAGATTTAGTCCGATAGCTAGTGTCTGCATCATAGGGTTGTATGCAGACTCAGCGAGGTCGCTGACGTGGAACAGGCCGACGGCGTCGTGCAGAATCACAGTTGGAAAGCTCTCAGGCGACATTTTTTGGACGCCATAGTGGTACAGAGCCGGGTTTGTCACCTGGTTCGCGATTGACTGTAGGGTTTGCGGGCCAATCGAGACATCTACAACACTGGGAGTGCATTGCCACTGCATAATGAAATAGTTATCTGAGGTGGTACCTGACGGTGACTGATCATCGCGGATATGGCCTTGCATTCGGATTATCTGCTTGTCGGCAGTCTGCTGGGTATACCTTTCTTCGGCCCAATAGTCGTCGTTGTTGAGATAGTTATTACGAGAGTAGATGCCGGATGCGACTCGGTCCACTGCGAGGCCTTCCGTTAACCTCCCATCCGTCAGGAGTAGAACGCAGCCTTTATTTCCGTTTCGATCCATGAAGTTCTTCATGGGCTGCATGTCGAATCTGGGCGTATTGGTCAGGCCTATGCATCTGTTGTTGATGCCCTCTAATTTAATATAAAATTCATTGAGCTTATCAGCGTTCCAGTATCGTTGGTCTTTGCTTGACAATTTCCTGTTGTCCAAATCCACCATTGACCTAATGGCCCATACGATGACCTCACCAGGGTAGTCCTTTGTAAAACGATTGAGTCCAGCAATCAGGTCTATAGCACTTCGGAGTCAGCTAACATCTATTCCAGGTATTTTGGGGAGTTGCTGGAAGCTTCAGGGGTGCACAAAGGGGTATACATACCATCTAGCGATTCACCAGTCGCGCCAACTGGGGCCGCGGTGACCTCTTCGTTGATATGGGCCGACCAGAAAGCGCCCCCGTTGACGCTTACGAGGCGCATGTCGAAATACCGCGTGCCAACCCGAAGCTGGTTGTAGTGATCCAGGCTCTGCGTCTCCGTGTTACTTGCAATGCCCAACCCGTTCCAGCCGGAATTAGTTGTAATGCGGCTCATGCCAGCATCGTGCGAGCCAGGAACCACAACGTGGCGGAGATCGCGGTCTTTAATGATAGGGTACATAGTGCGCATCCAGGCAATGTTGTTGAGCTGCAACGAGTTGACGTAGCCGTACTGCTCACTTCCTGTGATAACCAGCGCCACGCTGACTCTCTCACCAGGGAAGCCCAGCTCTCGCCAGCCCATGCCCATGCCACCGAGATCAAAAATCACCCGCCGCTCGTAGGAGTCTGGGATGTGTGTTGTGACGTGGATCTGGAACGTCTTGTCCGTACCCTCAACTATAATTTTTAGAATCAGCAACCCCTTCATTCAGAATCTACAAAGAAAATCGAGCAACGTAAATATCCCATGAGTCGTAATCAACATTAGAACTCTCAAAGCTGTCTAAACAAGAGTAAACTGGCCAAATTTTTTTACATACGTCTGTAGTTGGCGTAGCCGTTGGTGTCGGCAAAGCTAAATATACCGGCACGGGTGTCGTATGTGGCTTTGTTCTCCCGTGTCTTGCCAGAAGGGATGTCGCCAAAGTCCCAGGCGGAGAACTGATAGGGCGCAGGACCACCTGTATAAACCATCCTATACGGCGTGAGATTTACAATAGTAACCCACCTAGAATAATTTCAAGGGTCAGCAACCCAGTACGCAAGTAATATATCAATATAGAAGTGAATGTACTCGAGGAATATACATACTGGAGACCATCCGAATGAGCCGAGTCTAGCTGAGTGCCGTCGGATGTCCAGGGCTCAACTGCGCCTTGCGGGATGTCTTCGGTGCTATACATCCGGTCCGAGTCCTGGCACTCATTCACTTCCCTGGACAGAACAGAGGCTCCAACAGAGGGGACATCGTACACGGCAAGGGAATGAGAAAAGAGAGTCGCCCATGCAAGGCCGGCACAAAGTTTCAAGCGCATTTTGATAGAGAAAAAAGACAAGTCTACCTGGTGTTGCGCTGACTTAGGGAGGAGGGGGGGGAATTCTAAGTAAGTGAACCTATGGTATTTATATATACAGTTATACCGAAGGAAAGAGGTTCGAGGGGTAGAAGGCAGAGTCAACCAATAACATGTGGCCCAACTCACATGTAAGTCTAATCATCTGAATCCTTCATCCTACGATCAGTAACTAGCGTGTGAATATATTGCAATGATCCTTATTGCTCCCTGTCCATACCGTTTAAGCTTAGTTATAACATACTTTCTCCCCCTGCAAATGCACGCCAAGCAGGGAGATGGAAGTAGCATGATACTAGTTCAGTAAGATAGCCCCAAAACTTACATGTCAGCAGTTCGAGGATTGTATGGCTGTTTGAGTCTATCCCTTGAAAACGTCCATGAATCTTTGGCGATGCTGTTGGCACTTAATGGGGTTTCTCAGGGAAAGTGCCTGCTGATACGATAAGAGATCATGTTAAACATATAACGTAGCCAGCATGATGCAGGAATACGGAGGGGGGCTATTTCAGGGACACAAATACATGCATGTGGTGTTGCTTTATTAAGCTCAGAATCTACACCTGACCCCATGGGGGTAACTATCGGGCCGAGCCTACCGTGGTAGCACCGATGGATATTGTGCTGTACTTGCACAATTGTTCACGTGCACGAAAGTAGCAAAATCGAGGAAAGAGGAAACTGCCAAGAAGCTTGGCAATAGCCCATGGAAAAGTACAAAGGTACATGTCAAAAACGAAATGATATTTCTGATGTTCCAGGCCATTTTGCATCGCAAGTTACTTGTAATATGCGAACCACACGTGTGTTTGATACAAGATGTTTACTGGTTCAAATTGTTTAGTACCCCTGGCTCTAAACTTTAACATTCGTATGTTGGATGTTGTTGGTTCTTGTTGGATATTTCCTTTGTACCCCACGGTGTCAAAAGTACAAGAGTAGTACTGCATCTCGCAAACAGTCCCATTCTAATTTAGGATATGGCCGCCCTCTGAAGAGACAATAGTAAGAATTTGCCAGGGCTATAACTGTGGGCAACTCAACCGTGGCTATGTGATTTATCCCACCATATATATATATACCTTCGCATCTTTTCCTCACACTACCCCATATAACTGCACAATGGCCTCCACTACTACTTCCTCAACACCATCTACGAATACCGTTGTCCAGAGCTCACTGCTTGCGCTCACCACTCCATTCATCCCCCCCCCGCCGAGCTGCACCAGAATCTTCACAACAACCAGCGCAGTATCAAGCTACTACTTCGAGCACGAATTAATAACATCCACACTCACAGTGGTATATTCAGATCCTAGCAATCCATCGTTTACACAATGCCAACCTCAAGGGTGGGATGAAGTCATTCCCGAGAGCCGCTTCCACTTCAGCCCAGCCGTCTGCCCCGATTAGTGGACCGCCTACTACCTCAAAGACGTTAATGTGGACATACAAACCCCCTCGCTCTCAAGGCGAGCTACTACAGCACACTGTTGTGCAAGGTCGGACTAAAGATTTTTTTCCAGTTATCAATTTCTAGTTTCCATCTCCCCTCGTATTTTAATACCAGTGCTGTGCTGACAATGCCTGCGTAGTGGCTATAACCTAGACAATCCCGGCGTTACTATATAGGGCCTTGGTAATCAAGAACTAGCATGCATCAGCGCCATCGGCGTCAAAGCGATATCCTCCACAGCCATAGCCACAGCCACAGCCACAGCCTCAGAGACCAAGACGCCCCACCTATTTCCCTATGGCGTTCAGATCCATAAAGCCTACCAGATCTCATGGGATGAAACTGACAAACCCACACTATCGCCCACGCCGCCGGACTTCAGCATATTTAAGACTAGTTTAGTCGCAGTTCCTGCCTTCATTCGAGTACTGCCAGTCACCACCTCCGGTCCAGTAACAGCACTGATCATGAAATCCACGCTCCCACTGCTGCTCATGGCCGACGGGTTGCAGCACGCAACTCCAATAGTAATGCAGCCCAGGGATTTCGCAAAGGCCAAGCAACTTAGTACGTATGTAGTTCGACCAGATGCTGCGATGCCAATCAGTGAGTCGAGATCTAGATTTAAATTCAAAGCCTTCAAATCTTCACGACCCGCTTCGACGTCATCTTCAGCAGCCTCTTGCGCGTGGCGCAGGGCAACATCTCCTCCGGCGATTAGAGCGACAAACTGCTCACTTGACGCCGAGAACGTTGGGGGTATTTCCGAGGCGTCTAAGACGCCCAGCCTTTTGGATTTCAGTTAGAATCCTCCGTGTCCCTTTATTGGAAGAACATACCTTCGACTTGTTCCAGCACCAACATATACAATTCTTCCTCCTCTACGAGCCTTTGGCTCCAGGTCATCGATGGCTTGTGCTATAACCGGTAGGCATTTTTGAACAGTTGCCCGCGATACTGGCATCTTCGCTGTTAATGATCTGGCAGAGTCTTAATGTACTGACTCGGTCAATATAATTACTGCCGTGGTTTCTCCCTTCGGTTTGTAGACCTTCTAAGTTGATTGGTAGTGGCATATTTATATTTGGCAGTGATATAAGGGCGAGTGCAGCATCTGTCCACTGCATTTGAGCGCCCACATAGGGATTGTGTGGAAATTTTGCTCATTCACACCATGTTACGATACTTAGCTTCTAGATTAGAATTAGCAAGATCGAAATCAAACTGCTGTGCACATTGTGGAGTAAAGCTTTTGTTCTATAAGAGTATTTGAGTATCTCTCCGATCCCCGCCTTGGCAACCGCATTCCCCGGACATTAAGCTAACCTTACACATAGATCTGCAGATAAGCATTGCCAATATCTACCGCAACGCACCTTTCTATTTCAATATAATCCTTCTGCCACATAGGCACTGCTTTATCAAATCGACTGAAGAAGAGCATGGATACCGAAGTTGGAAACCCGCGGCAGAGCCGCCTAAAAGACTTTTATGCCAATCCATGGACTCAAATAATTCTCATTCGTATGATATGCTTTTGCTGCCCAGGGGTAAGTCTCCTGCCTAATTTCTTGAAGATAAAACACAGACTGATTGCATATTAGATGTACAATGCTCTCGGCGGGTTAGGAGGCTCAGGTCAGGTCGACAAAACTGTCGCGGCTAATGCCGACGTTGCTCTGTTATCTGCGACTGCTGCCACTGCTTTATTTATAGTTGGGCCCCTATTCTCCTGGGTTGGCCCTCGAACCTGCTTTCTTCTCGGTGGATGGACATATGCGTTATACAGCGGCAGTCTACTGAATTTTAATCGTATGTTTTATTACAACGGCGCCTTTGTGATTGCCTCGGGTGCAATATTGGGTATCGGCGCATCTATGCTATGGGTTGTCCAAGGAGCCATCATGACCACCTATGTTGAGGAGTCGCAAAAAGGCCGCGTAATTGCAGTATTTTGGATCATATTTAACGTCGGAGGTGGTGTCGGCTCCCTGGCGTCTTTTGGTCTGAATTCCCACTCCAAAAGTGGCACCGTATCGGACTCGACGTATATCGCGCTTATGGTTATCATGCTTGTAGGCTGGGTTCTTGGGGTTTTCATATGCTCTCCACCTCGCATCAAGCTAGCTCAGCTTCACGCAGCCGTGGAGTCCGAAACATACTCTCTGAAGGAGACAGCAAAGCGATCCGTCCAGACAGTGTGCACATAGCGTGTTGCATGCATGCTTCTCCTATTCTTCTGCGCAAACGTCTTCTATTCGTATCAACAGAATGATGTTAATGGCATGAATTCCAACATTCGCACTCGGTCCTTGAACGGTGCTTTGTACTGGATGGCACAAATGGCGGGAGGACTCCTCATTAGTGTACTCCTCGATCTCCCTTTTCTCGCACGACCGGCAAAAGCCAAACTTAGATAGGCTGTCTTGTTCACTTCTGGGATGGCAATTTGGGGCAGGGGATATGCTTTTCAAAAATGGCAAGACCATAGAATGGCAGCTGGGTTTAAGCAGGACATCGACTATGTGCAAGGTTCCATTGCCGCCAGTCTAATGTTTCTCTACATTTTCTACGGGGCTTACGATGCTTTGTAGCAAGGCTTTGCCTACTGGCTGATTGGAATGGAGTCGAATTCCACAACAAGAGCAGCCGTTCTAGTTGGTGCGTATAAGACTTTCCAGGCAACTGATGGTGCCATGGCTTGGAGGATTAATGCACTGCGTGTCTCTGCTATGGCGCAGTTGGCTATGACTTGGAGGTTGTCGATGGGTGCGTAAGTGATTGTCTTCCCGACTTTTTGGACAGTGACGCAGACGACGGTTTTGGATGGGACTAACTTGGATGAGCGTGCGGGGAAGGAGGCTGAGGAGTGGCGGGATTAAAAGTGGAAGGCGAATATAAGCAAATAAGCCCTGTTTCCTGTGAAAAGTATACCCTACTCTTTTATTTTCGGTATATCCATATTTAGTATCCTCGTCGTAAATCCTCGTCAGCAAATAGTGTCCCTCGCCATTTGCCATCATCAGCATCATCACTCGTTGTAATCCAGTTTAACCTCTCCCCTTCTCCTCCTCGCCTCTAGAAAGCTGCGACCCCTTGGAGCATGGCTCATTGACAGGGCTAGCGAAATGACGCCTCTCTACTCAGTTCTCGCCACTAGTAGTAGATCCAATGTCCCCCCATCTAATATTGGAGAATACGACGTGAGTGTCGGGGTGCTGAGCCTTGATATTAGATGGGCTGCCTTCGCCGTCGGTGCAAGGCCCATTGCCGCCTGCGTCAAGCCAGCCCATGTTCTGTGCAGCATCGTTCCAGATGCTCATTGCCAGCACCACTGTGAGATATTAGTCAGTGACAAGTTATGTACGGTTGAACACTTCAGGTAGGTAAGTGCTTACTACCACTCCCAAGGGACTCGCCCATACCGGGCATACCACCCGTCCCTTTCACTGAGCCACAGCTAGAAATGGCTCCACTGTTGATTTCCTGTCCGTTCTGGATGTACTTGCGTGTTATCTGCGACAAAACCCCCCCGCTGGCAATAAACTGTGTCAAAACAGTAAACGTCTTACCCGTGTCAACTGTCTTTCCGACTCCATAGAAGTTGGGCTGACCGCTTGCATAAGGGTTGAATCCGCAGCCGCCCTTGTCACAGTTGTCGCCCTTGCATGGATGCGGCGTCATGGCCGTCGCCATTAAGTTTGCCTCGAGAATATCCATCTCAGCACAGCAGTATCCCTGGCACTGGGCATCACAGTAACCCATGCCAGCGCCTGCACCACCACTACTCCCACCATCAGCCTCCATTTGAGACAGATAAAAGGCACCATTCTCTCCGCAAGGGAGCGTCGAGTAGTCGACGTCCACAGAAAGCTCCTGATTGTCAAGGAGGGTCATCATAACGTATTCTCCATTTTCGTCTATGAGGTAAATACGCGGCGATGCTGCGTTGAGTGTGCCGCCACTGTTAACGTAGTGATACAAAGTCACTGCATTCCCTGAAGTGGAAACCCCCATGGCTGCATAGTCATCCGCTGTTCTTGAGCCGGGGGCGCCCTGGGCAAATGGAGCGACCTGGTCGAGCACGACTGAGGTGTTCTGCTCCACGCAGCCTCCTGAGGCGGTGCATTTCCATGTCGGAAGTGATGGGTAGGCCTCTGCGCTTAGAGCGATGGGCAGGCCAGCTAGTAGTGGGGCCACCAGGCTGATAAATGAGGGTTTGAAATGCATGCCGTAGGAGTGACTTGGGTCGTGGGGATTCTGAGGATTTGACGCAACAGTCAGGACTGCTTGAGATACAAGAAAGTTTTATACATTATTTCTATTTATTAGCCAGCTTTAATTGATCACTCTGGATATTTAGGAAAAGTTCTGCGGCCCGTGTACTCCGAAATCGATTCCATTTGAAATATCCTAACCAGTCGTATGCCGACCTAGCCTGATCAGCAAAAATTGCAACAAATACAGCTATAAGCCTAATACAATTGTCCGGCACATTGGCCTTTCTGGGGTCGGATTCCTAAATCCCTGGGCCGGTTTCATGGAAGATCAAAGGCCCACCATTTAAACTTTCTTGGCACCTACAGCCGCTGGTGCTACTTCAAAAAGGGCCAAAAAGTATAGCATCTCGTGGATGAATACGGCCCTTTTATCTTTTACCAGGACTTCCCCTCCCCACAACCCCGCATTCTTCATCTAAACTGTGTGCTGCCATAGCTATCAAAGTCAAACATCGCCACCTTGTAGCAAATTTATTACATTTCCTCTTTATTTGAGGCTGGGTACAATTTCACTGTCGGGCTTTTTGAGCCATAACATGTCTTCGTTCTCGGACCCAACCAAAAAGACACATATAGCAGCGACAACAAAAGAGCAAAAAAACGGAAAAGACATACATTAGAGGAACCACCATAGTGGGGGCATGTATATAAATATGTTAGGGATTGGGCAGGAATATGAATGTTACATTGGCACAACTACACGTGCATTCTCTACGCGGATAATGGAACATCTGAGGGTAGCATCCAAGTATGCCCTGAATACACTCCCAGACTTGTAGCCTCCACTACAATCGTATTTGTAAGATGGGGGCATTGAGCAATTTCAGAGTGCTACCCCAGCTAAAGGAAATAAAGCTAAGCTCAGCAAACCGGCTACGAGATATAATTTAAAGTTTTATTATATAAGAGACACAACACCCATCTCCCCCAGCCCTAGTCTAAACATACGTCCTTCGTAACACGAGAAGATATATTATATATAGTCTGCTAAGGAGGCGAACGGAAGGCTTTCGTTCCAATGCTGTCCCCACTTGCTGCGGGCAAGGGTGCAAGCGCTGAGGAAGAGAAGGCAGATGTTCCGGCACTTCTGGAAACCATTCCGATACATGCCGACTTTGTAATGGCGGCGGGGATTATTGGTGAAGGGAAGAGATTTGAGTGGGTCGTTGGTGGTGAGGGGGATGAGAAGTCAGTGGTAAAGAGCAGGATGGACAGGAAGGTCTATACCCACGTTCCGATGACAAAGGATGGGAAGTCCAAGATTAGATTGGATGGACGAGAAGATTCTGTTCTAGGAGAAGGAGACGGTGCGTTTGTTAGCAGCGTTCAGGCCGGTGATGTGCTTGGCTTTGAGAGTATTGGTGAGGAGGAAGCGGAGGTCGTGATTTTGGACAGCGATTGAGATTCCTGTAGAGGACTGCTGTAGAGGCATCACAAGGTATAGCGACAAAATAGATACATACTTTAGCTTTGAGACATACTCATTCTTAACTTTGTCTTGAAACAAATGTGAAGTTGCATACTCTGTATACTGATATAAGCTCTTTGTGACTAGCGATATGGCAAGACTTCTTGAAATCACTACAGCCCTGATCGTGTAACTCGTCTCAGCACATTTCAAGAGTATAATATTTCGCAACTTTCATTGCATGCATTTTAAAGCTTTCTATTACACTGTGTATTGTAGGAAGTTTAAAGAAGCCTTGGAAGTAAATTGTCCACAAGGGCCTTAAACATAGAGTTTGCGTCTTAATATCTGAAATACCGTACAGCTGCAACGCCTTCGCCCCCTTTCTTCGTAATTTGCGAGTTGATATAACGATAATAGAAGAGCAAACATAAAGATAAGATAGAAACCAGAAACAGCATTACAGCATTGACAAAGTGGCCGGTAGGATAGCCTCGCTTGGCTTGATCAGCTTTGTAGATGAAGACGCCAGTAATCTGGCCTGGTGCTCCCCACATCTGATTGATCCCAATGACCAGTCCTGCCGAGGCGGTGGAGTGTACGTTAGACGACAACCAGCCTAAAAGAGGTGGGATGAGGCCAAATGAGCCACAAGTTGCGACAATGAGGCATCCATATCGAGCCTGAAGGCTGTTGATCAGTATATGATTCAGATATGCTAGGTAACGGAAATACCAACAGAATAAGCGGTTGCTGGGAGTAAACCGGAAACCAAGAATCCAATGGCTCCAATCAATGCGGCTCCAGAGCAGTGGAGGGCACGCGCGTTGAAGTGGTCTGCAGAATAGGCGACTGCGATGGTGAAAACGTCTATTGGATCTATCAGCAGATGGTCATATGTTCCCAGAGTATATATGCTTACAAGCAACTGCGTAAGGAGGGACTGTCATCAACTGGGCTTGGAGGTTGTGGAACCCTAACCCGGCAGTAATACTTGGTGTAAAGAGTGACAGCGATGAATATGGTGTGTTCATAGCAAAGTAGAGCTGCAAAGGTGTTAGTTGATTAACTACTGCTAAAGAGAGATAGTTTGGTGCTTCAGCTTACAACATAATGGGCGTATAACCTCCAGTCGACAAGGGTAGCCTTGACGTCGACCCAACCCATAGATTCATCAGTGCCATGAGAGCCTTCAACGCGAAGTCTTTCGATTGCTAGTGCTTTCTCTTCACTGTTCAACCAATTGGCTGTCTCGGGATAATCGGGCAAAAAGAAAAATACCAATATCGAAGACAGGCAGCTTGGTATGCCCTCAATAATAAAGAGCCACCTCCAGGCGGAAAGACCACCAGCATCGTCCATGTGGCCGATTCCGAAGGCCAAAACTCCTCCGAACGCACCGGCAATAGTTGCAGAGGCGAGGATGAAAGCAACACGAATTGAGCGCTCGTCGGTCCGATACCAGAACGTGATGTAATAAACTAGTCCGGGGAAAAGGCCTGTGTACAATGTTTGTCAGCAAAGATGAGGCGGTAAGTCATACATAGGGTCAATATACCAGCCTCAAATGCACCTAGAAAAAATCGAAGGACGGTGACAGTTGCAAAATTGCCAGAACCCCCCAGACCAATGGTCAAGGCACCCCACGAAAACATCAATAGCGAGATCCATTTGCTTGGGGTAAATTTTTTCAAGAAGTAGTTGCTTGGAACTTCGAATATTCCATATGCAACCAAAAAAATCATGAGAGCGATGCTCTAAGGGGTTCAGTCATTCGTGTCATTCGTGGTCTCTGAAACCTCGGCAGAAAAAGACTTACAGATACTGATAATTGCTTATACCAGTCTCCGAAAGGAGATCGTGCTTAACATTGGCGTTAAGGGTCTTGGCATTTCCTGTTGACAGGTCAGGCTTTTATCACCCGAGAGACAGGATCCTTACTACGAACCAATGTTTGAGCGATCAAGAAAACAAAGTAGGTAGATAAAGGCACAGAGTGGGATGATGCGAAGATCCTGCTTCCGGACAAGAGCTTTGTGTGCTGCGGTTTGCTCCATGTCTTGTCCATTGCCATGGCGAGCTTCTTCAATGTGGGCTTCAGCCATCTGAGTAGACTGTTTGTCAGAATCTAACGATTCCAACATGGTGATTACCATAAATGCAAGGCAAAAGCAAGTAAAATGCTCATAAAGATACTCAAAGACGATTTAATTGAGACTACGGAGAGTTGACAGGGAGCAACTGTCCCAGGTAATGAGACAGAGTCGCAAGATAATCGTTTTTCTTGAATAGAAGTCATATAGCCTAACCATCGCTTAGTCGGGATCGAGTCGGCTTTCTGGCTTGGTTAGTTGGAGTACCATTCGGGCAACTTCCGTCAATATCAACGGAGCGGCGGGATATCATCGCGGCAGATGTGGAGACAACTTCAAGCGCTCAAAGTCTTGTTACCCCAAGCTGCAATTGCCGTGTAGTTAGTGCTCTCTAGGGATACTATTGGCCTGGGTAACCGACGTAGTGGCCATCTATTGAAAGATTTATATGTTCTCTCATAACCCGAGATGAATACTGAGACGAACACTGAGCTAGCAACCCCATGATACGGCAACGGAAGATGGCAGATTGTGGGGACTAAACAGATGATTTTAGCATATGGGGACCCACCCTCCCCACAACCCCTCATACCCCGCACCGAAAGTGCGGGGATCTGGAAATTTATTCGGCTGAAATATAAGTCAGCTACAGTAGCCGACTGCCCAAGACGACAACTATTCTAACTTGGCAGATTCCAGCCACAATACAGCAGTGTTCGGCAGATCGTATCCGGGTCTGATCCTAAGCCCTCACGGGTAAGATCATGATCCGTCTGACGTCTAACGGATAGATAGAGGTTATATCCGGATCTTTAGGATAATGAGGCTTAAAATATAAAAGTAGAATAGATAAAATAACTATATAACTACTCTTCCCCTCGTCATTAGTGTCTTTAGCTTTACTTTCTTTAACCTCTAGTATATGACCCCAATCTAGTAAACAAAGTAAATATTAAACCATTTTAGGATAGAGCCTATTCCTTTTCTTTATAAGAATATTAGCTCTATTATTAAAGACCCTAACCCTAAGGCTCATTTTTACTATAACTACATCTTGCTAACACTACTTATAAAGTTGTGATTTTGCCTCGCATGGCAACTGCCCCTGACGGTGTATAGATAGACAGATTATCAGCGTGGCCGTTCTCCCCCTTCTCCATCACAGCCCGGTAACGGTCTCCAGCATACAGTGGTGAAGTTGCTCGATAATCAATGCTCTGGGGAATCACATGGTCGCCGGCTTCCTGATTGTCCCGCCAAAGGTCGAGCATGTTGATAAGATTGAGCGGCCCATGGACCACTATATCTCGATGCCCCTCGACATCACGGCACCACTCTCGTGAATAATGGATCTTATGCGCATTGAAAGTGAGAGCTGAAAATCGAAATAGCGAAACTGGTGATTGGCAGTGGTCGCGGGTAATGGTTCCTGGCAAGTTAATTTAGTCAGCTGATGGCACAGTGTCTCCCTTGGTATCAATTTTATATATTTTACCTTTTGGCAATTGAATGCTTTTCTGTTTTTCAGAGGGCGGCTGGGGATTTGTAATCTCTTTTCGGAAAAGCCAATTTCTAGAGCAATGTATCAGATCTTTTCGCAATGTGAGAGTAAAAATTACCTCGTGTCAACGAGTGCTATTCCCGCATCGTTCTCAAACGTTTTCTTGACCCCAACCACAATCATTTCTTCTCCTTCCCTCGTTGTTTTTGGTATTGCCGACATAACTTCCGTCGTCTCTCTTACCGTCTGGCCAACTTTCAACAAGTTATCGCGAACCCAGTGCAGTGAACCCCCAGCCCACATCCTTCTGGTAAAAGGATGCGGTGGATTTACCGTACGATCGGTACCATCAAGACCAAGTTCTTGCTCACATCCTGAGGGCGTGAAATAGGCTAGATGATATCCTGGAGGCAGTGGTGTACCTTGAGGTGGAGGTTTTGAGTCAATTCTCAGGGACTTGTAGAGTGTCGGCCGTCCCAGAGTGAGCGACAGCTTCTGGAGCTGGTTTGGATCAAGAAACTGCTCCTGTACGAAAGAGACAGCTTTGGACGTACGCTGCAAGAATTCGGCTGCCGCAGCGGCAGATGAAGAAGCCGCCTTCGAGCATAGGCGCATAGAGATCCGGACCATTCTCAGACGTAGGTTTACGGTTGGTGTTCAACTCTATGGATATGAATGACAGACGTAGAGCTTTACTTTAGTAATATAGATGATACTATGCTGTAACGAAAACCAAATTTCAAGAATATTTAGCAGGCCCGCCCTATTTCACTCAGGATCTATCCTACCTGTAAAATTGTGCTTTCGAGAGCATGGGTTGCCTTATCGGATAACCGGAGGTTCGAAGTCGGCTAATTGATGGATACGGGCCGAAATCAATAGACGACACTCGGCTGACAACAACATCAGTCGTACTGTAGCACTCAAATAAAAAATAATGGACGTAACGTTTGAGAGGTCTTGTCCAAGATATACTGAAAAATGAGCTCGGCAGCCTCCGTCTTGAGAAGAGCATTGCTCTATGGTATGCGAAGTTTCCAGAGCAGATAATAGACCAGAGGTTGACCAGGAATGCAGTCCCGGGTTCTTCCCAAAAGATGCTGAACAAATCACGTTCACTCAACGTAGACTTGGTTGCATATGATCTCGAAGATTCAGTAGCACCGCATTCGAAGCATGAAGCTCGATTTGCTGTCAGGGATTTTCTTATGCAACCGAAGGCGGACAACATACGCGAACAAGCAGTCCGTATCAACGCCGTTGACAGCGGATACGCATTGCAGGATCTGACCGAAGTGGTAAGCATCACCAATGGGGAAATGGCTTCAATTCTAATCAATGACATTAACACCTACTCAGCTTAAAGCACCTTCCGTCGACACGATCGTCGTGCCAAAGGTCAACCAAGCAGCTGATCTCCATTTCATTTCCGATGTTATCCGCCACACACTTCCTGATCAAGACCGCCAGCCATCTGCTGGATCCAGACCGCCGGTGAAAATACTGGCGTTAATTGAGTCTGCGCAAGCGTTAATGTCGCTACGGGAAATTTGCACTGCCTCGCCATATCTTGACGGCCTAATCTTTGCCGCAGAGGATTTTGCGGCTGATCTTTCAATCACCCGTACACCTTCACTCTCTGAATTCTTATATGCTCGATCTGCCATTGTTACTGCAAGCAGGGCATACAACCTACCTTCTGCTATCGATCTTGTTTGTACTGCTTATAAGGGAGACGACGCCAAACTTTCACTCGAGGAGGAGTCACGTGGCGGTAAGGTTATGGGATTCAATGGCAAACAGTGTATCCATCCTTCACAAGTTGAAGTAGTTCAGAGGATCTATGGCCCAAATCTAAAGGAATTGGAGTGGGCGGTGAGAGTAGTTGTTGGAAATAAGAAAGCAGAGAGCGTGGGAAGGGGTGCTTGGACCCTCGATGGGAAGATGATTGACGTCCCAGTCGTGAAGAAGTGTGTGGCAATTGTAGCAAGAGCAGGATTATGCGGCTACGATACTGGGAAACTCCTCGCCAAATGGAAAGATCAACAACCAGAGTAACTTGTTTTGCGATCAGCAATAGTTGAGATGAATGTAACAATATACGCTTCATGTGCGGGCCAAATCAGGGGGGGTTTTTCTATGACTTGGTGACTTGCTGCTCACTACTAAATTGCACATTAGAAGTGTTACATTCTCTAGTGCTCGTTTCTTGGAGCCGATTATGCAGGAATTTGAAAGGGTTTAATTGCCGAGTTTCGGCTACTTGAAGTGGTTTGTACTGTGGGGAAAGCTTTCCGTTGATGCGTGCGGGGTTGCAATGGCCACGAACCTCATACAATTGCATTTATCTACCAGCGTACTAAAAGAAGACCCACAGTAAAGAGCCTTCACAGAATCCAAATGTAAGTTGATAAATCGCACCATCACCGGACTTCGTTCAGAGTATAAATCAAGTATCCAAACGATTCCCACAAGGCAATTCGCAAATGCCCACTTGGTGACCATGAAATCCAGAGTCAAAACAGTGTTGTCTGCTCTTAGCCGGCCCGCCTGTTGGCCCTCCTGTTGCGGAAACAGTTCACCAATAACCCTTCATCGACTTCCAACGGCCCTTCCGGGATGTGTACGTGTTTCTGGACGTAAATCACAATCCAGAAAGATTTCATGCAGCAATTTCGAGCAACGGCGGCATATAGCATCAACAAGATTAAACCGAAAGGCGCATACCCAGTCTGAGAACACTGTTACTGATTCATCTCGTCCGTTAAGTGGAGTCACAGTGGTTAGCATTGAACAAGCAATTGCAGCCCCTTTCTGTACCCGACAACTCGCAGACCTGGGTGCTCGTGTCATTAAAGTCGAGCGCCCAGTAGTAGGGGACTTTGCACGTCACTACGACACACGAGTCAATGGTTTAGCATCACATTTCGTCTGGACGAATAGGTCAAAAGAGAGTTTGGCGCTTGATCTGAAAAATCCTCAAGACCTTCAAGTATTGAAGAAGCTCATCGGACGTGCAGATGTCCTCGTCCAGAACCTGGCACCTGGTGCAAGCGCCCGACTTGGCCTTTCCTATGAGACGTTAAGGGAACATAATCCTGCACTGATTGTTTGCGACATATCAGGATATGGGAATGAAGGCCCATACAAAGATAAAAAGGCTTACGACTTACTTGTCCAGAGCGAGGCAGGCATGCTTTCTGTCACGGGGACAGAAGGTGAACCAGCAAAGGCAGGTAACTCTGTCGCAGATATCGCGGCAGGAATGTACGCATACAGCAACATTCTGGCTGCTATCATACAACGAGGCAAGACTGGCCAAGGGTGCAAGATAGATATTTCCATGCTTGAAAGCATGGTGGAGTGGATGGGCTACCCAATGTACTATACGTACAACGATGCCCCTAGCCCCGTTCCATCCGGCGCCGCACACGCTTCCATATATCCTTATGGACCATTTAACAGTGGAGATGGAAAAACAGTTATGCTTGGCATTCAGAATGAAAGAGAATGGGCAATTTTCTGTCGGGAGGTGCTGCGCGACTCAAATCTTGCGACGGACTCACGATTCTCAAGCAATAGTCTCCGGGTGAAGAACCGTGATGAGCTTAAGAGAATCATATGCGACGCATTTTCGACCTCCAACGCTAATCAAGTGGTAGAGCAATTGGAAACTGCGGGAATTGCAAATGCGAAGGTCAACGACATGCACGATGTATGGAACCACCCGCAACTTCGTGCTCGAGGGCGCTGGACACAGGTCAAAACGCCTGCGGGTTATGTGCCAGCTCTAGTACCGCCGGGAATTGCTGCTTCGGGGTCTCAAGACGCAAGTGGACCTCGAATGGATGCCGTTCCTGCTGTTGGCGAACATAACAAAACGATTTTGGCGGAGCTGGGCATGGACATGTAAGAGGGGCAAGTATTAGATGTTGCGTATTCGAACCCACATTGCGAAGCACTTAGCGTTGACCTCGCCAATGTGCATTCCTGATACATAAATATGAACGTTAGGAAGTAAATATTAAAACAGAAAGCCATATCAAAATAAATTGATATTTTCTCCTCATGATTAGTGAAGACTGTGTGTGGTGCCTGATGTTGTCCTCCTCACATGGAAGAGAAGGCGGAGAAGCTCGGGGCTAAGCCACGGTAATGAGCACAATCAGCCAACCCCACCTTTTATTTCCGTTGCACTTCCCCGCATCGCATGCAGCCTTCCTCCTCTTTCGGCCTCCTGCTCCAAAAGTTTGACGAATTTAATATCCGCTACTCGAGTACTATTAGCTCACGGTAGAGTCGTATAATACTCCGCCGACAGGATCTATCATATATTGGCTGTTTATCAATCTGTCTGAGGCTTTGCTCACCTTTCAGCGATGGCATCACCTTCCCCCAGTGATTCGCGGCCTGAAATCAAGCGCACGCGAGCGAAGCAAGCATGTAGGGAGTGCAATGCGCGGAGAGTTCGTTGCAATGTTTTGGAAATGCACCCGTGTGATAATTGTGCAGCAGCTCACGCATTGTGTGAGGTTGTGCCATCAAGACGAGGCAGGTAGGTGTCAACATGGCCCAATACCAAAATCAATTCGAATCGTTTTCTTCAAAAAGCCGCATCGAGCTAAACTAGATACAGGCGTTATCGGACACGGAAACCGCTGCACCCACAAAATGACCTAGAGAATATGGGTCCCATAGATCTAGATCACATGAACGCCGATGAGCCGCCTTCCCCAAGATCTCATACTCAGAGCCAACAACCAAATTCCATTGCAGATGACCAGAGCTCCATTCCAGCTGAAACTTTGCAAGCTCGTCAGCAATCTTCTATCCCTTCGGCCAGCGACGCACCTCCATCACAAGCCACCAACCAAGTCTTGTTTTTTGGCGAGTCGAATCTCCTAACCTGTGTCATCAGTCCTGGTGCTTCCGAGACTGCAGCTGAAACCCAGAAAAGACTTCGTTATTCCATTTCAGACGCTATCAACGTTAGAGCATCAGAGTTATTTGCAGAGCATAGTCTCCCCACTAGCTCAGCTAAAGCTCATTACCTGGCTCAAGAAGGTGCTTTCACGCTTCCATCCCCTCAAGACTGTGTTGCTGTCCTCCGAGCATATTTTCAATGGTTTCATCCTTGCTTTCCGATTGTCGATCGTGTCGAAATAGCAAATCGATACAATAAGGGTGAAATGTCTCCCCTTTTGCTCAAAGCAATGCTGTTCATTGGAGCAAGTTACTGTGACGAAGACACGGTTCGCCGAATGGGATTCAAAGATCGTCCAGAGGCAAAGTCTCAGCTATATAACCAAACAAAAATTCTCTACGATGCTGATTGGGAGTCAAACGAAGTTACTATTCTTCAAGTATTGTTCTTGATTAGTTTTTGGAGGGCAGGGCCGCTCAATGTAAAGAATACTCGATACTGGCTTGGAGCAGCCATCAGTCTTGCCCAAGCTCGCGGATTTCACAGATCGTAAGCTTCACATGGACGTTCATTGCCACGATTGTTGACACCCTTTCCAGACAGCATTCATCTCCCACGAACGTGAAAGAATCCAAACTTAGGAAGCGGATCTGGTGGTCAATATATGTTTGTTAATCCACACACCAGAGAAGATTGCACAACTAAACCTACCAGGTTCGAGATCGTCAGTCCTCGGCGTCGCTAGGTTTGCCAAGTCGAATTCGAGATGAGGATTGTGACATCGAAATGCTCAGCTATGCAGATTTTGAAGAAGATAGCGATGTCATTATTCCAGACTTTATTGGAACTCATAAGTCAGCACATGGAATCTACGCTGTCCAAATGGCTCGGTTGGCCCAACTGCGTATGTACTTCAAGCCCAGGCTTATCTCGCACTGCTAACTTATTCTACAAGTTGGGAGAGTCATAACAAATCAATTTAGGCCTAATGGACATCATCCTGACGACGACGAAAGATTTGGGCTTATTCATTCACTTGAAGAGTGGAAGGCCATGTTACCAGAGAGCATGAGGTCATGCGAAACAGAGGGGGGCAGTGAGAGTATTTGGGCATACCTTTTGCACCTCGCGTACAAGTAGGTCACAGGAAAGCTACACGTATGACCTTCAACTCACCTGGAAACAGCTACCTTCATATTTTACTTGACCGCCATGATTATACGCAGACCCAAACCAATCGCAACAGGTCTGAAAGCGGACCGGCACTTCAAGCGGCATGCAGGGTGACGAGAATCGTTGAAGATATGCTTTCTCAAAATCTTATCCAATTCGGTCAAATGCATTTGTACGTTACTTCCAACCCACCTAATCACAGAGTTTAATCATAGTCACAGAATTACTAGTCTCTTTTCTTCACTTTGCATCCATACCATCCAACTTCAGCGATTAGGGGGGATCCCTCGGAAACTAGCGGAGCATAGGGCTCAGATCTGTTTACTTGGCTTAAAGGAGATGCAAAAATACTGGGAGGTCAACAATTTGGTGTTGGAACTTTTTTTTCAACACTTAGATGCGTCGACTGCAAAAAAATTACGTGGCGGCGTGGTAGAAAATCTGCCCGATATGGACCATATTGGCCACAGCCAAGATCCGACAACAGGCGAAAATACGGCCACGAGATCTTTACCAACAAATCATGTGCCCTCGGTGTCTTACACGGGTTGTGGATCCCCGGACGAATATATTTTACAGGTCCCACATCCAACAGCGGGTCATGACTCCGTCTTCTTTGACATGCCACGTAATATCTTAAGTCAAGGCGGTTCAGCAGATGATTTCAGCGTCTTTCTGGATCAATATTTGCTCAGCAATAATGACTCGGACGGCTTACAGATTGGACTTCACATGCAAGGCCCATAACTTCTGCATATGTTCTTGTAGTCCAGACAAAACTAGCGATGAACAGCTATTGCATTTACGAACTAACCGTGACCGTAAGTTAGCTACCTGGTCGTTTAGTGGTTATTTTTGCTGAAGTTTTTTATTAAATCATTGCTAATTCTTGCTTTGGGGTTTTTAGTTGTCTATATATCTTCTTATGCTGCTCAAGAAAGATAAATGTAGCAATGGTATGAGGCCCCGTTCGAATGAAACTAGGGGTCCACCCCTTGAACATCCATCGGAGTCCCTCTGTATGCCAGAGACCTCTTGCAACTTCAAATATAGATGCACTTCCAGCAAGGGACATGATTCGACTCTTAATCACATCAACTGGGCTGCAAATGGTCGTTGCTACAAGTCCTGCAAAAACAGAGGCAGCGAAATGCATCCCCAAGCTATCCTCGAACTTCTCCCTCTCAATTAGCAAGTTCTTGAATGCATCATACGACGCCAGCTGACAAACGCTTATAATTGAGGCTCTTGAAGAATTCGTCCAGATTCCTCTGGTATATCCGCGCCACCCTTCCTCCCGCCCAAACCGCACAAAGGCGTCAATTACATTCTTGTAATTTCTGCGAGCCCGCAGAGGAATAGCACTGTCGCTTTGCATACGGACGTTTGCTAGATCTGCTGGATTACCAACAACACCACCAACGAAACCGGCCAAAGCTGCGGCAGATACCATTACAGACATTGGTGCCTCTTGTCGAGTTCTTTGCGTATATTCGCTCTTGACGGTCTCATATATCGCGAATCGACTGCTTCCATAAAGCACTGTTTTAAATTAGCAAAGCAATGGTACTGCCCTTGTGATGGGGATTCTACATTGCCGCGCAATTCCTGCCGATAACTACACAGACGTTACTGATGAAGTATTTGAGGTGAAAGTGGATTTCACACACCCCATTATAAATTCCCAGAAAGCCGTCATTCTTGACCACATTCAAGAAGGTCCTGAACATACCAAATCTAAGCTGGGACGTTTGCATGCGCACCTACGAAGCCACAGGGTTGGTCAATGACAGATATCTCTGTTGTGAGATCAGTCTTACTTTGGCTAGAATTGCAATTAGAACTGCATAATAACAAGTTCACATTACTGACTTACTGAGGTCTAATGGATGCGTTAAGCAGACAGCGAAGCATGACGCTGAACCACCAAACCACAGAGGGTAGGTATACTCTTGCCTCAAGTCGGGACGCATAGCTTGCGTAGTATCACTGTCAAGTATTCTGCTTTAACGTGCTACCACAGTGTGCAAGTGAGAATAATATATTTATTAAACGTTACTTCACAATTTACCAGATATATACACATGACAATCTGAAATACACGAATTATGCAACTTGAGCCGAAACTATGATAAGGGATACAGAAGGCGAAGGCGCAGGAGAAAGGGCAGAAACAAATGTCGGTACGGGAATAGCGGGAATAGCGCGATCGTTGGTTCGAGGAGTTGGTCTATCAACAGTCGGCTACTTCGGTGAGTGATGGTGCTCCGCACAGTGCGAGGTTAACCGATTTTAGGCACGAAATTCGGCATTTCCAAACACAACCACAACCCCAGCTTCTCCACTCGCCCAAAGACCTCGCTCATATTCAAAATTGACCTGCGGGGTCATGATTTAGTTCGGTCACAGGTATTATGGGGCAGGCCTACCAGGTAACACATGGACAAATATTCTATGGCTATCTGGACAACTATGTATATATCAGCGCCTTGTTTTCACTTATCTATCTCATACCGCCGCAGATCCTGTCTCTTCTAACTTTCAAAGCTCGGTTTCCCAAGGGAAGATATAAGCTCTTGAGCAATTAGATTGCATGTACGATTAATTGCTAGTCTTGTATTCATTTCTTCGACAATGGCCTCCAAATTAATCAGTCGTCACATTGGGTGGGCGAGCCGTGTGTCGAGACCCGGCCCGAAATGCGCGAATCATTCCAGCAGACCATTCTCAACAACAGTTTCGCGGAGCTCAAATACTTTGATGGAAACAAGCGGCTTCTCAGAGACACAGCTGGAAGTCCGTAGTGCTATCGCAAAAATTTGTAAAAAATTCCCAGAGGCAAGTCGCTCTTGGTAGCTCCGGATCCCAAAAACTCCAGACTCCAGTCTAACACTAGGCTGCAGGAATATTGGCTTGAGCGCGATCAGACGGGAACGTATCCTCGCGAACTGCACGCCGAACTTGCAAAGGATGGATGGATTGGGATCGCGTTACCCACTGACCTTGGTGGTGGAGGACTGGGGATTTCAGAAGCGACGATGATGCTCCAAACGATTTCTGAGTAAGACTACCCCGTGCTAGGACCTCAAATGTCTCTGGCTATTGATTGCCAACTTTGACCCCCTATTTCAATATCCCTGATATCTAACTGGAAAACAGGAGCGGCGCCGGCATGGCAGGAGCTCAATCCATCCACGCCAACGTCTATGCCACCCAGCCAGTAGCGAAATTCGCCACCGCAGAGCAACGGAAAGAAATGCTCCCCAGGTTGATTGCTGGAGATTGGCGCGTTTGCTTCGGAGTTACTGAGCCCAACACTGGCCTCAACACGCTTGCTCTTAAAACGAAGGCAGTCAAATCTGCATCTGGCGACTCCTATTCTATCAGCGGGCAAAAGATCTGGATTTCCTCTGCCCAAGTTGCCCAGAAGATGGTCCTTCTTGCGCGGACGACGCCATTGGAGGAATGCAAGAAGCCGTCAGAGGGCCTGAGTCTTTTCTTTATCGACTGCGACCAGACGAAGCCGGGGCTGGACCTGAAGAAGATTTCCAAGATGGGCGCTCGAGCAATCGACGCAAATGAGGTATTCTTCGACGGCTACCAAATCCCCGCGAACTCCTTGATCGGGGAGGAGGGACAAGGGTTTAAGATCGTCCTTCACGGTATGAACGCCGAACGTTGTTTACTTGCCGGCGAGGCACTGGGTCTCGGATACGCCGCGCTATACCGAGCATCGAAGTACGCCAAAGAGCGCGAGGTTTTCGGACGCCCGATAGGCATGAATCAAGGGATTGCGCATCCGCTGTCGAAGGCGTATATGAACCTGGAAGCCGCGAAGCTGGCGACGTATCACGCAGCTCGCTTGTACGATCAGAGTGTGGAGGACAAGAGCATCAGCCAGCAAGCAGTAGGCGTAGCTTGCAACAGTGCGAAATTTTTGGCGGCCGAGGCGGCGTTTAAGGCTTGTGAGCGGGCCGTTTTGACGTTGGGTGGGATGGGATACGCGGCAGAGTACCATGTTGAGAGATATCTGAGGGAGTGCTTCATTCCTCGAATTGCGCCAGTAAGTCGCGAGATGATATTAAATTTTGTGTCGGAAAGAGTATTAGATCTACCTAGAAGCTATTAGAATAATAATAAAACATACTGTGGATACTACCACTTTCAGTAAACCTATTGCCAGCTTTTGCTTCCTTGACCTAGTCGGGGATTACGTCTTTCATAGAATAACGTTGTAGCCTCGCAGTACAGCTATTCCCCAAGCCAAGAGGCACAGCTCAACGATAAGAATAGCATTAGACAAACACAAGTACTGTATTGCACATCTCAAGCTCGCTCTTACTCTTGTCCAGCTAATCGCCATAACAACCCATCTGGGTCCAGACCCAAACCAAACAGAACGTACAGGGATGAGCAATCTAATCACACGAAGTGTTTATATTCATCTCATTCCACTCATATGCTATGGCCCATTCTGTCGACCTCCACTTTCCATCAGCCATGTCCAGCGAAGGACCCCCCATTTCGCCTCGCAGGCTCCAAATACGCGCTCTAGATTATACACAACACAGTTACACAATCAAGCCAACCCCAGCTCTCTCCACCAAGCCAATCCAAGCTAGGCATTAACGCCTTCGAGCAAGGGCTTCACCAACCACTCCTCCGAAGCTTCCAGCATCTCAATTTTCCCTCCCTCGCCGATGCAAGCGCAGCAATCTATTGAATGTAATTTATCTCATCTCATCTCGTCACCCTGTCCTCGTTCGGTCACTCCACTCAGCGCTTTTCAACTTCGCTCTTTCATGCACTTCCATTTCTGACCAGCCCTTCAAGCGGCAAGAGGCCTCGGTTCCGCGCTATGCCTATTGGCACGATTGAGACTATTATCAATGTATTACGCAAGCTTGTGTATGGCAGAGCGGACGGGATGCCCAATTCTCTTGAGGCTATGGTCGTATGTATCAGTTCTTGATGTGAGGGGGGATATATACCAAACAAGGAGCTCTAATTGGGGAAAAAGGAACACCATGCATGTCACGATACAGCACGAGCACGAGCAAGTTCTTAGATTTTAGTTTTGAATTTCATATTTCATCCCTACTAGCCAGTCTGCCAGCATCTTCATCTCCCTTACACCCCTCCTCCTATCATTCTTCCTTCCCACATCTTCTTCTTTCTCCCCCCCATATATCCCTCCTCGCTCCCAGGGGCCATCCCCTCTATAAAAAAAAATCCACAAATGCATCGCACCCCCACCATCCATCCCATCCCATCCCAGTATAAATAACATAGGAAAAAAATAACTAACACTAGACAGCACAGCACGTTGGTTTGTTCTCACAGAATAATGAAAAGATGTGTCGAATGTTCGAGGTTGAAAAAAGTACAAGGTCGGTTTGATTTGGTGGTTGTTTCGTCTCGGTGACCTCTCGTGGAGTGAGGCACGTGGGTAAATCGATCTGTCGAATATACCCCGCGTCGCCTCCTTTGTTTCTCCGTGATAGAGGTGAGGTGAACTATAATGGACGGTACGTTATGTACGGTCTATGATATGATCCGTGTGTATAGTATTGTGGAAGCGTAGTTCCGAGTAATTCTCAAAACGCCAGCCGTAAAAAAAATGCATTGCGATCCACACAACAAAAGTTTCGTGAAAGCGACTCCTCTAATGGTCGTAACCTGCGCCGCGCTGCCAAGGACTATTATATTCGTTAGCTTTCAATTCACCAAAGGCCGTTGGCCAAAGACAAGCATGTGGGAGAATCTTACCTCGCGCCATTTTGCCCCCTATGGCTCAATGGACTCGCTGTATTCGCCCGGTTGTACGGTGCCGCTGCACCCGCGACCGGCCCTAATCCAAAGGGTGTCGTCGGCGTAGCCTCATCGCGATCCGCAGTGTACGAACCCTGGTACACCCCACGGCTCTTCTCGTCGTATGGGCTCGCGCCGCTCGGGAATAGTGGCACTGACGGGTTAATCGGCGAGCGCGGTGGCTCGTGCGAATTTGCCGTCGAGGGTGGTAGGGGCATGTTTGCTGGGTGACGGCGGTTGCTCTCTGCGTCCCAGGTGTCATCATCATCGAGGTCGAGTCCGGGCTTGTAGCCGCCCTTCATCTCACCGCGGGCAGTAGCACCTAGAGCGTCGAGCTCAGTGGTCAGCTGCGTCTGGGACTTGATGAAAGAGGCGCGGTCGTCGCCCATGGGTTGGTAGCGCGTATCTGGGTTCTTGCGCGTGGCGGCCAGGACGGTGGAGACGATAACCAGGATGAGCAGGACAAGGGCGAAGATGGCGTTAACAACGAAGAAAACGACACCGAAGACACCGGTGACAATGGCGGGTTGGTTGAAGATGGCCGAGAAGACGAGCAGGCAGATCGCGTTGAAGAAGTTGATGGAGCAGATCGAGATGTTGACCGTGTTGGTGCTCTTGTCCATCCATGGCTTCATCACGGACGCGGCAATGAGAACGCCGGCTTCGATGATCAGGAGTCCGACGGCTTGTGCGGTGCCACTTTCCTGTCCGAGCGCGATAAACATGCCCTTGACGAGGATGTATACCAGGGTCGGGATGATGTAGTAGTAGGCTGAGGCGCGGAACTGGACGTACAGGAAACCCCACTTGTTCAGCGAAGTTGGGTCCGAGTAGAGAATGTAGGCTGGGTTCTTGTGCATGGACTTTGAGCGCTTCGCAATCATCACCACCTTAAAAGCGGCCCAGGCAAGCGTTCCGCCCATTCCGAAGAAGAAGAAGACGGCCAGGACAACCTCGGCTGGGGAATCGACCTTTGTGAACTCCCAGAGGCAGAGGATGGTCATCTGCGGGAAACCAATGAGGACCATACGGAACATGATACCCTTCAACACGACCTTCCAGCCGTTGCGGAAGTCCTCGAATCGGGAGGACTTCATCCACCTTTGCTTAACGGCCAGCTCGCAGATGCCCTTGAAGGCGGCGACGCCGAGGACTGTAGCAGTCACAAAGATGCAGAAGAACATGAGGCCGGTAATGAACAGGTTAGTAGCCTCCATATCAGCACGGAACGCGACTCTGTCCATGCCCTTGACGGTGTAGGTGCCAGACACGGCGTCGATGGCGTTCTCGTTGTTGGAGCGGCGCATGATTGAGGTCGCCTGGGAGGCAATCTCCAGCGATCGCTTCTGCACCTGGACAGAATTGGTGGTGAGCGTGTTGAGGATGGTGGCTGGGGTGCCGCCCGTGGACTTTTGGTACCACGTCGCGATGGTCTGCATGAACTCGACGCCAATAATACCCATGGTCCACTGGAAGTTCTGGGTCCACGATTGCACGATTGGTGGCAGTGGGACGGCCGTGAGACCGACCATGGCGATGGCCTGGAAGTAGCTGAAGAGCGAAAGCGCGTACGCGGCAATATGCGCCGCAGTGTTGTCATGGCCCAGTCCTGCAACGACGGCGGACACGACGAGCGCCAGACCGGCAACCACAGCAGTGGCCCAGCTCACACCCTTCTGCTCGACAGTCTTTCCGTTCGACAGACGGGCCTCCACACAGGCCTTGATGATATCAGGGGTCGCCTTGGAGGCGATCTTGATTCTCACGGTGGCATCGAGATCGGGGATGGTATACGCAATGGACGGGATAGAGTCCACGACCTCCTGGCTGAAGTCGAGATTGGATGTGATGGTGATGGGACCCGGCTGCATGTGGCACACACCGGACAGCTCCTTGGATGCGCAAGGGTCGATGTCGGTGTCGAAGATCTTGTATCCGTACGCGGCACCCTCGACGTGGAGGGTGAAGTTTCCAGTCAGTGAGGTGATACCCGTGACATCGAATGTAATAGTGCGGTTATCAGGCGTGAAGACGACATTGAACAGACTAGCTGTGAAGTTTGAGTTCGCTACACAGGTGTTGAGAGATGTGGAAATGAGGAGCCTCTCGTCTGCCACGGCCGTTCCGGCGAGTAACGAGAGTGTTGTGACGACGGCTGTCAGCGGGGAGAACGCTGCGAAGCGCATACTGGGCGATTTCTGTCGTCGACGACAAGTCGGCGCCAGTATGTGGTTGTTGTTGTTGGGTATTCGGTAATCGGTATCGGGAGTCTAGAATCAGACCATTAAGACGTCGTTGGAGTCTCTTTCTCGTGCGCCCTGGGCTGATTCTCTTTATTAGGCTTTCACGAGTTCGTGCAGTATGTATGGGAAGTCGGATTCAGCGATCGAGATGGGTGTAATGGGCGGATTGTCGTATATATTCTAGGCGTTGATCGCCAGGGGTTGCGGCACTGTCGGGGATGTGCGATGAGCGAGCGAACGGTAAGGGTCCTGCCTCTGCCACGAGAACGAGTGTGTTTGCTGGATGGAAGAGCGATCAAAATCGGCACAAAGTCGGTATAGTGAGGGAAGTCGCAGCGGTGAGGTTGAGAGGGTAGGTTTGGGAAGGGAAGTGAGGTCGTAAAGAGAGAAAGAGGGATCGGGTTCGAGAGTAGTAGGGTGTGGAGTTGTTACAGGGTGGTTTGGGTATAGTTTAGTTTTGGAAGTAGAAGCGGAAGTACATATTTTGTACAGTTTAGAAATGGAAGGGGGAAGGGTCGGGGGGATGGGGGAGGATGAGTAGAGTTGTTAGTGGGTTAGAAGTACCAAAGTATAGTACAATGCGTAGAAAAGGTACTTTGCTTGTGGTGGGTAGTGATGTTAGTGGGTGCGAGTGGAATAGCGCGTGTTAATCGTGGGAAATCTTGGCACACTTGGCATTAATGATGGTCTTTTGTTGCTGCAACGGGTAATTGTGGCCTGATGTGGTTGTAATTTGGCCTTATATATAGGGCACCAACTATATTCTAGCATCGTTTGTATGTACAGTTACTGTTACTGCCAATTTTTTAACATTACGGTGGTACGTGGCTGCGTGGCTGCGCTGGTGATGGTACGGTGACCATGGCGACGACGGGGCGAAAGCGGTAACAAAGTGCTAAGCTAAGTCAGACATTTAGAGATTCTAATAAAAGATGCGAATACGGGGAAGGCGTTGAAGGGTTTCTTTGCCACTGTGGCTGTAATTCATCAAGTAGTAGAGAGTTAAAGAAAGTAAATACTGACTAACCACCATACAGATATACACAACACCGTCAGGAGGTGTAGGCAGGTGCAGTAATATACAGGCGGCTGTGCTGGGGATAGTATATGTGGACAGTATATGTGGACAGTATATGTACAGTATACGGATAGTATACGGATAGCATAATACGGGCATCGTATCGATCGAGTTTTAACCTTGCGCTCGTATACTAAAGTACGACAGTACTACAAGTCGTCGGTAGTAGGTGTGAGGGTGCCGTAGCCATACAAGCTAATTATTCAGTAAACAGTAAGACAATATGATGTGTGCAAGTACCTCTCCTCTACCCGCCTAGCTGCAACCAAGCCAGTCCGTCCCTATGGCTTAGGGTGAGGTCGTCGTCATCGGCCATCCACTTTCTCATCCTGCACAGCCTCGTTCGAAAAGGTACTTGCAGGTCGCTGGTGCACATCACACAAGCAACCACAGCAACCACAGCAACCACAAGCAAACAGAGAAAACATAGAGAAACACACCCAAAACCGGTTCACAGTGCAGAGCAACAAACAGTATAGTGCGCCAGTACATACAGAAAAGGTAGAGTACATTAAAGCGCGGGCCATAGCTTAGCCTTCAACATGAGATATCATACACACACCTACGTATGTATGTATGCTGGGTAGTATAGTGGTGCTGGCTGGACATAACTTCTTTATCGCTACTAGCTAGCCGATTGTTTATACCAGCCAGAGTACATCCCATACGACTGGCAACCATCGCATCGCTTCCCCCGATTATCTGTCTCCTGCCACCCTCATCAGACCTCCCTTCTTCCCTTCTTCCCGTATAAATGCTATACTTAGCACACCCTCTCGCACTCTAGACCCACCCACCACCCATCAACATCTCCCTCACGTGCCCCCTCCCGTCCACCCCAAACAAACCCAACACACCTCTCGTCCCACCACCACCACCAACAACCCTCCGCCAACCGCCCGCCCAGCACTGCAATCTCCGCTCCACCCCGCCCCGCCCGCCGTCCTCCTCTCCCTCCTCCTCCTCCACTCCACCCCACTCCACCACCCAGCCCTTGGCTCACGACTCCGCCCCAATCCACCTTCCCCGACTCATTAGCGCCCCCTTGCAGTAGCACTTCCTGCACCGCGCGCGTAGCCTGTACCTCCCACGCCGCCAAGTTATGCGCAGAGGGGGTAGTAGCGTATACACACCGTTTCAGAGAGGACGATCGGGGATCGACGACGCTGTGCTTGTGCGGTCCGTCGTCTGTGGTGGGAGTGGTGGGAGTGGTGGTGGGGTTGGGTTGGGTGTGATACGTACTGTACCTGCGTCGAGGTGAGTGCATTGAGTGGGAAGGAGGAGGGAAGAGGGTTGGGAGGAGTACAAAGGATGTAAAGTTCGAGATGGTGGCCGGAAGGAAGGATTCCAGCCAGCGAGCGTCTAGCTGGGGTTACTCTATTTGATGAGGGAACAAGGGGGTGGGATGAGAGGACAGGCACTGGGAGAAGAGCTCTTTGATGGTGGAAAGTGTGCGTCACGTGTTCTCCTTTTTCGCCGTTCCTATTTTCGTATAAGTACTGTCCAGTACAGCGTAGTGCTGCAGAATTATACAAATATGACATCCGCCAAACAAACTATGAATTGGTTCGGATTCGGCAGGTTGCAGATTGGCAAGCTGCGCTTTGTTTGATCCAGGTGATTGCAAAGGGGCAGGATGACAGGACCTGGTAGGTGGTGGTGGGATAGGGAGGTGACAGGAGACGAAGCGGCGGCGGGATGGGTTGGTGACAGCAGGATAGGCTGGTGACAGCAAGATAGGTAGGTGGCAGCAGAGGTGTCGGCGGCGGCAAGGTCTTCCTTTGCTTCTTTGAGGCATCTCATACTCTCGGCCCTCTCAGCCAGCTCCACAATCGTCTTGCGGCGCCTGCCAACATGCTCCACTCCGCGCCCATAGCGGTCGTCATTTACAAGCCCCACGAGCTTTTTGTGATACCCAATATTCATTTTTGGAGGGCATCGAAAGATTCGGGAGAGTTGTTGGCTAAAGTTGAGATATTCACAGACGAGAGCTTCGGGACGGCTGTTGGCTAAAGTTGAAATATGCAAATGCGAGAGGTTTGGGAAGGATGGACAGTACAGAAAGCCTCTGGGAGTCCTAGCAATCTTGCAGAGGTTGATCGCCTTTATTTTGGCCAACGGCTCGCCTGCGCTATAAATATTAGCTACTATAAGAAATTAGTAGGGGTCGTTAATGGCAACAGTTATGGTCGTGGGGTAGAGCATGTCAGCAACTGGCACAAAACGGTTGTCGAGCTAGCCTAGAGGGCCGAGAGCATAAGATGCCTCGAGGAGGCGAAGGGGGACCTCGATAAGCTTGAGCAGGAGAACGACTGCTATAAGGAAGAGGCGATCGAGTGGGGAGAGCTGCCGACGAATTCGAGGCCAGCATCAAGCAGCTCCTTACGGATAGAGCCGCACACAAGCGTGCAAAGGCAGCAGCCATTGCTAAATATAAGTCAGCAGACAAGGTTCGACTTGGAGTTGAACTTGAGATTATGAAAGAGGAGCTCGCAAAGGCGATTGAAAATCAGGAGGGGGGCGGTTTAGAGGGCGCTATGACGAAGCAGTCCCCTTTCCGTCGATAGTTATGGCATCCCTACTGCCGTTCCTGTTTGCTAGGCATCGACGACAGTAGAGCAGTAGGTGACAGCAGACTATTAGCGGCAGTGAGATAGGTTGGTGACAGCAGAGGTGTCAGTGGCGGCAAGATCTTCTTTCGCCGGTCCTTCGCCTTCTGTTCCCGACGTATTCCACACCTCGCCCATATCGGCCGTCATTGACGACCCCAATTAATTTTTTGTGGTATCCAATGTTCATCTTTAGATGGTATCAAAATATTAGCGCAGGTTATTAGCTGAAGTTGAGGTATATAGAGGCGAGAGCTTTAGGAGGTGAGGTGTGTAGAGGCAAGAGCTTTGAGAGACATTGTAGAATTTGCGCCAAGAGAGATAGCATAAACCGAAGAGATCGGAAATTATCCCTTGAACTCCTTAATAACTACTCCGTTGCTCTCATTTTCCCCGTAATATCCAACGTAGCTTCACCATCCACAACCTCATTCAGCTTCATCGTAATGACGCCCTTACACCAGACAAAATGGCACTTTTGGTCCGCTCTGAGTATGACATCTGAACTTGTTTTATGCCCAGAGAAGTTCTAAAACGACTTAGTTTGCGTGTCGTCGCCATCAACCCCATCATCTTTAACCGTTGTCACCCATCCTTTCGAATTCGTCAGCTTCTGAAACGGTTCTGCTGCCACTATCGACCACTGTTGCTTGTTATCTTGAATATGCATATCGAGTCTTGTCACATACTATATGAATCACCAATGAGGGGGGGAATTCTTAGAGATACCATGGGACTGGAGAAGACGCTGTTGTCTCTGTTAGTCATCCTCGATACCACTGTCGCTGCGCGGAATGAAGACGCCAATTGGAATGGTGATAGGCTGAAGAGACGCAGAGCTCTGTGCATCGATGTGACCAAGAAATCTTCAATGTTAAATTGGCGGCGAGAGATATCCCCGAATATATACGAGACGGAAGGAATCAAGTTCTTGGTTCTGACGCTATAAAGGTGCGTCTGTTTACCTCATTCGAGCTCTTTAAAGCTAACGTTTTAGCATACGGCCCATCGATTTCTATGACGTTGACATAGTCATAACCTAACATTACCTTTCTAAACTAAGAGCTCTATAACAAATAGAAGAGGGACCTACTAAAATGTCCTTAATAAACTATAACAAATACTAGACAAGAACATTAAACTTAGAACTTAGTCTAGAAAGTAGGGGTGTTAGTAAGCGAATAAAAAGAGTATAGAAGAGGCTAAATTAGAAGCTAGAAAACTATGTCTAGAGTTATATTAATATAACCATTAGTCTCCTAAATGCGTTTCATAGACGACTTACTTAAGATAGTATAGTTAAGTTAGTATAGTACTAAGAAGATTTAGGAGGTTAAATAGTGCTTAACTAGCTTACCCTAACTACCCCTAGGCTAGTTCTCATCCTACGAGAGATCCCCTATACCCCTGTAACCCGCACCTAAAACCTCATAGCATAGGTTACTCATGGTGGCTTTGTGGCCCTGATTTCTGGGGTAATGCTTAGTCTGCTGATTCATGTTGATCAGCGCTGGCTGTAAGAGGTTCGTTCGCTGTCGAACAAGGTGCGTGATCTTGTGCAGGGGAAGCTGTGGGGGACTACAGCCAGATACTCGACGTGGCGCGATTGTAAGAATAATTCTCCGCAGATTGTGCAACTCTTGTCTTTGAATGATCGGGAGCGTTTCTCCCTTGCCGCATCGTTCAAACAACCATGGTCTAGTTCAACAAGCTGGGAGAAAGAGCTCATTATTAGGAAGGGACTGAACGAATACAAGTAAATAAGATGACATTTGTGGTTACTATCTGCTACATAGAATTCTAAACCTTCTTAAAACGACATTAGTGTATGGCGGGGATGAGTGCTGTCGTCCATTAGAACATGCATCTAAGAAAACCTACTAATAGCTACATCTAGCTGTCGGTGAACCCGACTTGCTCACAAGACTTAATCCAACATTTCTTTTCCGCTTCTTTATTGTATGTAAACGATTCATACCCCGCATCATCACCATGATACCCCTTCTTCACCGGCTCACTTTCTTGGCAGTCCTCAAGATACTTTCCACCCACCCCCTCCAACTCGTGGCTAATGGCTGCCCAAACCTGCGTCCCAGCAGCCTGAGCAGGGCTCTTAACCATCCTCATTACAGTTCTAACTCGAGGTGAGACCATCTTCTTGATCACAAACAATACATTCGCCCAATCCATCTTTTGAATTCCAGTAGCCGCGCCACCGGGATGGACTGCCAGAGCATGGAGACCATTGCCGCCATACCTCCGTTCGATCTCATTCGCCATATAGATGTTCGCGAGTTTACTTTGAGCGTAGGCTCTGCTGCGGTCGTATTGTCCTTCAAGGTTGACGTTCTCCCAGTTGATTTGCTTGGCTTCTCTGTGTTCCATTGATGCAACTACCACAACCCTCGAGTTGAATGCAGGTGTTGATGCAGCGAGAAGGGAAGGTTTGAGGAGCTGGAAGAGCAGAAAATGACTGAGGTGATTGACGGCCCATTGCGTCTCGAAGCCATCTTTCGTTCGGCCTTCAGGCAGCCGCCAAACTCCGGCATTACAGATAAGGATGTTCAGCTTGCCGTTTGCCGCTTTGTTGATCTCCCCGGCGCATTTTCTAACACTATCCAGGCTCGTCTGGTCAAGCTGAAATATCTGAATTCGTTGCTTGTCTTCTGATACATCTTTCAAGGCTTCTCGTGCTTTTTCGAGGTTCCGAGCTGTTAGGAAGAGTCGTGCACCAGTTTTGAAGAGCGCGCGTGTTGTTTCCAGCCCGAGTCCTGAAGAGCAGCCTGTGATGACGATGATTTTGTCTAGAAGTTTGCCTTCGAGGCCTTCGTCTTCCACTATTTGATCGGCGGTTGGTCGGGCATCTCCAGCTCCCTTGGGATTAGCGTGAGCGGCAGCGTACCGATTGCTGACCATGTTTGCACTTGTACTGACGTTCTTGCTGGGGCGATTTGATGTTGTTTCCTGATTTCTTGTAAGCCGATGGGAACAGGAGCTGAGTGATAATGCGTAGACAGCTCTGATAATATTAGCAATGCCACCCTTATGTACGGAAGGGAGTCTCAAGAAATCAAGCACACCAGCCCTGCTTTGCCGCGCTTGAAGAGGGAATTTGTGGGACTATAGCTGGTAATCTATAGTTTCGATTAGTCTAACCGTCTCACCGCGTTGCAACGGGTGTGCTTGACTTCTTGATACCCCCCTTCCATACTATCATCGTCTCGGCATTTACGGAGGCTTCTTGGGACTTACCTCAAATGAATATCGCTGTGAAGCTTTCAGCCAAGGTATTTTGAGTTAATCTCGGAGCTATCGGATGATATTTCAGCCCGAGTTCGGCAAACTCCAAAGTTGAGCTTCTTGATACCTTCCCGTACTATCATCGTCTTGGCATTTACGGAGGCATCTTGGGACTTACCTCAAATGAATATCGCTGTGAAGCTTTCAGCCAAGGCGTTTTGAGTTAATCTCGGAGCCATCGGATGATATTTTAGCCCAAGTTCCGCAAACTCCAAAGTCGAGTCGTGCTGTAAACCTGTGATGGTTCATTCCTAGGACGCATTGAGGACAGGGGAGCTCGTAGCAGACAGGGATGAAGGTACTCCCCGTCGCATGCACGGCTCCGGTACCTGTTCCAAAATTTACGAATACGATCCGACCAGGATTAAACTCTATTCGAACTTCCTAGCCGGCCGGTGGTTATGCGAGAATGCGAGGACTCGTGCTTAGAAGTACTCGGTTTTCGTTGGATTAGAGTTATCCTGGACTCCACTTGTGGACGACTTTTAAACACTTTTCTCGCTCCGATATTGGCTACCATCACCTACCCCTGTTATTTGTTAAGTTTGTGCTCCAGAACCTACTAGAAAGATTAACATGTATCAGGGGTAGGGGATAGTATTGGTCGCTGCCGGGAATTGGCACGATAATCAAAATCACAAATATAGATAGTGATCTAAGGGGAAGATTCTCGATGAGGGCCGAGATGTTGTACGGAGGTAGGGCGCTTCATTATGCCAAAACTGCGTACGCTCCCAGTTGTCACCTGAATACGAATCCGATCCGAATATGAATCCGACCCTAATGGCTGTGCGGGCTTATTTCGAGCCGCCACAGCTTGGCTGGCTGGAAGCGGAAATCTTTCAATCCGGATTAAGATTGGAAGATCTGATAGTTCTCTGCTATAAACTGCTTCAAGTGCCGACAACTTCATCAATGTCAGGTTTCATTTCTACACGAATAGTCGTTTATTTCCTTTGAAACGCACCAGTTCTATACCAAGGGAAAACGATGGCCGCGTCTCTGCCGTTCGGTGCGGCTGCTCTGTCCCATGGTGTCGTCGAGGATATTAGAGAGACGGTTGCTGGCAATGGCACCGCAGGAACTAAAACTGCAACACCAGACGACTCTGATAACGAAAAAGAGGATCTGCGCGAATCAGTCACACATCTTGCCAGGACCTTCACACAGCACTCGGTCAAGAATGGCCATGGACAGTATGTCAATCCGTTCGAAGGATCCGAAAATCCCTCATTGGATCCCCAATCAGGCCAATTCAATCAACGCGCCTGGATTAAGGCTGTAATGGGTATTGCTTCTAGGGACCCATAGCGATATCCAGCTAGGATTGCAGGTGTTTCGTACAAGAACCTCAACGTGCATGGGTTCGGTGAGCCTACGGACTATCAAAAGACATTTGGTAACTACCCTTTGGCAGCCTCCAGTCTTTTTAACAACCTGCGAGGCGAGAATGGAAGGATAAAGATTCAGATTCTACGAAATTTCGACGGATTGATCAAGAGCGGTGAGATGTTGGTAGTGCTTGGGCGTCCTGGGAGGCATGTTGCTTGAAATTCTTCAATACTCCACGGTAGCTAATAACAGGCATAGTGGCTGCTCGACACTGCTCAAACCATTTTTGGAGAAACCGATGGCTTCTTCATCGATGAAGCATCCCAAATCAATTACTATATATAACTACATAACGTGCTAACTTTCTCACACTAATGTTATAAAGTAGCAAGGTTTCCTACACGTCCTACTAGTACCTAAATACCCTATATAACACCTAATAATAGACTTTAAGGAGTTCCTAAAGGATAAGTATAGGTTTAATAGTAATTAAAGAATATAATACAGAGGAGAATAAGTTAGCTCTGAGAATAAACCTTTTAAGTGGTAGAATATATTGTTCGTGTTGATGAATATAATTCCGAATAGTAAAACTACTTATCAAACCAGAAATAAATGAACCCCAGTGTTGCCCGAGTAGTACTCGCTGTGAATACTACTCGCCGAATACCCCGAGTACTACTCTACTCGGGTGATATTTTCGAGTACTCGAGTATTCGCCGAGTACTACTCCGAATACTGGAGTACTGCCAAGCCCTTGGCAAAGAGGGGTAAAATAGATCGTAGAATAGAATAGATAATTGAAGCTTTCTTCTACTTGAGCGTTCTGTATTACTTCCTGTAATGAGTGACTCTTCGCTGTCGCCGGTGCCGGCTGAGTATCAGTCTGATACTTTAGAGCTGCCGCCCCTTATTCCGATGCCCCTTATTTCAGTGCCGCAAATGCCTCTACGGCTTCAAATACCTGATTCTACTTCAATTCTCTTTTCCAAAGGACTATTCTACCGTACTATATTAGATACAGTGCCTACTAGAATCCAATACCAATGCCTTCAAATTAATTGTGGATATACGCCGAGCCAGCCCCTAAAGAACCAGACGACGAGCAATCTATGGAAGCATCTTAAGAATCAGCACCCATTAGTGTACGCAGAATATGATAAATCATCTTCAATTCGAAGCTCATCAACACCCTCTACGTCTGCTTTCTTCCAGCCTCGCCAAGCACCTAGTAACGCCCCAAGTTCGTCGAAATATAGAGAGCTTGTTCTCTCTTTTATAGTATCAAATAACCTACCATTACGCCTTGTCGAAAGCCAATCCTTTCGGCAATTAGTTCACCATTTAAATCCTACGGTCTTAACCGTTAGTAGAACTACGATTGGACGGGATCTATATCGACTATTCTGCTATCATAAAGCACGGCTTGAAGTAGAATTACAGCAGCATGTTAGAAGCGGTGGACGACTGGCAATAACGACGGATACTTGGTCTGCTCGAAACTATTCTGAGTATGCAGCGGTTACAGTACACTGGATTAATGATAATTGGCAAATGAGAAATACTATACTTGACGTTATACACCTACAAGAGCCAATCCACTCTGGCGAATACCTCGCTGAACAGATGATAAATATAACGGACGATTATGGTATTACGCCTGCGATCTTTACTATTACAAGAGATAACGCCTCTACAAATACAACGATGCTATTTGAATATGAGAAGCTAGCTTCGGCGCAACCTGTTACCCTTAAACAGCCGTGGGCTTTTACAGCAAAAGTAGGAGACGTACGCTGTATTAGGCATATTATCAATATTGCTGTTCAAGCTGCTTTGGCCTCTTTAAAAGCAACGCCAGATGAAGGCCCAGAGGCATATCGGCTTGAGATTGGGGAGGCACGGATACCACTTACTTCTGAAAATGATATCGTCACTGTTCTTGCTAAGCTCCGGCGTCATATATATGTGTTTCGGAACCGCCGCGGGTGGAAAGACGCCTTAAAGAATCAGTGTAAAGCTGTAGGTATTAAAGTCTGTCGGTTGACGCTCGATATGCCAGTCCGATGGAGCTCAACTTATCATATGATTGATATAGCTTTAAAGCTTCAGATTCCGATTACAGCTTTATGCGCATCACAGCAACTTGATATTAGTATGAGAGATATCGCTTTAACAGCAACAGACTGGGCTACGCTACATAACTTATTAAAGCTATTCTATATCTTCGTCCGCCCAACTGAGAAGTTACAGGGCTCTTCTTATCTAACTCTCAACTACGCTGTTCCGCAGTATATGAGGATGATTAAGAAGCTTGAAGATATGAGACGTGAGCTACTAGAACGAAGCCCAATTGCTACTGCTACTTCAATTGCGTTAAAGAAGCTTAATGATTACTATACTCTAGCTACAAATCAGTACCAGAGCCACTCTACAATTGCTACGATCTGTGATCCTCGGTATAACTTTAACGTCTTTAATATTATATGGAAGGATAGCACGCACTTAACTAAGAAGAATCGGGCAAAAGCGCAGTGGCAGGACTGCTTCTATCGATATTCAGGCCGCGAGTCTGATATTCGAGCAGCAGACGTTATGGACAGTATCGAAGCTGAGGATCTAGCTATAGAGCAAGCTATAAATATCGATGTTGACTCAGAAGATGAGTTATACGTATCACAAAGCCGCCACGATATTGAGCCAGAATGGAAGCAATGGATGAAGGAGCCAACAGTTGGTCGGGATACGGATATTCTCAAGTATTGGCAGAGTAAACAATACTAATATCCATTAATTGCTTCTATTGCGAAGGATTACCTAGCTATTCCAGCTACTTCAGCAGACTCGGAACGAGTATTTAGTGTTGGTGGTGATATTATCACAAAGAAACGGAACCGATTATCACCTTCTACACTTAGATATCTACTCTGCCTACGGAATTGGGGTGTTCTATCACAAGGCGACGACGAAGACAGCGGCGACGATGCAGATAATGAGAGTTAGAATAGTATATATATAGTGATATTTTAATTTCTACTCTATTTCTATTTATATGCGAGTACTACTCGGGTATTCGAGTACCGGTACTCGAATACCAGTACTCGAGCTTCAATTTTGAGTACTCTACTCGAGGATGCTCGAGTAGTACTCGGAGCGGTATTCGGGCAACACTGATGAACCCCATCACAAAAACACACACATAAAAGAAAACCAATCTCACCATAACGAATAAAACCAAAATTTAAAATCAAATATATTAACCAGGTATACCCATCACCCCCGCCATTCCAGAGCCCTCCCCAACCACTATTAAGCTAGGCATACACTTCCACCCCATTCCATTAAACAAAGTTAAAGTGAACAGAGCAGCTCGACCACCCAGTTGAAATGACGATCTAAAGCACGAAAAAGAACGAACAGATTTTGACGAAGCGGGTTCGACAATCCATGATAGAACATAAGATAATTCCGATGTGGGTTTGACGATCCAGGATAGAATAGAAGATTACCTCGATGCGTTTTCAACGGCCCCGAGGATAATACAACGCGTGTGCACAACACCGACGCCGCCAGCGGGCTCGACGGCCATATCCAAAACACAAAAAAATCGTCACATCCACCATTAAACATCCAACTTCTCCCTGTCCTGCTCTTCACTCTGCCTCTTCTTCCTGCCCTGCCTCAAAAACCCCCGTCCACGACGCTCTCTTTCCCAGTCCGGCGACCCCACCCTCCTGCGCCGCTGACATCTCAAAATCGCGACTATCAACACGATCCACACCAGAATCGTTACCACAACCCCCACATTCCCCAACTCCGGCGCCGCATCTCCAACCCCCTTGTACGGGAACCGCACACCAGTCGCTTCATCCACATGCGCCTGAGCCGGGAAATACGACTTGTGATCTAGATACGGGTTGCCAACCCCATCGTCCGGCGCCGCGACGCTCGCTCTCGTCGCCGCATCCTCCACACCCTTCTGTCTCTCCGCCTCCCTCAACTTCGCAACCTTCGCAATCTCCCGCGCAGCCTCCTCTCGATCAGCAGCGCTCACCCCTCCCTCCCCAGCCCTCCATCTTTGCTCCTCTTCCTTGACCCCATGCCCCGTCCATGTCGGCGCATGCGCCTCCAACGGCGATGGCGGCGCGCGCTTGCTGTACTGAGGTAGGGTTGGAGGCTGGTAGCCGATCTCCTCGAGGAAGGCAGCGCGATCAACGGCCTTGCGTGCGCGTTCCTCCTCAAGCTTCTTGGCGAATTTGATGCGACGCAGGGCGCGGGCGCGGGCCTCGCGCTCCTTCCTGATGCGACGCGCTCTTTGGCGTTGCTTCTTTTCCCAGGATGCGGCTTCTTTGCTCATAGTTTGCGTGGGCTTGGGTTTGACGGCTTTGTAGGCCATTTCTTTTTTTTTGGCGGGGGTGGTGCCGGCGATGGTTGGGTCTGTCGCACCGGAATTGGCTTCTGTGGTAATTGGCTCCGATTCTCCAGTTATTCCTCCAGTGGGTGTAGTTGTAGCGGACTGTGTAGTGCCGAAAACTGACTCAGGGGTGGTGAATGGCGGCCGAGCTGGTCCAAGTGATGCTACAGCAATAGTCTCTGCAATAAGGTCATCCACGGCGTTTTCGCTGAAAGGGGAAGGAACGACAGGCTCGATTGGGGCAAGTATGGCGGCAGGAACGGATGGAGAATCTGCCACGGCTGGGACGCCATCTTGCGCAGGTTCGATCGACCGACGGTAGACGATAGATGGGAACCATCCGTTATGGTTGCCGTGGCGAGCAGTCGATTTCTCAGAAGCAGGCATATCCTCGTTTTCCTCACCTGATTCATCCTCCGCGCCTTCCTCGTTTTCTGTATCCGAGTCGTCCTTCGCACCTTCCTCATCCTCTTCAGATTCCAGGGAGGCACCTTCCTCTTTTTCATCATCCCCTAGTGGTTTACTGGTCGCACCTGCCACAGTTATAGTGTGCTCAACCGTCTTGAAGTTGGGACTTAATTTGCGAGGAGCTCCAACAACCTCCTTACGAACTTCCCGCATATTGAAGCTGCAAGCATTGTTGAGGTCGGCCATGTAGGCTTCAAATTCACCTACATCGCGTTTTCCAATTCCACGAAAGCCCTCATATGTCTTTTGTTGGGGCTCTTTGGGTGACCCAGGGGATAGTCTGGCAGCTCTGAATAGCCTGAGAAGTGTCAACATTGGAGAGACTTTACGCTCGGCACCATCAGATGCAATGTCTCTGGCAGTGCTTGTCGGGGTGATATCATTATCTGGCCTGTGAGCATTCGCCTCCCGGCACAAGTCGGCCGCAGGGCAAAGGATATCAGGCGCACATAGCTCAGCAAGTTCGCAAGGATCAACTGCATTAGCGACGGGCTTTCTGAGAGGAAGGGGGAGTCCACAGTCTCCAAGTCCAGGCAGCCCCTCCAAGAGTTCGATTTTGATCTTCTCAGTGGCCGGGTTCTCCCTCACGGCGAAGACGACTTTATTCACGAGCTCTTTACGAGCAGCCTGCTCTTGGGCTTCGTAGTCGTGCAAAGAAAGTTCGCTAAGCTCCTCAAAGAGATCGCTGCCCAAAACGACTTTAAGAACTCTGTGAATTCGGCGTGGGTCCTCGGGGCTGCTTGGTGCATCCTCGTCGTAGCTAGTCACACCAGGCAAGCCATCCATGACTGGGAGATTTGGGCCCTCGATGGCTTTCATCAGGTTGTCCATGAAGGTTTGATCAACGAAGTTATTGGAAGGTCCAGATGCAGTTAGCACTTCTTCCCCTGGCTTCTTATCTGATATCTCCCCTTTATTTTCCTTCTCTGCCCCTGCCTTCTTACTTGCTAGCTTTTCCGCCAACTTTTCTGCTACCGCATCCACCACCTTGCCCGCAACCTTCTTTCCGAGCTCACCAACTATTCCTCTATTGTTGATGCGGCTCTTATATCTGCCAGATTTCACATCAACGACCTTTTTGGGCGTCTTGAGTTTTTCCTCCTTGCGATCTTTCTGGAAAATATCAAACAACTTGCGCGCCCTATCGTTTTTGGCCATTTGACCCTCTCGGAGTCTTTCTTTGCGATCGGCAACCGCCAATTGCCATGCTTCTCTATCCTTCATAGCTTGCTCTTCTGGTGTTAATTTTGACTTTTCTTCTTGTGGAACTTGCGGATCAACAGGCTCATTCTCAGCCTTTTGATGTGCTTGTTCCAGCGTTTTATCAGCATCAAATGAGTCGAGGTTGGGAACGCTATCCTCCTTATTTGGCAACGAAGCTTCTCCGTCGGCTAACAAGGTGCCCGGGTTGCCTGGAGCTTCTTCGGTGGAGACTAGAGCTGGTCCTTGAGTTTCTGGCTCTTGAGTTTCTGGCTCGTGAGTTTCTGGCTCTTGAGTTTCTGGCTCTTGAGTTTCTGGCTCTTGTGGCTCTTGAGTTTGTGGCTCTTCAGCTTCTAGTTCTTCAGATGCTAGTGCAGATGCTTCCTCCGCATCTGCAGATTTCAAGTCCCATTCACCATCAGTGGCATCATCACCATCAGTGGCATCGCCGTTAGAATCCAATTCAGCGTCATATTCACCATCATACTCTTCATCATACTCTTCATCATGTTCCCCATCATACTCATCATATTCCTCATCATGCTCCCCATCGTTCTCCCATTGCTCTTCCGTGTCCCATGGCTCTTGCGCAGCCCTGGGACTGATACGTCCAGGTGCCATGGTGTATAAATACCAAGAGCTCCAACAAAAGTTGTATGAAGTGAGAATATCAAACTTGGGCGAGAATTAATACCAGTCGAATATTTGACATGTAAATCTTCTCATCCCTTGTATATGAGGAAAAGAGAAGATAAAACGGAAGGAGAGAAATTTCGAGGCCATGGGGGAGAGGTGCCGTAATAAATTAAAGACATCAGGCGATGGATCCGTTCCTGATTTGTGGTTCCTGGCTAATGTTTGGCGCGTTGACCCCCACACGCTAATGCTCGCCGTCGATCTGAGAATTTGACGCTGGTGAAGTTGACCACGCTAATGCCCGCCTTCACGACGAGAATCTGACATCAAGGAAGCTTTAATATCTGATATCGTGGACTCTTAAATACAGTTCGAGAGGAATTAAATAAACTGTGATCGTACAAGGAAACCCAACTTACATTCAACTCGCATTAAGAATACATCAACAACACCCCGTTAAGTTCAAGACTTGATGGATCTCAATATGGACTTACTACTTTAGGCACAAAGATAGTGTTCTCAAATGCACTTGCATTTGAGGACGCTAGCAAGCCGTGGGTATGAATCGGAAATCGTGGCGTGAGTTATGGCACTGGAACCTCGCCGTCGTCAGATCAAATTGGAGCTTATTGAATCTTATTTGTGGGTATCATCGTCATCGCCTATTCTATGGCCTCAGCGTAAGGGGTCTCTTCTCCGCAATCTGGCACATTCTCTATTACTCATACCAGTCTCTGCCGCAGAAACTCCGCAAATATCCCAATATCTTCGCACGTTTCCAATATCCTTCCTAGATCATCCACGGTCAGAGATTTCGTCTTGGTGGTTTCCATCACGCCATCTCCATCGGGAAGAATGTTCTGTGAGACAACACTAAGTGAACCGTTCGATTCGATCCCCACTAAAATGTCCGCTATCCGTGGACCAACGGGGAAGATTATCCTTAGGCTTGGTCCTGGCTGAGTGTATAAGCTGACGTCGACGGGTATTTTCGTAAACTGTAGCTCTTTATCCTTGTCGCTGGCCTCCGCCATGAAGGCGTCAAACTCGTCCTTCACGGTAATCTCCTCTCCTGGTACATCCTCGCTCTCCGTTTTGTGGTCCGATGTATATTTCGACCCAAAGCTTCTTTCAAGTAGCGTAGATAGTCTGGTATATTGCCTCAAAATGGGTAGCATTTGCACTAGCTCCCTCGGATGACTGAACGGCACCTCCGTTAACGTTAGAGCGTATTCCATTTTTGGAATAGTGAGCGTGTTTGTGTGGCACTGCTTTTCATGCTTGCCTGCGCGGTTATACACACTGACTAGTTGCTCCTTCCGTATTCTTCGGTGGGCACCATCTGGTTCGCTCGGTTCCGCGGTTTGGGGTGGGAAGGCAAGAGCATCGAATGCCGCTAAAGCATCCGGCTCAAGGTGTGCGCCAGTCGAGTCGTAGATTTGCATTGCTACGCTGTAGGGTAAGGTTAAGGGCGGGCTGAACTTGGCCACAAAGCGCACATCTGGGAATTTTTGATTGGGTAGCTGGCCTGGCTGTTCGATGCCTTCCATGCCACTGTCATCCTTCTGGTCGGGGTCCGAAGGGAGAAAGATGTTTGGAGGATCTTGCCAGTCGAGAACGACATCGGAGGCTGAAAGGAGGACGTCGTCAGCCGTTGGATTGGATTTGGCGACGGAAGGTGAGATCCATGCTGAAGAAACGCGAACAGGAGGGTAGACCATGGATGACGACTGGTCACATTCAAGAAGTAGCGACCATGTTTTGCAACTTTCTCCCTGTGCAGTAGCGTGCCTCTCTTGCCAGTACTCCAAGCAGAGCCCGACACTACCATGGGCATTCATGGCAGGTCGGCCGCTCTTCTGCAACAGCGCAGCCCTCACGATTTGCTCTTGTGTCTTACCTGACATTGCCTCCTCCTCCGTCAGCCTGGCCACTTCCCACTTGTGTAGCTTCTCTAAGCTGTCATATATTCCGGCAATTGCCTCGTGACAGTTCAGCTGGGGCATCACACTGAGTTTGTCCAATCTCGCCATCCTATCCAGGTTTCCCGCAAATCGGTCCACCCGTTTCGTCAACACGGTTTCGTCCTTGCCGAGCTTCAGATCGTCGAGTAGAATCTTCCCCGCTTGGTCTGCATGTCGCGTCACACTCTCTGGGCTCTCCGGGAATCCGAGCGTTACCGTCTCGACGACATTATCCGTGAACTCAATATCGATCGACAATCCAGTCCCAGCGATAATGAGAGTCTTTGACTTCCCTCCCCTCCCCATCCCAGTCTCCCATAAACACTCCAAACCCACGGACCGTGCCAGCCTCTCGATACCATCCTCGCTGACCCTGCCTTTCACTGCTTTTAGGGTATCAACAATCTGCATCAACTTCCTCCTCTTTCGCTCATCCTCATCAAGCCTTCCGATCCCTTGTAGCCCGCCCAGCCCAGCCCCCAGCCCCAACCCCCCGCCCAGATGTCCCAGCCCACCCCCCAATCCACCAGCCGATGCATCGAGCCCCAGGTCTCCCAGCGGCAGTGTTGCCAAAGCCGCTGCTGTAGTCGGGCTGTCAAAATTTATTCCGCCGAACGAGGAGGCTGTCGGGTGCGCGTACTGGTTCGAGTTTGCGGGGCTCTTCTTGTACTGCTGAGGCGAGAGGTTGACTGATTTGCTCGCCGAGAAAGGCGTGGAGACAGGTGGCGTCAAGCCTGCCCCGAGGCCGGCAGGATGCTTTCCGACAGGCGTCGGGGTAGCCATTGGACACGCTCAATGCTTCGACGTGTCGTGGAGTTGGATATCGCTTCGGGGCGGTTGTTGACGCTTTGTCGTTAACATTCGACCCTGTGCCGCGTCAATCGCTTGTGTGGAGACGACGCGTAGATAGTGGCGTGAGAGACGATCTTGCGGAATGAGGCTATTTATTCGAGAGTTTTGTTCAATTGGCAATTATAGCTGGAGTGGTATCGCACAGTTTAATAGGCGTTGCCCGTTGAGGTGGAGGAGTGTGGAGGAATTGTTCAGCCTTGCAAACAGGCTGGCCAAGCTGCTTTGGTTCAATTCAACGTCACCTCGCCTCGCCTATCTGAGAATTTACTAATTACCATACTCGGTATGCTCAGCGACGCCCACAACAAATTCGGCAAGATGCCAATTTTGCATATGGATACAATATCTTTACCTCATTTCTTTAACAGCTCGGCTGTGCCGAAAATGGTAGTCTTGGGATTATAATGTCGATGAGACAAGCTGGTGAGGCACACCGAATGACTAAAACATGTATTACTACCCAGCTCAAGGACAAACCACCACCGAAGTCCTAACAAACTGCTAAACAATAACAAATAATACCTCTGATGCGCTGCCTGAAGGCCTGCCATCTGCTAATAATACCTCTAGCCTGCTCTTCGCTATCGACGTTTTTGTGACCGAACATAACCTATGAGACGCACGCTCATCTCACCGAATTCCCCTGGCCTTCGCCTCCTTCTTTTGCATCAACAATACTTCTAACTTTTGCTGGATGTCTGCTGCATTAGATACCATCTTCGCCACTTTCAGAGTATTGCTATTTGATCTTGATATTGGCAGGTCCTCAAGGCGTTTCTTGGGAACGACAGCAGCCTTCTGGCCAGTTAATGGATATTTCTTAGTAAACCGCTCCAGAAGCTCTCCTGCCCAGCGCTGAGACTGCATGACAGCTTCTCTCCCCCCCGGATCTTCCGGATTATCCCAGATTACCCGTTTCTTGGTCGGTTGAGAATCGCCTCGTGAATTGGGCCGTGTATTAATTCTTAGTGGACGGTGATACGGCAAGGTATTTCGAAACTTGCCAGTGATATGCCAGGGTGGACGCCCTGGGAGCGCGGCGCGGAATGGTATATTAATAGTTGCAGGATATGCTGGTCTAGTTGATGCTGGCAATGTTGGACGAGTATGGGGGCGGACTTTTTGTACCCAGATCTCGTTTTCTCTGAAGATCAATGGCTTAAAATCAGGCACTCTGGGATCAAATCCAGTAGTTGTGTCCTGACCTTGGGCACTGTTTTGCATATCCTCGTCAACTTTCTCTCCATTTTCAGAATCAGTGTCAGTATCTGTCTCGATATTCCTCAATGCTTTCAACAGAGAGTCCAACTTGCTCCTGTCTCCCTTCTTCCATCGCTTAAAAGTCGAGACAAAGGCATCGACATCTTCATCGCCGCCCGTTTCTTGCCGCTCTGCAGCCTCTTTCTCTCTATCTTCCACAAAGAGCCTCTCAAACATCGCTTCTGCAGTTGGCCTTTCGTTTACAAGGTTAATGACCGGGCCAATAAGGGTGATAGCAGGATCCCATGAAACGCTTTTATTGTTCGTACGGTGTGGCGAACTAATAGATGGGCTATGGCCGACTGCCGAAAGTACGACAGGTGGTGCCGAAGGATGGCCATTTTCCGTGGGATCCAGTGCCGACCTGCTAGTCGAGTTTGGACGTGGAGGATCTGCCTTGTTATCTTGATCTTGTTGTCTTTCTTGGTCCACAAACCATCCGTCAGACGTGTAAGAGTTCCCTGCGCGACCCGGAGAGCTGTGTTTATTTGGAGAGATGGGCTCACGAATCGGCTTATATATCGGAGAAAGTTCCCCTTGTCGCCTGGAATTACGAGTGATATCGTCCTTCTTTGGTTCTGGTTTTTGAGGCTTGCCAGAAACTCCCTTGATGATTGAGCCATTTGCCCGAATAATATTCCGACTTGAGGGTTGAAGATAGCGGCCGACAGAGGTAGGAGTGGGTTCCAGGACAATATTTGGATCCTCCTCGAGTGCATCATTCTGTATCACTATGCGCGAGAAGGGCGCATCTTTCTCTCTACTCTCGCTCTTATGAATCCCTCCCCTACGTAGATGCCTGGGTTGGTAGATCTGATCAGGTTTGTAGTGAGCCTTTCTTAGCATTGCTTGATACGCGGACTCTCGATCGGCAGGTTGGCATACGTCCTTCGAATTCTGAGGTTCTGCATCGGCATAATGCTGCGAGCCTGATTTTGGCACCATTTGGAATGCATGATCGTCGTTTTGTATTATTTGAGCTCTGAAATGCCCAGTGAAATATTGCCTCGCCTGGCTATTGAGGCTCTCCCCATGCGTTGCCGCTGTAGGATGCACTGGGTCGCTCACAGTTGCCGACCTCCTCGATCTGGGTGTGTGGAGCGTTATGTTCGGATCCATTGCCAAGATATGTGCTTCAGGATTTGGGTATGTAGCTTCAATTCGCTGAGCTGGAGGCGCTACACCTCCTGGTACGAACGTGGCTCTCATAGGCACACCGCGAAGCTCGTCGACACTGTCATTGGTAAAATTGACAAGCCTTTGTCTCAATTGCCTCGATAGAATTGCTGGATCCGGGATTGGCTCAGGGGTGGTCCTGAGACTTTGAGGTGGCCTCCACGCCTGCCAGTCATCGCCAGTATTATCTGCTGGCAGCCATGATTCCTGACTTTCATCCACTGGCGTCCCTACAGGACTTCTGAGTTTCCCGGTGCGTCTACTGGGTTGCATGCGTTCGCAAATAATAGTCTCGTTAGCAAATCTTGAAGGTATATCCTGTTCCTCATCTCTTTCTGCGATGAAACCTGGCGGAAAGAGACATCTGTCTTTGATGCCAGAGGAGTGCACCCCAGATACAAGGGATTTGTTGTCGCATATCTGATCAAAACCAAGGCCCTTATCATTTTGCGACGGTACTTCAAAAGCATTTGGGGCTTTTGATGGAGCGCCTAGATCTAGCCTGCTTCTTTTTAGTAGAGATGAGAAGTACTCATCATCTTTAACAGGAGATCTGTTACGACCGGGCAATGAGCCAGCCTTGCTTTCCTTCGGAACAGGCGCAGGTAGTTTCTTTGAATGGGAGTCCAAAAGTGACGCGTTTTCGTAACCCCGTTTATGGAATGGGCTCCATCTGTGGACATCCCCCGCCGAAGAAACATGCGGGCTTTCACCTGTATTTCGAGATGCGCTACTGCGCCATGAATTGGTTGTTGTTGGTTGTTTTGGTGGCTGTTTTGACATCTGCTTTGGCAGTTCTTTTGGCGTTTGCTTTGGCTGCCTTTGCGTCTGATCTGGAGTCTGCCTTGGTGTCTGCTTTGGTAGCTGTTGTTGTGGCTGCCTCAGTGTTTGCTTCGATAACGCCTTCGATGGCTGCTTCGATGGGGATGCCGCTGATATTCCTTTTTCTGCTGGGGAAACCCCCGAATTCCAGGGCCAGGGTTGTTTTGCAGTCTTCTGCCGTAGGGTTTGTTGGGGTGTTGGCGACAATCCAAGCTTCTTCCCACTACCGCTATGTGGCGGAGGTTTCGACATCTTGGGGCTTGCTACTTGAACGCAGCTATTTTCTCGCACGCTTGCCGGCGAGCCGGGAGTTTAGGTGGCGATCGATAGAATCGGGAAGGGATATATGCCTGAATTGTTCAGTTCGTATGGCACCAAGTGTATCCTGAAGGATGGAACCCACCCTGCCTCTTCAGTGATGCAGCGTATATGATGTCTCTCGTTCCAACTTCAGGAAGCTCAATCTAAGCATACCAGTTTGGAAGTTCGGGACGTTCAGATAGTTGCACATATCCATGCAGGAGATGAGTGAATTTAAGCACTCAATGAAGAGTAAATGACCGTATCGGAATGAAGCTGCGGCTATATAATACGCTTCGAGATGATGTAACGCTGCGAAGGCCAGTGAGGTCGCTTCATGGTTTGAAAGAGAGAAGAGAAGGAAAACAAGATGGCAAGCTCTGAAGTTTTGGAGCTTGGTGGGTCTAGACACCACCGTGTGGAAGGAGCGACCTGCGTTCTTGCCATATTTTAACCTTTTGCGGGCGTCGCCTGCGAATAGATCCAGGCACAGGCGGCAATGAAGGACGAACGTTTTATACTGCGGAAACTAGCCAAAGAGAAGAAATAGAAATTCTAAGAATCAAGTAGATATGTTCAGTATATTGGGGATACCCTTACCTGAGCTATGAAGCTGATGGAGTTGGAAAGTGCCCTGGAGCAATATTTTTTTGGAAAGAACGACCATGAGGTGACAGCCAAGAATTTACACACCCTCCCTCTTCTCATAGTTGATAGAATACCAGCAATGCTAAAATCAGGTACATTGATTGCTTGCAAAATGGCGACCCAAACGCTTAAGCTATCCAAAAACCAGTATGGGCATAAACCATGACTGCCTGCTCTTGCCCCAAAACCAACGAAAACGATGTACAGGCGCAGCCCTACATACCGCCAGCAGCAGCCTGAGCAGCCATCCATTGGGCGAATCCGGCTGGGTTCCTTGTCTGCAGGAAGACGGTCCCGGGACCGGTAAATTTGCACACCAGTCCTTCTCCTGATGCCACACCAGACATAATACCCCCAGAGGCGATACGCTCAAGGACGTACTTCGTGTTCCACGCAACGAGATGGCCGTTATCGACAACATATCGCTCGCCTTCTTGGAGCTATTACTGTGTCAGAATGCCTCTCATGATTGAGGTATGGTAGAGAACTCACATCTTTCCGAATAATAGCACCGAAGCTGGTAATCCACATAATTCCGGTTCCAGAAATTTTGAACACGAAAAGACCTTCGCCTGAGAACATAGCCTTCCCTAGGCCCTGGCGCTTGAAGTCTTTCACCACGCCTTGCGTCGATGCAAGTAGAGCATCCTTTCCCACGCTCCACTGCTCGCTTCCGGTGAGGCGAATCGACGTGATATCGCCAAGAGCCTGTGGGGCAAGAAGCAGTTCTCCTGGGCCTGTGAATGTCGACTGTGAAACATGGCCAGCCATGATTTTTGTCATGCTAAATTTCATGTTTCCCTTGAGCGTTACAGTTGGAGACATGGCGATCATACATCCTACTAGATATCAGTGCCAGCTCTCCCAAATACAGCAGCGAAGAATTGGTTAACACATACCAGGCTTTACGGACAGCGGACAACCAAATGCCAGCTGCAGAGTAATGATACTATTCGTATCCCTGTGGCTAATCCTATAACTCCCTCCATTGAACGTCCCAACGTCATCTTGCGTAGCAACTGCTCCCATAAACGCCCCGCTGCAGGTGCACCAGCATGCATGTTCACGCCTTGCTGCTGCTGCTGCTGCTGCTCCTCTTCATACTCTTGTTTCTCATCGGGATACTGGTCAGCAGCTACCCCCGGCGGGGGCGCATATTGCGGAAGACCCGCCGGAGCAGGCGGACTGGAGGGCTTCTGGTACGATGTGCGGTGAGAGAAGTTTGGGGGCGGCGCATATTGTTTTTGTGCTTGCTGCCCTGGAGCAGGGGGCGGAGGGTATGATTGCGTGTTTGAGGGTGCGGCAACTGTTGGGGGTGGTGGGTAGTATTGCCCTTGAGCCGGGGCCGGAGGAGTAGGAGTTGTCGGGGGCGGGGCAAAATGCTGCTGCTGCTGCTGGGCTGGTTGACTGCCCGGGGGAGCTGTAATTAAATGCTGTTAGCTTCAGAGTGAAATGACGGTGGAGCTTGAAGGATCACGAAGGAGCGGGGTAGAGGAATGGGATCCTTACGGGGATAGTAACCAGACATGGCGACAGTTTCGAAACACAATGACAACAGCGATAGAAAAGGACAGAGTATAGATTTGAAGCTATACGTAGGATATGGAGAGTTGAAATTGACGCCTCGTGAACAATGCTACCTGGTTGCTGTCAGCTCTCCATCCCCCAGCTTTACCCCGCACCTATCACGGATAACAAAGGGACACCAACCTTCTTTAAACGGCGACAAATCAGCTCCAAATAGCAAGACAAGAAATGCAGAAATTGTAGAAATGAAGCAGCGACGTGTATCGGGGAAGCAGGCACATCTATATACCCGCTCACCTACCTGCAGCTGGGCTTGACGCTGAATGGCCCATGCCCAGTAATTGGAGACTGCATCTATTTCTAGCGCCAGCGATCAACTCCCTCGAAACATCCTTACATAGTAGCACTGTGGCAGACGGTCGCCAGCATGCGACCAATAGCGCCATTCCTGCAACCCATCTCGTCGGTATAGACCTATCGACGAGGGTTGTGTGGTTGCGGGATCGGTGGCTATCAGCGCCGTCAATTGGGCCCGCTTCCGCTTGGGTGTGCCGTGGGCGCTTACAGGTGGAGAGATTGATGAGCCCTGGGGGCTCGGCAGCGCGAAAAGGGCGAAAAGAGACACAATGGAGACACAGCATACTCCCGTATAGTACTCTCTGGGCACCACATATCGACGATCAATCACCATCGCTACACAGGCAATAGGGACATCACACATCACGCACAATAATATTGTCAACTTTGGCGATGTTTTCATGATCTTGCAATTTTTGTATCTATACCACTACGAGCTGTCTGTCTCTAAAAGGCTCAAGCAAGTTTGCGAAAAAGTCACTTTCTCGTCATCGCATCGCATCGCATCGCATCATTCTCTCTGCCAGAACATATATAACCTATCCATGCATCATGAGCATCATATTTTAGTTTCCCTTCCCTTGTCATCCGTACCCTACATGAAAGCATCCTTGATCTTGATTCCTCTCCGCCCATAAAAAGCCAAGAACACCAAACAAGAAGCCGAGGAAATACCCCAAGGCACACTCTAACCCTGTTGTCTCTTGCGCTTTCCGACTTGTGCGGAGAAACCAGTCTTGATAGCCGTGACCGAACGACGCGATCCGCAGGAGTTGCAGGTGATGAAGTACAGTCTGTTCTCTCCCTTGTTGAGCTCCGTATCCGGGGATCTGCAAGTTTTGCAAGTGACGTATTCCACTGTTATTGATTAGTTTCTGGTTTTCTATGCAAACGCAGCTCGATTCTGGGAAAACTCACTGATATATCTCCTCAAGACGTTCTCGATCTGCTTCTGCTGGAAGCGACCCTTGATAACCAATCTCCTGCTTCCGTCCACGGAACCGCTCGTACCCAACTCAGCGAACAGGTATGATGTAACGTGCTCGTCGGTCCTCTTCATCCTCTTGCAGATCTCGTTCAGGTTGGCGAAAATGGTCTTCTTGTTTCCTTCACGGAGACACTGTGGTGGGGGGATCTTGTACGATCTCGAGCCGCTGCTTGCGTGATCTGGGTTCTTTTGGGCCAGCAGGCTAAAGAAACGGGTAAGGAGTAGCTCGTATCCGATCGGCTTGATGTCGTTGTGCGCCCAGATACCGGTTCCCTTCTCCATATCGCCGGAATCCTCAACCTTCTCGGGCTTGGCGGCGACCTCCTCATCTCCCTCCTCCTTGTCCATGTCCAGAGCAGCGAGCTTGGCGGCAAAGTCATCCTCTCCCTCTTTTGGCACCTTCTTCTTCTTCTTCTTCTTCATCAGTGTGAGGTCGAGGCCACCGTCAGCAGCTGCATCAGCCTCGCCGGCTTCGTCATCAGCCTTAGGCTTCTTGGCCTTCTTCTTCTTCATGCCCTTGAGCATGTTGGCGACATCGTCGTCATCCTCTTTTGGCTCCTCTCCGTCAGGGCCTGGTATATTGTTAGTCGCCACAGGCGAATTTGTAGGTGAAATGTGGGGTGACAAACTCGAGTGCGACATTGCTGTGTCCTTCGATCCGTCGGCTCCCTCGGTGGAGACCTCTCCATTCTCATCCACGATAGTTGCTCCCTCGCTGAACGCGACAGACTTGCGCGGTTTGCGCTCTGCGATAGTATCCTGTCGCAAACGTGTTAGTTTGACCTGATGTGGCATTTCGCCCCTCATCCAGCGTGGGTTTGTATTTACCTCGCCCGCCATGATTGCAACCCTATGAAAATCCCTCTATTGATAATATCGACGCGATCAGGTGTGTGGTCTCGTCGTATTCGTTATGGAACCTTGTTGTTGTCTTGGGTAGGTAAGGTCGATTCGATATTCGCCGTTCAAATTCCAAGGTGGGCTTCGTGAGTCAAAATGCAGCTTATGTAAGCAACATTTATTCGTTGCCGAGAGCGTGGGGAAGACCGCTCCCCACGTGAACTGGGAGCTCCTAAGAGCTACGGGTAAAGCACAACTGACGACGCGCGACTCACGATTACCACACATTGGCATGCCAGATATTTGATCCCTCCAGTGCACGACCTGCTACTGTAGGCTGGGTTCACAAAGACGTTACCTGTGCCTTGGAAGCACATCCCGCTCCACACTTCCAGAGCCGCCCAACTCGCAATGTCGTCCTCAACATCCTCCTCATACGTCTTCCCATCCGAACAATGGTCGACGCCAGCCACAGCCTCGGATGCTCATGATGAGCTCGCATCAGATAATGACGACCTCGATTCCCTACCATCATCGATAGATAGCTCGGAGGAAAGCTCGGAATACAGCTCGGATGCGCAGAAGGAGTGGGAGGCTAGCCTGCAACAGATCGAGCTCCTGCTCACAATGGTTGTTGTGCCGTACGTGGGGAAATATTTCGGGAGGAAGTGTGCTTATTGGAGTGAGTCCGCTCTTCCGCGTTGCTTTTATTTGAGGGTTGCGATGCAGACGAGGCTTGGGGACAGTTACTGACTACGATACAGGCTGGGCGAAATACATGGAATGGATGTACGCAGTCGAAGTGAGATATACGAATAAGGCGGCATTTAGAATGGCTGGGGCTATTGAAGCAGCAGCAACATTATAGGACAGTCCGATATGGTGTAAATAATATATCAACGAAATGAAATCGGAGGCCACTGAAGCATTCATGTGTTCATGGAGTAAACCCCAACAGCGGTCCTTGATATAGGATTCGTAGTCCACAGTGATTTCAAAGTCTGGACTAGCAGCACCCCCTCAACAAGTTACTGAAATACTACACATTCTACCGCTAACAACATGGGATGTGGCGGTTCATTAATCGAATGAGAGACCGCCTTAGCAGCGAACCTAAAGGCCCCCTCGAACCTCACAGGAGCTACTCGCTAGGTTATCGATCTTGAAGCCGCTATTAAGAAGCAGGAGTATGAGTTGACGGGCTAAAGGGCTAAGCTACTCGCTTTGACGTGGATATCAATGCGGTAAAGCGCGAGCGGGTCTGAAGGTAATCGACGGCAAGGTTGAGTAGTGACAGCAGATATCAGCGACGGCGAGATGAAATCCACCGTGAAGGCTTTTTCTCACTGTCGATCATACTCTGCTGTCACCTACACAGCCCACCACCGCCGAGTTTACTGTCACTTCCCTAACTCGCGACCACCCGCACATGGTATCGCCGTCGAGCCACGCTCATTTCCTCGATGCTAATTATTGTAGCTTCCGCTTCGACGGATGCCCAGGATTCCTTGTTATTTTGGGCCGTAGATGCTGGGAAGAGATGATGACCACAGGCGTTAAATAAGTTCATGATGCAGGTACCGCCGTTGTGAGAGCTGGACTTCATAGTCGTCATATTTGCTAGAACTCTCCGAAAACAGAGGCAGCGTGAAATAGCATATCCACAGGAATCTCCGAATACAGAGGCGTGGAAACAGTCATCCCGTCTCCGTGTCTGTCAACTAACCGTTATGAGGAAAATGTCAAAATGTCGATGTCCCATGTAGCTTTTGAAGTCTTTAAACCCCCATCGCCATGCCTCAACGATGACCGCTTTGACGAGGAATTCTTTGCGCAGAGAGGCTCTGAAGATGTTCAGATCTTCAACCTCGAACAAATGCTCGGAGTCTTAACTAGGTTATGAGATTGGGTGACGGTAAGAGGAGGCGACGGTAAACTCAGCGACAGCAGGGATGAGTAGTGACAGCAGACTGTCAGCGGCGGCGAGAAGATACCCTCCACGAAGGCCATCTTCTCATCGTCGCTCATACAGCACTATCGCCCGCAAGAGTAGCGGTATGGTCGTTCTTACCTTCCCAAAGGCAGTTACATGCCTCATGTCGTCTTATTTTGCCTCTTGGAGAGCGATGCCATGCTTCGCCTTGGCTTTGTTTTGCTTCTCATCGTTCTTAGCAGACTATCAGCAACGGTGAGGAGAAGGCATTTCTCCAGTTGCCGATGGGTATCTCATGCATCTTGATCAAACGTAACACAACACTCAAAGGTTGATAAACTCATCTATCAATTTGGGAGAACGATTTCTTATATTCTCGCGCACGTCATGCTTAAAATCATCTTATAAAACAAAGATAAATAAACTATCAACCAAGTAGGCAAATCCGCCGAAAGGTCATTTAAGATTCTCTTAAAGAATTCCACCCTTTTTTTCCATCCTGCACAACCACCGCCCCAAAAACAAATATTAAATCAAGAGATAGATAAATGAGAGAAAACCTCCAAGCGCCACGGTATGTGTCTTGTCCGTGGGCTGTAAATGATAAACGCCAGGGTATCGTATGCTTCCCGAAATATGTGTTTAGTTGAAGTCGGCCAAGAGACATCTGATGGGTTGACTCAGGAGTCCGTTTTTGGGAGCGAAGTCTGCATTTAGTCGTCTTGTAGAGACATCATAATCCTGCACCAAATTAGCATTTTGCCACCACCGAAGATTAAAGAGGGAAACTCACGGTAAGCTATCAAACACCACCTCGTTATGTTCGTAATGCACAACAAAGCCACCTCCCAACACACGTCTTAGCTCATGCAGTCGCATCAGCTTCCACCACCGGTCAATCGTCATCGAACCCCCACCGTGAACCTTAACCTTCATCCGGCTCCCGTATCGCTTCCCAGTCTCCTGGTCAATCGCCTTCTGGTATCGCGGTCCGCGCTGTGGGTGCTCGACGGTACACAGGATATCGCCGAAGCTGGAGTGCAGGTGCTTGCGGTCCTTACGGCTGATGGACTTGGAGGAAACGGCTGCGAGCTGGCGCAGGGTGTGCTGAAGCTGGTTGGTCTGGCGGTAGACGTTGTAGCGCTTGACTAGCGAGGTATCCAAGGGAAATCCCTCCTCATCTTCTATCTCCTCAGGGGGCCCGTCATCTTCTTCGCGATCGGTGTATGATTTCTCAAACAGCAAAGCGATGTTCTCCCCTGCGGCGATCTGGACGGCGGCGTCAGTGCTCTCGAGCTGCTCGACAAAGGCTTCTATGGCTTCTTCACTACGGTCTTCCATGTCGTCGAGGGAGGTAGCCAGGAAGCCCCAGGACTCGAGTGCAGCGACGACGACGGGTGCTTCGTCAGCTGCGTCGATGGAGGTGCCGTCGGATTCGATAATCTCGAGGAGCTCGTCAAGGAGTTCCTCGGTGGCTTCGTCTGCTGCGCCACCGTACATGAGGACTGAACCGAGGGAGGAAATCGCCGTGGTCTTCGCGGCAATCGACTCGGAGCTCGTGTAGATGCGCTTGATGGCTGGGAAAACGGTGGCATAGGCAGCGTCGGACGGCGAAGTGATGAGGGTCACGGCGATGGCGCGGATGGCGAGCTGTGTCTCCTTCTCGCTGCTCTCGGCCTTGATACTCTTGAGGAAGGCGGCGAGAAGGTCTGATTTCCGGGACGAGATAGTATCGAAAGCGTAGTGTGTAGTCAGGAGGTGCACATAGACTGCGTAGGCAAGCTCGCGACCCTGGATGCTGCTGCGCTTGCGGTCGATGATCTCTTCGATGCGGACACTGAGGGTCTGTTTCCAGGCGTCGGTGCCGTCATCCTCAACGCCTTCGCCGGAGAGTAGTTCGTCGATCGAGTTTGTGCTGGGTGGTAGGTTAGCTTTTATTTCTTGGGAGGGGTTGGCGGGTAGACGCGGGGTACAAACCTCCAGTTCGTGCTATCACTTAGATTCTCTTCCTCTTCATCTGAGCCGTGCCTGCTCGCATTTCTCGAGCCTGCGTGAGATGATGCGCGGGATCCAGCGGCGGAGGAGGCGCGCGAGGAGACCTTGGACTGGGCCTTTCGCGACACGGTCTTGTGGCTCTCGAGAGCTTGACGTCTGAGGTCGCGCATGTTGGCGGTTTTCGTCTCTTGCAAGCTTATCGAGGCTGAAGGAAAAAGTTTGGGCCCGAGGAAGGAAGGGCGATGGGCACTATATGAGTTGTACACGTGTGTGTTGATCTAGCGGTGTGGTCCACCTTTTTTCGCTGGCTGAGGGTGTGCTGGATGTTATCGCAGAGCTTTGTGGTACATGTAGCGGAAAAAGGTCGTGGAAGATGCGAACTCCATGTGTCTGAGGGCGCTGGCTCTAGGGTCAAGGTGCGTATATGTACGTCTGTACTCGGTATGGGATGGAAGGATGATGTTTGTGTGTGTGTGTTGGTGTTGTCGAGCCGGAGAGAGTTGTATTGAAGGAAGCTTGGTGGAGATAATTATCCGGGGCAGGGCAAAGCAAGGCAAGGCAAGGCAGGGCAGGAAAAGTGATGATGACCAGCGTCAAGAATTCGCACAGTGTTTGTGGGCCGACGTGGGCGAATGAGGGGTCAAGTAGTCCAGTAGTCAGGTAGGGTCAGGTGCCAACCAGGTGGCAGGCGGGCAGGAGGTACTTGTATTTATACTGATTATTTGCAGTGTGGCAAAGTACCAAGAGCCTTGGCCTTAGGCCATAGGCCATAGTATGGGCAAGTTGCATGGAGGGGTGAATCATAGGTGCCCGATCGGGTTTAGTGTGGGACGGGAGTGCGGTGGAAGGTGGGGTACGGTAGACATCAGGCAGTGATAGTGCAGCGATAGTGAGGCGATAGCGAAGCGTGAATTCACCTCGATAAGAAAGCAAAGATGGAAGCAATAAGGGGGTAAGATGAAGGAATAAATGATAGGCAGGCAGTATATAATATATATCATATGTTTTAAGAGATGTTTTACAAAGATTCAGGTGCATTTTATGTGTGTTTCTTGCGTATATAATGTCTCCCCATCATGTGCAACAAGTCAACCCTACAAGAGTACAGTACAGTAAGCAAGCATAGCATATTGGAACATAAACCCCTCGGCCTTTCTTTCATGGGCACACTGTCTGACTTTCTAGCCTATGAAACCTTATTTGATGCACTTGTAGTCACTAAATTGCCACTTATAACCACCTACAACCACTTATAATCCCTTACGAGCTACAAGCCCTTTATAAAGCACTATCTGTCACCACCTACGGCCACTTACGGGCCACTTAGACGCAGCTTCCATCGCCAACCGACACCACCACCAACAGCCTTAGCGAAGTCCACTTCCTCTGGGTTTGATTGTTGATTGTCCGACTGCCCGAGTGCCCCGCCGTAGCGCATCTGGCTGCCTGTCTGTACGGGAGTGCAGTACTGGCTGGACTGGCTGCAACCAACTGGCGTGGGTCGTACTTCCCCTCCTCCTCTCCCCTCCCTTGCCTCGCCCGACCGACCATCAAGGTCACCTCATACTATCTTCCCCTCCATAAGAAAAGCCACTACAAGGCGGCACTACACCAATGAAATAATACACCTTCAAGGCTTCATACCAGAACATCCTTCTATCAACTTCATCAGAACATCGTGAAACGTGTGACGGCTTGTCAAACTTACATCTAGCAAAAGGCAACCCAAGGCAAGGCTCGCTATCTTATCTACATTCATCCGTCACCTGCCTGTCTATCAAGTGCACGGCGGGTGCGGGGCTGAATCCATCATCGAACATCAAACATCAACTTCACCTTTCAAGAAGGATCACACTCGCCTTCCAAGGCAGTTCGTGCAGAACACCACTGGTATCACCATGTCGGATACTATTCAAGGTATGCATTTCTATCAAGTTCTCCAAACCCTCGTCGTCCGATCTGCGAGTAAGGTCGGCAGCCTATTGCTTCATGATCACCCCAGATCTTACGATACGAGGGCGCACATTTCTGCGTTTGTCTTCATGATACTGCACAAGCAAATTGGCCCTCATTATTTTTGTTACTGTTACTGCCAGCATATATTCTACACGCACCTGCTAACTCACTCACAGCAAAGGTTACCCTCACAGCCTTGACGGCAGGCATCTTCCCCTTGATTCGTATACTCCATCTACACGAATATAATGAGTCCATCCCGATCGGCCGATCCTCGAAGAACCCTCTGAAGCACCTCGTCGCAGCTACAGACAACTGCTGGGTCGATAGCGATGTTGTGTCCCGAGACCATGCACGCCTCAATTTTGACTCGGATCTGAAGGTTAGTTGAAATATCCCCACTCTCTCCGCTGTGATACTGAACCGAACTGACATGATGCAGAGAGTATTCATCGAGGACACCAATTCGATGCATGGCACCCGCATCAACAACAGACAGATCCCCAAGAACGACCCTATCCCCCTGGCCAACGACGACGTTATATCGCTCGGTGCAGAGGTCAAGCGAGGCATCGAGACCTACCCAGAGTGCCGCTTCCAGGTTAATTATGAGCTTCTGCCGTATTTGTAAGTTCGCTCATCCACACATGCCATGCTCATAGACTGACTTGTATCAGCCCGTCCACGGGACGCACCTATCAGCTCCTCTCCGACGATGAACCCTTTGAGATTTCAGATGACGAACCCTTTGAGGTTTCAGATGATGACGAAGAAATCCAAAGAAAGGACAGTCCTTCCACCTCCACTCCTGAAGCGAAGCCGAATATGATGCCGGGAGCCTTGGATGCCACGGCAGACGATGACGATGTCGTCGAGGTCGACCCACCTGTGTACGAGTTTTCAAGACTCCCCACCGAGACAGCAAAGCCCTTCCAGGCTGATGTCGAATCCGTCGACGAGCCAATGGAGGTCTCGGATTCTGACGACGATTCTATTGCCTCGAGTGACCGTGAACCATCTGAGCGACCGATTGGACGAGGCTCTTCCGTGGAAATCACGGCAGAACGCGCATCTGTCCGAGCAGGCGTTGAAGCCGATGATAATAACCTTGAAATTTCAAGCGATTCTGGGATCGAATTCTCGGACGATCAAGCTTCTTGGCCTGACTCCGACAACTCTGACGAGGACATTGACGACTTCTTAGACGACGACTTTCTGGCGGCCTACGGATCCCCTAAACCTGGCTTCGATACATCTGTACCAGCCGAACCCGGAACCAACCTATCCAATACACCTCCTCATGACCCAACGACTGAAAGCCAGCCCCAGTTGTTGAACCCAAAATCAAGCACCCACCTCCCAGGAATCGAACAAATCGAACATGCCGTGTCTCCAAACACGCAGGCCCCGCTTGCGCCCATGTTCCCACCCCTCGTCCCAATTAGAGTTGACTCTGCTACCCTGAAGCTTATCGACCTAGATACCGAACAGCAGCCAACCCCCGTCATACCCTTTTCCATGCCGAGCCCTTCTGACGCAGCCCTCAAGGGCCGTCGGTCCACGACACCGCCGTGGCGGACGGAGAAACAAGAGTTCCTCGCCGCACGTGTAGATAATCGTGCTAAGTTTGCGACCCATTGGATGGATATGGGGCCTCTGAAGCACACAGCTGTGGGAGGCGAGTCGTCTGCTGCAGGTGGCTCTTTAGGTGGTTTTGCGCCTAAGCCAAATGAATATAATGAGGAGGAGAAGCCTAGCTCTACCAGCAATAGCATGATCCCGGAGGGCGTCGTGTCACTGCGAGAGAAGCCGTCCGTCCAGGCGATGTTGTTGGAGTCTCCGAAGGAGCTACCCCTGAAGCGCAAGATGGATGAAATTACGGTTGACGAACCTCTTGTAGTTACCAAGGCTCCTGAGACAGCGCAGGCTATTGCCTCTGCGAGGAATATCAAGGCCATATCTGATGCGAGGGCTATGAGGAGAGCACAAGCACTTACAGCTGTTTATGGACATGATAAGGCAATAGGGGCTGCGAACATACATATGACAACGGTTACTGCCACAGGTACAGTCTCCAACACGCTGGCAAAGGCAGACAACCCCACCCCAGCGCCTACACCTGCTGTCAAATCCACAATTGCAGCCGCGACCTCAGCGGCATCGGCAGCCAGTGTCGAGCCCACGCAACAAGAAAATGAGCGGCCAGCAAAACGCCAGAAGCAGGAGGCAACGAAGGCTGCAAAACGATTCGCATATGCAACATTTAGCGGCTTCGTGGCGGGCGCGGGTTTGTTTGTTGCCCTGGTGGCAACAGCACCAGATTTCGGGGGATTCATGTGAAGTGAGGTTCTTGATCTCAGATCGGCTGGAGACAGTTGCACGCATGTACGCATGCACGAATGCACGTACGCACGCACGAATGCACGTACGCACGCGCGTAAACGAATAACGGCCCCTACTATTTTTTCATGTGTGTGGAAGGGGGTTTAATATCTGCAGCGATTCTTTGAAATGAGGTATTTGGGTGTTTAGGGCGTTTATTGTGGCGAGGGAGGGGATATCGAGCGTTATGGGCCACAATTTTTCGGAGAGTGTAGGATGGGGCTTGAGCTATAGTTTGCCTTTGGGGTTTGGAGTCGGCAATGAGGTGAGGTAGATGATTAATATGATTATGAACTTTTATTGACACGCGTTGTTTTGTGTTTATTTTGAGGGGAGGGGTATTTGTTTGCCATTGTGGGTTTGTCATTCTAATTGCGGGGATGAAAAATAATAAAGTAAGGGGATAAGTGTCACCGCTTAAAATATTCCTTTCCCAAAAATAATATATATAATAATAAATTGAACCTACATATCTACCTACAATATTTATCCATCTGCCACCCTATATACCGAGGGGGGAAAAATAGTAAATACCTCTTGTGTGTTGCTTTTATTTCAGAGGAGTCATCATAGGTGAGTCTTCATTCACCATTCTTGGTACGTTTGTCTTAGAAGCCATTCACTGACAGCTCATTCATCCACGCCAAAGATTCAGAGTGGACAGATGATTGAGGGTAGGTTACATATCACCTCTCGTCTCGGTCCTGAGTCTTGGTGGGCTTGGTTCATTATCATATTTTCTACATCCCAACGTCGACTTGAAGCTGGATAACGCTGCTCATATATTTTTTATATTGCCTTCAACATACCTATCATCGCAAGGGTTTGGAGATACCCATCCATTTAAAACACCTATGCACACACCGCCTTGAAAAGCTCGTCCATTAAACAGCACAATGGATCCTCACAATCCCGCACCACCACAGTCACCAGTGGGAGGACATGAGATCGACTCCTCGTCCACAGCTTCACCACCAACGTCCACCATCATTACCACTCCCCTCACTGTCCCAGCATCCATACCAACCCCAGCAGCCGGCGTCCCATCCGGAATCTCTCCACCCAGCCCTCCCACCACGCCCATCGCTACAATGTCAGACTTATCAGGCCCTCCTTGGCCTCGCCCACCTACACCAAGACCACCGCTACCTCTCCCGGACCGAGTCTGCGGCTTGGACGGTGCAAATACGCCACCGGGTACCCCTATCGCTGGTCCCAGTTTCCCTCAGCCACCGTTCTCTTCATACCCAGTTGCAAGCAGTCAGTCTGGGCCGCTCACTCTACAGCCCGTTGATGACAGGGGTTCTCCAATCCCAGTTCCGGATATCTTTGAACCGCCAAAGGAGGATTCTGGGACACGTCCGGTTCTGCGTCTCCGTCCTGAAACCGGGGTGGGAGAGCCACATGGCAATGTGGAAAGTCATGGTGTCATGAGATCGCTGGATGAGATTGTGAACTCAAGTGGATTCGAGATAGGCGATTTAGCCGATGAGGATTTCTACGCAGACGCAGACATCGGCTCGGGGAGCGAAGCCAGCTCCCTCAGTTCACTATGGGCAAGCCGTGCTTACCTTGACCACAGAAGCGGATATTTGGGTGAGAGTGTACGGGCCGGGCCTCCTGACCATGAGCACCACCTCAATAACGACGACAACGGTGCAGGCGAAGGAAACAAGAAGGGCAAACGCAAGGCATGTGATTGTGCGTACTGCGACCCCGACTCAGACCCCCACCATGACGGCTATTTCAGCGATTCTGGGACAGCGACAGGAGACGAGGGGCCTCGACGAGCAGGGCCATTCGTGCCTTCATTCCATGATTCGCAAACGGCGCCTGTGAAACGGGGGAGTTTTGTGTTTCGCAACAGCTACGAGGGCGAGAATAGAGATATGCATGAGAGGGGCGGTGATGGCGAGGATGAGGTGATAGTGTCCGTTGGTTGTGAACTCGAGTTTCCCTTGGCGCCTGAGAGGAGCGAGGGTCAGCGCATCAGCGATGAGGTTGCGAGGTTTGCGCCTCCTGGGCCAGGGAGAGAGATCCATCGCTTGCCGGCTTCGGTGCCGGTATGTATTCGGAAGCCACCTGCTAGAGCTGTGTCATATCGTGGTCGTCGACGCTATCGGACAGGCTCCCCAGAATTCATTCCTGACCCCTCCATCATACAGCTCCTCACGCCGCAGGGCACAGTCGGTGCACAGTTTAACAACGTGGCGGATGTGCAGGTGACGGCTGAAATTGGGTTGCTAGGGGGAGGTTATGGGATGAGGGAAATTAGGAGCAACGGCGGGTGTGACGAGGTGATACGCGGGTGGGGAGGGGTCAAGGGATCTGTGATTGAGTTTAAAGGGGGGGATAAATGGGAGCTCAACTTGAAGGGGAAGGAGGCCGAATTGAATAAGGAGGCCAAGATGGGAAGAGATTCCCCGAGTGGTTTCTATGACGGCGACGACGAGGGAACAATAGGGGCTGCATCAGATCCTGAAGGCGCGGTAGCCCAGCTCAACGCCCAACCAGCCAACCAGGATTTTGTTCTTGGGCCTGGTGAGACGAGGCCGTATATTCTTGATGTGATCCACGATGATCCCAACAAGCCGTTGTCGAGGTATGCGAATGTCGGAGACTACAGCATCAATTTACGAGGCTCTGAGAAGGGTGATGGCTTTACCGTGCGGTTGAGAGATAGAAGGGGTTCCCTGGTGATCATGTGGAAGAGGGTTGCCAGGGTTGAGATTGTGCATGTGGGAGGGGTGGTAATTGAGATCAACGCGGGTGATGGGGAATCGAGTGAGGATGATGGTGCTAAGATGGCTGGTAGAGGCGTTGATTTGAGAGGGGGTGGAGATAAGGGCAATGGGAATGGATACAGTCAAGGAGAAAAGGGTCTCGAGAATATTGGAGCAGACAAAGGAAAGGGACGAGCAACAACTGACTCTTCGACTGTGGGTAGTCTCCCCAGCAACGATGAAATCGAAGCAGAGGTGCCACAAAAGACAAGACAAGGCAAGGGAAAAGGGAAAGCAGTTGAAGATGGCGATGTTACCCCTCGAAATCACTACCACTCCGACTCCGAAAGCCACGGCTCCATTCCACTATTCTTCGAAACCCCAGCCGACTACGTCCAGACACTCGGCCCACCCCACCGCATCGAGAACCCAGAACCCGACTACGTCCTCGGAAGCTGTCCCTGTCTCGACCGACCCATCACCGATGCCGACACCAACGCGGGTCCCCCGCAGTGTACCTGCATCCGCCCCGCGAGTCCAGAAACCCCCGTTCCAGAGCCGTGGACTGGTGGTTACTTCAGCCCTCGGTACCAGGAGTTTCTTCGTAGTGGGCCACCGAATGAGCCATATAGTCATTCGTGTACAGCATACGAAGATTCCCATGGCGAGTGGGTCAGTGAGGTGAGGGGAAACTTGGAGGAAAATATTGCAAACCACGCTTCAAGCTCCAAGGGTCCAGAAGATGCAGTTCCTCCCAACAGGGCCTCGTCAGTGCCAAAGCCTTTGGGTTCTCCAAGCGGGGATGCACCGAAAAAGCAGCGCGATGATGATGACAGACGGCAGGTGAAGAGTCAGGGTGGTCCAGGCCCCGTCAGTGGGCTAGAAGGGCAACCTGAAGGTGATACGCCTGTGGGTTCTCGGAATGGCTCTCATGTATATTCCAGCCAGCGCGAAAATGTTGCAAATGAAGGCACCAACTTTACGAACGTCATAGGAGAAACTGCAAGAGGAAATACCACAGAAGGAAATACTGCGGGAAATACTATAGGAAATACCGCAGTGGGAAATACCGCAGGAAGACAGCCGCAAACCTATACTGATAGGCGTGCCCATGAGTTTCATCCACTTCAAGGACCTCTTCACCTCCCTACCTTCTATCCCCTTCACCCTCCACCCTCACCCTTTCACCTTTCAGGACAGCCTACCATCACCACGATTCAATTCTTCCCACCCCACGAATTCCCAAGCATCCATTACCAACACCCTCCATCAGCACCCCACCCCCAATTCACGCATTACAGCCCCTTTATCCCGCACCCCCAAAACTTATACCCCCACAACCATCCCCAGGGGGTCCACCAACCTCCCTCCATCCCGCCTGAAATCCCAGAAAGCAACTATTTCTATCCCGACGGCCGACCTGCAAGACTCCGCTTCCCCACACCACCTGACCAAGGTGCCGGGCAACAGCAATCCGGCAGCAACCACGAACATGCGCCTTCTACTGCCACGCAAAACCCAGCACGCATCACGCAAGCGACAGGTCCGCAGCCAGCTCCTCTAGACCCTTCATCCCGGGGACCTGACTCCCCCCTAACTGAGGAACAGATGGTACGGTTGATGGTAGCTTTTGAGTTGTTGCGCGATATGCATGTGGATCTGGTGCAGCGGTTGGGATCGAGGGGGGTGTAGGATAATGATGAGATGTACCATTAGCTTTGGTTGATTTGAAGTGGTATATGGGTTATAGATAGGTTAGTTAGGCTTTGTGTAATTCAAGCAGTGATTTTATAACACCCCTTTCCCACCCTGCGGCGTCAGGAAACAGCCTATGCTCCAAGCCCTCCCACGCCGTCACCCGTCTTTTAGGATAGAAATTACACCTACCTGCCACCAGATCCTTAAAACCCCCATCAAACCCTGGGATATCATCGCCATCTCACTCTCACCCCACCACCAGCTCCTGTCGTCGATCCGTCGGTTTCCACTTTATTTTTCAATTCCTAAAGCGGATCGAATATCACCTCGTGCCTGAGGGCGTGGGATGCTCAATGCCAGGAACTGATCAAAATAAAACATGTTCCTGTCATGAGACACTGAAACCCACGCAGTATATCCCGCAGGATTCCTTCCTACGCCGCAAGGAGCACACCCGACCGCGCGGGACCACGCAGATCGCTGGCGACATAGCCCTAGGCGAGCGCCGAACCGAGCGGGAATCGAGTCGCGCGCGGGCTAGACGCAGATATAGACTCTATGCATTTGTAGCGAGGCCATCCTAGAGCTCGGACGACGACCCGAAGACTGCGGGGGGTGAGTGCTTGAGTTCTTTGATCACGGATTTGTGGCTGTCAGATCGACTAAAGGGGGAGTGGGGGTGGTCGTTGGCTCTGATAAGTGATAAGTAAGTGGGGGCGTCTGTCTGGGGGAGCGACGGTCTGGGGAAGGAGGGGACCTGGCTGAGCTGACGAGGGAAGTTGACGAGGCTACTGTACATAGATACACGGTCTCTGGGGTTATCGTTTCTTTTGGGGAGTACCACTTTTGAAAAATGTACTTTCCCTCTGGCCGGACTCCCTCAAGGATGCTTGAGATTACTATCGACTCATTCGGATTGGTTTGGGCTGCTATTGAGGTTGCCAGGGGACACGGTCCTATTGGGCTGGAATGGGCCAGATTGAAGGGTTACATTTGTGGAGTATACTGGGAATCGAAATTTTGAGTCAAGAGCGCGATGAAGGGTACGATGTGTGAAGAAAGAGCTGAAGAAAATTCATGTGAGGCAGCAAGATGTATTGGGTTTGGTTGAAGTCATTTAAGTGGTGGAGTTGGGAGAGGTGGTAAAATTGAATCGGGTTGACTCAGCGCGGACATCTAGCAAGGTTCATCGTGGTCCATGCGGCTCATGAAGCCGCCGGTCGCGAAGAAGTGATAAAATATTTGCACCTCGACTGACCGCTTCTTTGTGATGTTTGATCACCATCCACGTCGACGTAGATAGCGTGGATACTTTTAGGAGAGCTCGAATATAATAGCTCTTTTTTTAGTTTCGTGTCCCCACGCTATGTTAGGCCATGTGCCTCGGTCTCTTGAGTCGTCATTTTCGCCTCGTCGGCGGCTGGGCCCGTTTGACAGTAGTGAGCAGCATTGACTTCATAGCGCGCGATCAGAAAAAGAAACGCGTAGGGTTACGTGTGTGGGTGGGTGTATGTGTGTAGCGTAGGACAGAATAGCACATGCCGTTTCTCGTTGAGATGGAGGGATGGAGAGCAAACATTTTGTACGGAGTACGGTTGATATTCTCGTTTAGGAAGGGTTCTTGTCGTTTTTATATGTATACGGTTTATATACGAGAAAATAAATATAGGTTGACGTGGAGGAATCTAGCAAACTGTCAAACTAGACATTCCCAACCCGCACTTCTCAACCAGACTAGAAATCCCCAACGACTCCTCTATAGTGGCTGTATAGTGGCTGTATAGTGGTAGAGTATACTATATTAAGATACACTCCGTACGGTACACACTCTATCTCGAGCAAAGCAAAGCAAAGCAAACAGACCGTGGAGTGTCACGTGCTACACCCCTCCGATACGGCATGAAAGTGGCAGAGTAGCGGCAGCGATACCATGAATAGATCTCTACCTAGTCCTTCTTCGTAGGTAGAGATTAGGTTAGTTGGGCGATTTAGTTTGTGGGATGACCGTGATTGGCTCGATAAGCCGGTGGCGGCGGGGCGTTTTCTTTGTACTGTACATTTCGTGGAAGTACTCGGGATTCCGCCCTGTTGGCGATATGTGCGATACGGAGTGCGATACGCCTCAGATACGCCTAGGTACCGTCTAGATACGCCCTGCGATACACATTTTGAGCCCTTTTGGCCCTTTTGGACTCTATTTGTACCGTGGCTCGTCTGAACTAGAATCCCCCATTACTGCGCCAACGCGGCAACAAGAAATTCCAGACACCCACAAATTCCCTCTTCCCTCGGTACGTACCACGCTATTCCCGCCGTACCACTCGCCGTACCACTTATACCACTCCCCGTACCACTGCAAGTACTCTTCCACTACCAGTACAAACTACCAGTACAACTTACCAGTACTACAAAACCAGTACTACAAACTTCCAGTACAACTACCAGTACAACTACCAGTACAACCTGTAACTTCTTTCCAGTGCGGTACACTGTGCGGTACACAGTCCGGTACACAGTTATTTCCCTCATCCCACTATCCCACACACACTACCAATCCCCATCCCACTATCCCTCCCACTTACTTCCCACTTCCCACTTAAAGATGATTCATTCCCTTCAACTCTTTCCTACTCTAACTGTCACCACCAAACCCATTTACTACCCAAATCTCCTCTCAACCTCTTACTCATCCTATCCTTGACTTCTTATACTCTTAATACACTAAATCGACCTCGTTGTCGGCATAGTCGACACTCCTCAACCCACCGGTTTGACTTCTCCAGCTTACAACCAAAGACTTTTTTGTCGCCCTCTCTCATAAACCCTCCCCACACGCGTTTTCCGTTTCTTCACACACAACCGCAGTCATGGTGAGTTTGATCCTGCTCCATATACTCCTCAATGCACTCAATGCGCCTTCTATCATCATTCTTTCAAGGATTTTGAACTGACAATGACTCCCAGGCGAACCCATCATCAACAGTGTCATATACGGCAAATGTGAGTTTTTACCCTGGCTTGCTGCGATCACGGCCTTCACTCCGACCCCGCCCGACCACCGATTCCGCAACCCCACGACATCGATATGACATAAATGTGAAATAAAAATGGTTTACTAACAAACCGCCGTTATAGTTGCTCAAGTACATGAGCCTCGACCAGAAGGGCACGGCGATGGCCGAGTACATCTGGATCGATTCTTTCGGCGGCGTGCGCTCCAAATCAAAGGTGAGTCGCTTCCCCCGATTTGCCCCACCCCCACCACCGAGACTTTTCCTAACCGCATCACACAACAGACAATCCTCAAGGTCCCCGACGACGGAAAGATCAACCTCGCCGACCTCCCAGAATGGAACTTTGACGGTTCGTCGACGGGTCAGGCCCCCGGTGGCGACTCTGACATCTACCTCCGCCCCGTCGCCATCTTCCCCGACCCAATGCGCGGCGACCCCAACATCCTCGTTCTGTGCGAGTGCTGGGATCCTGATGGAACCCCAAACAAGTACAACCACCGCCACGAGGCCGCGAAGCTGATGGAGACCCACAAGGCCCAGGAGCCGTGGTTCGGTCTCGAGCAGGAGTACACCCTGCTCGACATGTCGGATCGTCCTTACGGATGGCCCGTCAACGGCTACCCTGGACCCCAGGGCCCGTATTACTGTGGTGTCGGTACCGGCAAGGTCTTTTGCCGTGACATTGTCGAGGCGCATTACAAGGCCTGCCTCAATGCCGGCGTCAAGATCTCCGGCACCAACGCCGAAGTCATGCCCGCCCAGTGGGAGTTCCAGGTCGGCCCCTGCGACGGAATTGAGAGTAAGTCCACAAGTCCATCCATTGCATCATAATCAATACTAACGAAACGCAGTGGGTGACCACCTCTGGATTGCCCGTTTCCTCCTACACCGCATCGCGGAGGAGTTCGGCGCCAAGATCTCTTTCCACCCCAAGCCCATCCCCGGTGACTGGAACGGAGCCGGTCTTCACTCCAACTTCTCGTCCGCCGATATGCGCAAGCCCGGCGGCATGAAGTTCATCGAGGCCGCGATCAAGAAGCTCGAGCTCCGCCATAAGGAGCACATCGCCGTCTACGGCGAGGACAACACGCTGCGCCTGACGGGCCGTCACGAGACCGGCAGCATCGACACCTTTTCGTATGGTGTTGCGGACCGTGGTGCGTCGGTCAGGATTCCCAGGGAATGTGGCAGCAAGGGTTTCGGATACTTCGAGGACAGGAGGCCCGCGAGTAACGCGGACCCGTATCAGATTACGGGTATAATGATGGAGACCATGTTTGGCGGTCTCGATTCGGAGGAGTAGATTTAGTTTAGTGTAGTAGAAATAGTTTGTCACTTGGGGGTAAGGACAGACGTTAGATATCAAAGAGGGATCACCATCGCAAGAGTTTTATAGCAAGAATACAATCAAATAAACACACTACCATTGGTAGCCGCACGAGTTGAGTGAGGATGTGGATGGACTGTCTATCGAATGAATGTGCAAGTGCAATCATGAGAATCATCTGCCCGTCCATTATGCTTTTTTAGTCTCTATTCACAACACCATCCCCGAATCCGGGATCATTACCACTCAATCACTTCTCTACCCAACATTTCATATAGCCCACCTTCTGCTCCCCGCCTTTATTTGTTCCAGCAAACCTCTCACACACGACCCTCAGGCCATCACGCAAGCACCGACACTAACCGCAACCCACAATATGTCATACCATCCAGACTTCTGGTCATCCTTCGATTCCTGGTTCCCAGGATTCAACTTCTCGGACTTCTTCGACTCCACCTCCCCCCCCTTTTTCACAGCTGGATACCCCTCTCCTTACCCCACATCTTACCCTCCATCATACCCTCCGTCATACCCTCCGTCATACCCTCCGTCTTACCCTCCTTCTCAAAACCCCTCCTACCCCCCACAAGGCGGATACAACGATGGCTGGGACGGACCCCTAGGCAGTGCCGGCGGTGTTCCATGTCTAGGACGAACCCCCTTCCTCTTGGTGCCCCAATACGTGCCCGCACCGGTGTCGTCGCTCGTGGCTTCGACGCTGCGGGTAGTAACCGCACCCTCGACAGTAGTACCCCGTCCCGTGGATTCGACGCCAGAAGGGCAAGCAGGAGCGCAGCAGCCGAAGCAGCAGCTCGTCGGGACGCAGCCACCAAAGGCGAGCAAGAGCACAAGAAACGGGCCCTAAAGGAAGAAGAAGCGCGGAAGGCGTGGGATAAGAAGAATAAGAACCTTATCGCGAAGGAAAAGGTAGAGAGAGAGAAAAGGGAGAAGGAACGCGAGGAGAGGGAGAGATTGGAGAGGGGAAGAGAGGCTAGAGAGCGGAGGGCGAGAGAGGACAAGGACAAAGCTGCGTTTGCTAGGGAGAAGGCGGCCGAGGCGGCGAAGAGAAGGGATCAGGGGAGTAAGGACGCGCAGATGCGGAGGGGGGAGCAGTTAAGGAGGGAGGAGGAGAGGAGGGAAAGAGAGAAGAGAGAACGTGATAGGGAGAGGAGGGAGAAAGCGACTAGAGAGAGGGAGGAGTTGGAGAGGGCTGCAGAGGAGAAGTTGGCTAGGGATAGGGATGCCAGGGATAGGAGGGAGAGAGATGACAGGGTGAAGGCTGAAAAAGCTAGAGGAGCGGCTGCGGAGGCGGCAAGGAAGAAGGATGAGGGTTCGAAGGGGAGACAGGAGAGGGAGGGAGAGAGACAGAGAGAGGAGGCGGCAAGATGGGAGAGGGAGAAGGCTGACCGAATTAGGGAAGCACGTGAAAGGGCTGCGGAGGAAAAGGATAGGATGGAGAGGGAGGGGGCGGAGAAGCTGGTCAGGGATAGGGAAGGAAGAGAGAGAAGGGAGCGGGAAACAAGAGAGAAAACAATGGGAGTTAGGAGCGCGGCAGCTGAGGCGGCAGAGAGGAGAACAGTTGAGGGGGAGAGGGCGAGGAGGGATGAAGAAGCGAAGGCGAAGAAAGATGCGAAGATGAAGCCTAGCAAGGCGGTTTCTAAAGATCTACTAAGCACCCCCAAACCTCCTACGAAAGAACCTGTTACGACGCAGAAGCAACCTGCTAAACCAGCCCTCAAATCCGCGCCAGCCTCTATGTCTGCCAAAAATTCAAACGTCACTTTTGCCGAGCCAAAGCCAGCTGCGAAACAAGCACCCGTCAAACCAACACCCAAACAGCCAGAGCCCGAACCCGAACCCGAGCAACCTCTCAACCCCCGCGAAGCAGTCGCAGCTGCAGCGCGTCGGCGCGAAGAAGCAGCGCGAAAACAGCAAGCCGAGGACGAAAGAGAGGCCGCCAAAGCTGCGAAAGTCGCCAAAACAGCGAAACCTGCAGCGAAACCTGCTCCGAAAACCCCAACTGCGGCGTCCAAACCCGCTCCCTCGAAATCCGTACCTGCGCCTAAGCCAGCACCTCCAAAGCAAGCAACTGCCAAAGAAAAACCTAAACAAACCACCAAAACAACCGCGCCACCACCGAAACCGAAAGTGGATAAACCCCCTCCCTCTGAGCCTTCAAACCCTAGTTCTGCGGCAGCGGCAGCGGCAGCTGCGAGGATGGAAGCTGCAGCGAAGCAGAAGCGCGAGGATGAAATAAGAGAGTTTGAGGAGGGGACTGGAAAACCGACTTGGGATTTTGAAGGGCTGGATGGGAAGGGCGGGGTGGCCTATATTGCTGGTGGCAGGGGAGGGGGGAAGGTAAGTTGTTTTTCTTGTCTCTCGTCATTGACGTTTCCTGATCCCCACGAGATGTAGGATAACTGACGCGTGCTAGCCAGCTCTCTGGCCTAAACGGAAGTAGCACCCGAGAAACCCGCAAGAAGACGGGTGGTTGGACTATCTTTGGAGCCGGGGAGGGTGCTCGGAACCTTCCTTTGGACATCCCACATTCCTCAGGGACAAACAAACCACCAACCACGTCGTATCCCTACAACTGCAACCAATCGACCCGGGAATTCACATCTCCCAGCGGAGTCTCAGCAGCTCTCCCCAAGTCACTCGCTTCCTCCCTCCGCGTCAATCCACCGATGAGCCCCGAAGCACTACTTGAATGCCTTGAGGACGCGGCAGAGAGAGGGATCCCGCTCAGTGAGCCGAGCTCGCGAAGTTTTGAGGCGCATGAGAAGGATGCTTATGAGTTGCGCAAGGGAGTGACTGAGCGACGAGCGCCTATTGGCATTGCACACCCACCACCACGTCAGGTGCGTGGTTATGTGGAAGTGGATTGTGAGTACGATGATTATGGACATGAATATAGGCCATTCCCGCGACTGAAGAGGAGACGCGAGGTCATAGATCTAGGCCCTCTTCCGCCGCGACCGTGGGAAGTAGATGGGATAGTGGATACACGTAGCGGAGACGGGCATAAAGGTAAGAACAAAGGGAAGGGGCAACGGAGAGGGAGTAGGTTTCTTGGGTGGTTTGGGTCTTGAGGCGGTTGATAGTTTTGGGGGGAGATCGAGACTGTGCGCTGATTTTCACTGTTGAGAGGTGTGCCGCGAGGAATTCATAATTGAGGGATTCAATAAAACTTATTGGTATTGTTCTCTTCGTTATACAGCAGTATGTGGCCCCATCATCCATTAATCCCCTTCCTCAATCCCCTGGCCCCTCATCTTGGCTTGCCCATCTTCCGTACCCCTTCATGACATCCTAACTTCGAACGTTGATCCTGAATTTCTATCCATATAACTGCATGACACGTTATAATTTCTAGCTACATGGACAGACCAATCCATGCCATATCCCATTTCTATCCCTTAGACTGAATATCCCGTATTCATCGTTCATCCCTCACCGCACAGCCCTCGAACTCAAACTCGCAAACGCATCCGGGCTGTGACGCCCACTGTGCGCATGCCACCCATTTGGATCAACGCTCATGCTCTCCTGGCTGACATGTCTCGACGGGTTCCCGCCATTCGCGCTCCCGATCCCACCGACGCCGCTAGCGGCTAAGAGTCCGCCCTGTGGTGCGCCCCCGGCGGTGCCGTTGTTTTGGTTGGGTTGGGCAAAAGGGGAGGGATTGGTGGAGCCGTGCATGAAGGGGTTTTTGGAGCCACCAAAGCCAACACTAGATGAGAGAGGGCTAGATACGCCAGGCTGTTGTTGAGTGGGGTTGCCGATTTGTTGGTTGGTATTCACGGGCTGGGGTTGGTATGGGTTTTGGGTTAGCTGTTGTGGCAAGTTCGCAAATTGTGGTTGTTGTTGCGGCTGTGGCGAGGGGAGCGGAGGTGATTGAGGATTGCTGCCGTATAGCGCCATAATGCTCGTTTTATCCGCTCGCCCCGTTTGTTGAGGAAGTAGCTGCTGCGGCTGCTGCTGGAAGTTGTTGTAAGGGTTCAGCTGCTGCTGCATTTGCTGAGGCTGGTTATAAGGATTGAGCTGTTGAAGCTGTGGCTGCTGTTGAGGCTGCTGCATCTGGTTAAACAGATTCGGCTGCTGTGGCGTTTGCTGCTGGCCGTATGGATTAAGCTGTGGTTGCTGCTGTTGCTGACCCAAATTAAAGTAGTCTTGCATCGATACTTGGGGCTGCGCCTGGCTACCCTGTTGCATCGGAAACGTTTGGTTGCGTGTCAGGGTATGGAATGGGTTTGGAGCAGTCGCAGTAACCGGCGTCACATTCAAACTTTGAGTCTGCCCAGTCGGCTGCTGCTGTAGGAAAGGGTTATATCCTGGGCTCGTGGCAGGTGAATATTGGGTCTGTAGTGGAGCGCCATACGGGGAAGAGGCGTATTGTCCTTGCGGGATAGACGGCATGGATGGAGCAGCAGCTGCCATAAACGGCTGTCTCTGAGCAGTCCCACCAGTGTGGTGCGGAAATAGTGGTTGATTTGGAGAGATTGACATGTTTTGGAATGGCTGTTCGACATTGGTGTATTGCTGGTTCAGATTATACTGCGACTTGGAAGTTGCAAACCCAAATGGATTGAGGGAAGCTTGCTGCGGATTGTTCTTGATATGCTGGTCCTGGAGAGAAAGAGCGCCTGTGGACTGCGAAGACTGTAGTGGCGCAGGTGGCATATCCCATGGGTTCTTTGATGGAGTTGGAGAAGCTGGAGAGTCTTTCGAGGGATTTATGGAGAGTCCCGCGCTCACTGGTGCCGTCGAAGGCGTCCTTGACCTTGACGGTGCCTCGCGTTCTCCAAGCCGTACTAATGTTTCAAGTGTCTTCTCCATATTGCCATTGAATCCCTTCAAAACGGTGGAATTCCGCCTGTCGTTCTTGAAACCCATCTCACGAAGTTGGCCCAGTTTCTTTTCCCACTCATCCACAGATCGATCGGATGCATTAGAGTTCCCGAATATGCGTGCGGGCTTCCCTTTCCTTGGTGGTGGCGGACCCTCATCGTCGTCATCCCGTCTAGCTCTGTCGTTCTGGTTTTGGTTCTCTAGATATACTCTTGCAGCTGCCTCCCTCTTCGCCTTCGATGACATGGGGAAAATGGAGGATGCCGACCTAAATCCAAACCTGCTCGTCTTCTGAGGCGGTGCCGGGAGGGGATGCTCGTCCTCGGAATCCGCGCTGCCAGTCCGCCGGTGGTGGTTCGAGGTAGTCTCGCGGCGGACCGGCTCGGGTTCCCGGCGGTTTGACTCAGGTTCCCGGTATGCCGCGGATGTCTCATAGTCGCGACTATCGTCGTAGTTCGTAGCTGGGGCACTATTCTTGTATTTGTTTCGGATGAACCGTTCCACCGCGGAGTCGGCCTCGTCCGCATCAACTGGAACGGGTGGCCTCGTGTTCTTCGGATTATAAATCAGGTTCGACATCGTATTTCCCCTCTGCTTCATATTCTGGCTTGTGTTAGAGCCGATTGCGCATCACTAGAAAGAACTCGACATACTTCAACTTGCTCATTAGACCATGAATCCATGCTCAGCGACTTAACCTTCGAAATATGGGTGCCCAACCCTCGGTGCACGGCGGCGCATCGTACACACAGAAAAATGCCCAACTACAGAGACTTAGCACTGATGATTCATGGACGATACCGCAGACGGTTCTGGCGCTCGACTTACACTCCAACTCGCCCAGCCTGGTATACGGGTTAGGGTCCTGAGATCTCATGTACGGATTGATTGCGGCGGCTCACCTGGGTTCCTCGCTCCGCAGTCGGCGCATGTCGAATTTCCCGGAACGCTCTTGACGAGGTTCTGCAGTGTACGCTCATTGCGCGCCTGCTGCCGCTTACTCAATCCCGACGACATAATGGGGTTGTGTTGTGTATGTGTGGCCAAGAGTGTATCTCCAGCTGGGAACCGCGATCAAAGAAGGTCAAGCCAGGGTCCAGGGATCGTCGCACAGAAGGACAAACAAAGTAATACCTCAAGGCGCCATGCAGAATGCAGAAGAATGTACAGTAGAAAGAGCGGCGGTCAACAAAAGAAGCCTTGTAAATACATAAACAACAAATTTAACGACAAAGAGGAAGAAGGGAGATTGAAGGCGACGACGAAGACGACGATCTCCAAAGGCAAAGAGGAACTGTGGGGGTGGGTGGTTAATTGAGGGAAAGGAGGTTCTGTTCTTTCCTGGGTGTGTGGAGTAAGAGAGAGGCTGGACTGGAACCATGTAAACGCTAACCGGTAAACGGTACACGCTCGGCGCTAAGCTATATTGAGAGCATTGGCGGGGATCGAGCGTTGGAGCTAAAGCACGTGGGTATCCGCGCTTGCCTCGATCTTGGCGGCTACGATCCCACTAGTACTCGAAACAGAAACAAGACTATCTCACTTCTACTGTCTCACGACAAAGACAGAGCTCCATGTTGCAGTTCGCAAATTCAAATCAAATATACAAATCAGTTATGCAAATCAGCTATGCAAGAAAGGTAAGTGCAGGCCGGCACACAACTATCCAGAGGAGCGGTCGATGGAAAGGGCGTCTGGGGTCGTAGCTCTACCAGGGAAAGTGCGGCCAGGACACAAATCATATAGAGGAAAGTGCAGTTGAGCACAGAATCATACAAAGGCAAGTGCAGACTTGCAACTATACACAGGTAAGTGCGGGGACGGGCATGCAAGGGGCAGCCGGCAGACGCCACCACGTACGTAGGGTTACCTACCTCGTGGTCTCATAATATTGGGAGATCTGGTATGCAGCAGGGAACGACGGATGAGAACGGATGAGAACGGCCAACGGGCATCAGTGTCTCTGTCTGAGTCTGCTAGAACAAAAGAGTAGAAAAAGAATGCCCTTGAGACATTCTCTGTAAACATGTGTGGGATGTTTCAAGCATGAGTCTCACAAAGATTGAGACGCCCTGATACGTGCTATTTCTTTGAATCTAACGATTCACTTTGTTCCATTCATGTCGACGCACTAAGGGTAATTCACCCGTCCCGCATTCCCGGAACCTTTGTATCTCTCATTGCCATATATTATAACAACCACTTCACCCTCTTCTTTCTACACAAACTTTTTTGGGTCCTTGGTAATACACTCATTAAACCCTTGTCCGTCTTCAATATGGACAACTTTCCTCTTCGTCTGCCACGACAGACTCAGCCAAGCGACAGTGAAGCTGGCATACCTCTTCCACAGATCGATACAAGCTCCTCGCAGCTCCAACAGAAGGCTATGTCGGGCCCATCACCCAAGATCAGTGCTACCCAGCACCACAGTTTTGCCACTCCAGGTCAAGGTGACGAAGAATTCAACGTCGGCAGCGTAACAACACTTCATATGCCTGAGTCGACCGCTGGTGACGCTTCCGTCGCCGAGTCGTCTCAAGCCTGCACTGCGGTTTCTACCCCAGTGCCCAAAGCTCTTCATCGGCTGCCAGAAAAGTGCCAGCACCCCATCGTTCGCAACTTCAGACACACATACATGGCAGTGTACCAACGCCTGTTCTCTGTTGTAACCATTCTGAACGCCATTGCGTTTGTGTGCATCCTCACTATGGTGGATCTGAGCAAGCCTCAACTGTTGTCCTCCCTCGCTACCGCAGCAGCGAGTAATATCCTGGTCGCCATCCTGATGCGCCAGGAGTATGTCATCAACTTCATATTCAAGACATGTTGGATGATTCCTCACTGGGCTCCGCTCCGCGTCAGGAGGATGCTGGCCAAGGTGTATGAATTTGGCGGAATGCACAGCGGAGCCGCGTTCTGTTCTACTGTTTGGTTCATCGCCTACAGCGCCGTCCTGACCAAAGACATGGTAAACGGTGCCATGCGTTTTCCAGCAATGTTGGCAGTGGCGTGGATTCTTGTATTCCTGCTCGTATTGATCATCGTGACCGCTATGCCGATGTTCCGCATGGCCTACCACAATACCTTCGAGGTCATCCACCGTCTTGTTGGCTGGACAGCTTTAGCCCTCTTCTGGGCCGAGCTCTTTCTCTATGCCGTCGCGGTCAAGCGGATCTACACCTCCGACGCCCCAGCCTATGGTCTGATCCTGATCCGCGAGCCCGCCTTTTGGCTTCTCGCTGTAACCACCGCCTTTATCATCTGGCCCTGGTTGTTTCTTCGCAAGCTGGCGATAAAGCCAGAGAAATTCTCAAACCGTGCCATTCGACTACACTTTACAGGATACAAAGTGCCCCCATTCTGTGGTATCCGCCTGTCGAAGTCTCCACTCCTTGAGTGGCACGCCTTCGCCTGTATTGCCAACGACAACGGCGGCTCGGTCCTGATCTCTAGTGGGGGAGACTGGACCCGGGACTGTATCGCCAACCCGAGACCATACTATTACGTCAAGGGCGTCCCCGTCACCGGTGTTCTGAATATGGCGCAGGCTTTCCGGCTCGCTGTCATCGTAACCACTGGTTCCGGAATTGGGCCATGCCTTTCGTACCTCGCTGGGATTGGGAAGCAAGGAACCTGCCGCATGATCTGGTCGGCGCCAAACCCGTGGGCTAACTACGGCAAGGATATCTGTGACGCGGTTACCAAGGTCGATCCTAATGCCATGGTAATTGATACGGAGTCGTCAGGACGTCAGAACCTGGCTGCATTGGCGTACCAGATGTATATTGATTCTGGCGCGGAGGCGGTATTTGTTATTAGCAACCCTCGCGTGACGAAGCAGATTGTGTATGCCATGGAATCTCGCGGAGTCCCTGCGTTTGGGCCAGTTTGGGATTCTTGAAGGCTGTCGTTTGTACCAGTCTCGGGATATCGAAGGCTGCTTCTTTTTTGGATTTGGATTTGGAACCCCCACGTGGAATTGGATGTGTTGGTATCCGATAACGCGTGGCAAAGGTCTATGGATTTATTTACCTGAGCAGTCAAGTCAGATGAGCGGTATTAAACACCAGGGGCCAACACCGTCTTCTATATGGACACCACTCACATTTGCGCATAATTGGATAGTAATTGGATAGGGGAAGTCGAAGCCGTCATCTGTGTCGCCATCGCTCTTTTGACAAATCAGAGTATGTGGAATTCCAAATATGGGAAGGCATATATGAAATGAGGCGCGTGGTGGTATTTGGATATAGCATATTTTGGAAAGGGGGAGTATGAGAGCAGACGGTGATCTCGCCTACGACTTTGTGGCGTTGCTAGGGCAGCCCTTGAGAAGGTTTCGGGTTTATATCACGGGGGGGGGAACTAACTCAAATAAGGCGGAGGTAAACGGTGGGCTTAGTTGGATCGTCTATAATAATATTCTGCTGCGAGGGGTTAGGAGTATAAATTTGGGAATTAAGACTCTTTTGGTTATGAGACTCTTTCTTTGTGATATTGGATCTTTCTGATATTGCCTTTGACACTCGTATCATTAGGAGAGATCAATGCAATTATTTCAGCCACATACATTCAGCCACGTAAATTCTCTTGGTCCAAGTGTCGAGCTTGGGCATGGCAACAAGGTAACATTCGTTTAGCATCAGCTTTCATTCGCCTCGAGCTGTGCGTAATGGCGTTACAATCAAGGCATCAGACAGGAAATAGGCCAGTTTGGGGAGGCTCAACCGCATCAGACACTCCCACCCCCCTTATATCTGGAGAGTTCCTTCCTAGTGAAACATATCCTAGAAACCCAGGCGTTTATATGAAGCACATCATTCGCCGTAAAGCACTCAACCCAAAAAGAGGATAGTGTGAAGGCGGGAATTGAAGACGAGCACGACCTCCTTCCAGAAGATAACAGGGAACCTTTGTGACGTCTCACCGCCTCTGTGTGCAGTGCATGCCTACCCAACGCTCCCACGAGTCAGTCAGATATTGTGGCTCCATGACTTGGTCTCATCCTGTCCCTACTTTGACCCTTTCCTCCGCGAGCGAGCCGTTTACCCATACCAGCACCACGTCGCAAAACTGAGGGCTGGCGAAACTACTGGTAAGCAGCCGAGCGTGCATTGCATGGCGTTGGCCATCTCTATCAAGCACCAACAACAACACTGCATTACGCATATTCGCTCATGCCACCTGCCCAGATCCCCGTCAAGCCTACCTTGGCAGCTCAGACCACCTCCCCACGTTGATCTCGGCTTTGGTGAGTCCCGTCGCATTACTTGAATGGTCGTAGCGGATGTGTGAGCGTTGCTCCTGCGGGATAAGTTGTTGGGGAGGGGGGGGGAGCTGGGTCGGGTTGCCGGAAAGGGTTATCCTTTTCTTGAAATATATGACGGCCACGTAGGAGGCTTAGAATGATGCTGAGTGGTCACTGACCACCAGTGTGGATGACTGAGTGATTGTTGACTTGTTTTCCGAGGGCAAGTGGACACGGAGATATTCCTTTGGGTGGGCCTCCTCTCGGATCGTGGCGGGATGCCGCCAACACAGCTTCACAGGCGAGTATCAATCGACATGTTCGTCCAGAAAATAAGTTTGGATTCGATTCAGGACAGTGCATGTGAAATCAACGACCTAAAGTCTTTGGCTCTGTACAGTAAAACAACATATCCTCCGCTTGAACGGCTTGCGCGCTGGCAATCCTAGAGTTCCTCCATCTAGTACCAGTGTCTAGTAACGATAGTAACATGCATCAAAACCGCCGCCGTTCGCGGGCAAAAGATCTTGTGGAACTCAAAAAAGCGAGATTCAAATCCAATGGCCGCATCTGTCAAAGTTCTCCTCCGAAAGATTTATTCAATCTTCAATATGTATTGATTGTGGTGTTGCCGACGTTTACTCGCCCACTTGTTGTCCTCGCCCTAAGAAGACAAATCTGGCAGTCTCTTGAAATTGAGCCTGTTCCATTGCAGTGATTGCATCCCCTGACGCTGTGAATGTGTCAGCTCCGAATGGATACGTGGGTTTCTCTGAATGAAGCCAACAACGCCAGCCACAATACTTGGAGGGATGCTTGGACTTACGTCCGGGGCTGTGAACCACATTCTGGGCAGGTATCATAAACCACCCCTCCCACGCAATTATGGTTGGCATCCATAGCTGTGCACGTTGTACAACCTGAGATGAGTAGAAAGTTTGGCCTAGTTTGAGACGCCGATAAAAGGAGGACGATGCTGGCAGTATTCGAAACAAATCTGACTGTGACCCATATCAAGAGCATTTTAGTGACTAGGAGGCTACACTTATATAGTATGGCCCAAGCCGGATATACCGGCTGCTGCTTCAGTTTCTCTCTCCCATTTCTCCGCTTCCAACCATTAATTATTTTGGATAGTGGGGGGCTAGCTGTTGTCGAGACGCCAACCCTTAAATTTTCTCACTTTCAAACTTGATCACCCGGGCGCCTAGCAACGTATCTCGTCAACGTATCTCACCAAGCGGCATTTTTATCATCATGCAGCCTTGGCACTTTTCTAGTGCTAACAATCTCCGTTAGCGTTGGATTCTCAACTTTGCAACTCATGGTATGCTTTATAGGACGTCGAGGAAGTACTGGTTGACTCGGGACGCCACAGGTTTATCAATCCCATGGGGCTATATCCCTGTCTATAGCAGCTTCGGTCTAAGCCACTGTCGTTACCACCGCAGATCACAGCCTGTCGATGAGTGTGAACAATCCCCGCGCCAATGTTGCAAAATACATAGACCTCTCACAGTGAAGCTGTCAGGGTCGTGCATGCCAAGGATCAACATGCACCGTGGACTGCAAGCTCCACAGTCCACTGTGCTTATTGCGCCCCATTCTCGGTTCAGCTACCGAGGTCTGAGTTCAGGCCGCCCGAATTCCATCAGTTTATGATGTCTAACAACAACTCCCACGAAAAACCATCAGAATCTAATGCGGCATACTCTCCGATTCCACGAAGACTTGGGTACACGGACGATGCGTTTGACTGGGATGCCCATTGTTGCAGGCGCCTTCTGTCGCCCTGTCGGCGCCCCTTACTGAAGATATGACATGTCACAGTTTGAGTCTCGTGGCCCCTCTCACAAGGCCGTCTGTTCCATTCCATTGGTCGCGATTATTGTGTCGCAAGAACCTTAATCCAACCTTCCTTCAGGCCGACAGCAATACCTGACTCTCGACTGCCTCTCCTCTCTGAGCGGCTTAGGATGACTCGGATAACGAAGGATGATCCCATGCTCTGACAAGACGTTCCGTTAGTGAATGTTACACCGACCAGCCGTCCCTCGTCGAGACGATAACCTAGTGCTTCGCCTCGCTTCATCCCAACCCCCCCAAAACCAACCGCCAGCACCACCTGCCAACGCTCCGCCCCATCTCCTCGTATCTCCCAAGAGATCTCACCTTAACCCAGAACCCCTCGGAGCACAGCATGACGGCAAGGCAGTGACTAGCCGATAAATCACGCATTTGATGGTCGCCGTGGCGGTAGTGAGATTGACGGCTTGCATGATGTGCCATTACAAACCATATTATCGGCGGAAATGCGGCCCATGTGACTCGATACAGCGCTCCGTTGGAAGCGACTCGACGTCAACGGCGTCCTGAAGAAGCATAGGAACGGTCTTGCTTGATGCCTGATGTGCGGTGACGATGTTGGAGATCTGACATACAGAGACGGGAGCGAGTCATGAGAACTTGCCCAATACTTTTGAGAGGTGGATGTTTGAATACTAAGACCCTTGAATACTATATCATGAGAGCTATGTAGTGTCACTTTACATGACTCAGGGGACGAGGTTCGTGCACTTGATTCTCTTTTGTATTGGCGATACGAACTCAGGAAGGACGACTCGGTGGACCCTTATTGAGCCCTGTTCGTTTTTATATTGATTTTGGCTAGTTTCATTCTGAGAACGCAGATAAAACATTTACAAGCCAATCTGCGCTGATTATTTTGCTGACTTTAGTGTTCCGGCTTTCCGTAATAGGCAATGCGCCATGGTATTTGTTCTGGGTTCTTCAAGTGATAAATCACGCACTCGCACATTCGTCTTCAGCATTAGATGAACCACAGCCTCCCACGACCTTCTCTCTCATTGATCGCCTCTTTTCAACACCGGCCATACCCTTCAGTTATTCTTTCGGGGTCCAGCGCTGTTTAGTATGTTAGGGGTGTCAAGTGCAAAAACTTCCAGTAATCGATGCATCGATATACAGTGCCCTTTCATCTGATCATGCTCCGTAGGACAAAACCTTCAAATCTGCCAATTAATAGTTCGATGCAAAAAATCCAACATCTGTTCTTGTTAAACTTTGCGGCCACCTTGTTCCATAACCGCACCATGGCCTCCCTGCATTACGCTAAATTAAGACTCAGAGTTACATGTAAACACAGACGTTCTTCTGCTATGACTCAACCATGGTTCTATATATTTATTAACAAACAGTCATCAGAATTTATCTAAAAACAAATCGCATGATGTCCGAAATAAGATCCCAGGTGCCCACTGAATTGGAGGCGGCACTCCGACCGCTAGATTCGCGCCGCGTTGTGGTTATGACGTGCGGTATTTCTGGTTGTCTCTGGCCCTCCAAGAGGAATTGCTTGTTGACGATCATCAGGTTCTGGAAAATCAACGCTTGCAAAGGCAATAGTTGCCAAGTTTCCATCATTCATCCGCCTCTCCATCGACGGTTACATCTACGACAAGTACGGCGCCTATGACAGAGACTACCCTGCATCGAAGTATAGCCGATACCAAGATGAAGCCAACGAAGCACTGAAGGTGCGACTACAGGAGATTCTTCAGGGCGGCAAGAATGATGTTGTAGTGGACCTATCCTTTGCCTTTCGCGCGTCCCGTGATGAATATAGGACAATCGTGGAGGCAGGTGGAGCCCAGGTGGTTATCGTATACCTCAAGACTGATGTCTCAGAGCTGAGGCGAAGGATTAAAGAGCGAGCTGCGGCAGGATTGGACGCAGACTCGGCGTTCAAAATGACACCGGAAATTTTTGATCGGTATGTCAGTGGGTTCGAAGAGCCGGTTGGTGAAGGGGAGCTTGTAATACAACGTTGATAATAAGGCAATCTAGATACAGCGTGGATGATACATACAAATTGCACAAAAAATAGTCGCGAGATAACCTCCATCTACCACCACTCCCTTAAACACTATGTCTCCTCGTCGGCTGGCCTGACCGGCTTGTCTTCCCGACTTTCATGACCCTTGAAGACTGCCAACATACCCAAATCATAAATCACCTTTAGAGATCCAGCCGCTACAAATACGGTCCATGCTAGATCATGATCAAAGAGCACTCCTGTGAGTCCGGGGCCAAGCCCGGACGTGAACGTCTTAACAACATTTAGAATTCCCATTATTGCCGTACGCTCGTTTGGGAGGATAATGGCAGCGAGAAAGGCGGACCGAGGCGCCACATCCATAGATTGGGTGCAGGAGCGTAGGATAAGGAAGGTCAGAGCAAGAGGCATCTGGGAGGGAATTGCGATGAAGGCGACAAATACAGCCGAAGGGAGGTGAGTGAATACCATGGTCTAATGTTGTGCCGTGTCAGCCATAGGACGTGTGTTTGGAAACCGAGGCTTACCTTGACATTGCCAATTCTCCTTGCAAGAGAAGCCGCGACTAGGGTCGAAAGGGCTGCGATAATGTTCGTGGTAAAGAATATAGTCCCAAGGAAGCCATCTGTGATGCCAAACTTCCTCTGGAAAAAGACCGTGACCCACGAGCTACACATGATGTCAGAAATAACCCCCAATAGCAGTGTTGATACTTACAGCGGAATCAAACCACTCGCAAAGGAGTCAAGCCCGAACAGGAGACACAACTGCAACAGTACAGCCAAGCTTTCGTGGCTGATGTGAGAGAAGGCCCCAAAGAACGATCGACGGGGCTTGTTTGGTTCTGCGGGACCCAACAGAGGTGCTTCTTCGTGGGGCCGCTCCTGAGGTGGCTCAGGCTTGGCCTCACAATCCTTGCTCAGAGCAAGAATAAGTAAAAGCTTCATTGCCCCAAACACGGAGTATGAGAAGAAAACGATTCTGTACGCGCGGATATCATCCCACCCGTCTAGTGCTTTTAGTACCTCTACCATCCATCCGCAGACAAGTAGCCCGAATGCATAGCCCCCAGCCCCAATTAGAGTGTACCAAGCGAAAATATCCGCTCGTACTTCTTTCTCTGTCAGGTGCGCAAGGGTTGACTCTTCAATCGCACGGAATGGGCCAACCTCTTTTCCACTAGCGTTTTATCAGCAATGGCTATTAACGATGCGACGAGAGATTTACCTTGGGCTGATGACTCCAAATATAGCAGCCGCGAGAAGCACCCAGTAGTTACCGCTGAGACCAAAGGCAATACCACTTCCAGTCATCATTACGGCCCCTAGGGCGAGGACATCCTTCCGTCCTATCCTGTCGGCAAACATGGTGAGGAAGAGGCTAATAAAAACATCCCCGAAAAGTGTCAGAGTCATGAAAACTCCAATCTGCTGATCTGAGATGCCCAATTCCGATAGGTACAGCACAAGGACCAGCGTCGTTGCGCCATAGGCGAACAGCCTGACGAACCGTTGGATACATAGCAGCTTAACATCGAGGGGCGAGTTCCATATCGACAAAAGTCCGAGCTCTCTCACCACCGACGTCAAGTGGCTGCGGGATGCCATGATTCTGGGTTGCAATGGGTGCAGTGAGGGTTGACTTCATTTTGGAAGGAATATTTAAGGCGGCGCGGCCAATTCTCGGCGTTTGCTGGGGATTCAGCGGACTTCGGCCTAGATGACGGAAATGTGGGGCAAGCCTCTAGAATATGAAGACGCGTCCTATTTCAAAACCTGTTTCGGTGATGTAGTCTGAATTGATATGCGAATAGCATGCGAATCATTACAAGTTTTCACATTTCTTACTCCTTCCTCTATGAATACTTCCCACTCAAATCACGGAGAATACATAGATGAGAAAACGAAAAGTGAGACCCTGTGGGGATGCCTTGGCAGGAACAGAGAAACAGTGGGTGCTGTAACTACGGTTGCCAAGATACACTAGTATGGGTATCGGATCAGATAAGATTGAGCCCCCACGCTAAGATGCCTTTGGAACTAGTCACATGAGTCACGTGGATGAGTTCATTTTATGTCAAGATGACTCAGCTAGTGACTCACGTGCAGCCTTTCCAACAAGCGCAAACTCAAAAAATGATAGCCAGACTCGTCCACTCTGTTCTGATTGGCTACCCCACCAGCGCACAATTCGTGATTCACGACAAGGCAACACACAGGCCATCCGCGAACTTTTGGAAGGCGACCTTAAGAACTGCTTGGAGAACCGCTATTCTCGACAACAACTTCCATACGTCCTCCATCAGCGCCCAACATGAGACCTATTCTTCTTCAAGGACACGTAAGTTGCATCGCCTCGCTGTTTCACCTGGAGCCAGCTGCTAACAAGAATACAGGAGCGTGCGCTCACCCAAATCAAGTATGCCCCCCCCCCGCGACTACCAGCGCCGACAATGCGATACGCCACACTCTGAGCTTTGCTGACTGCTTTCCAGATATAACCGCGACGGCGATATCATCTTCTCGACCGCCAAGGATCAGCACATCTGTGCGTGGTACGCACACAACGGCGAGCGCCTCGGCACCTATCACGGCCACCAGGGAGCCCTTTGGACCATCGATGTCGACCCCACCAGCACTCTTCTCGCCTCTGGCGCAGCCGATAACACCGTCAGGCTATGGGATGTCAAGACCGGCAAGTGCTTGAAGACCTGGGACTTCAACACTGCCGTCAAGCGTGTGGAGTTCTCCGAGGATGGATCGCAATTACTCGCCGTCACCGAGATGCGCATGGGTTTCCTGGGCACGATCGTCGTCATGGATATCAACCTGGATGTTAACGCGGAGCAGCGCGACGAGAAGGCGATGACCATCACATGTGAGGAAAGCAAGGCTACGGTTGCCGGATGGAGTTTCCTGTCAAAGTACATCATCGCAGGACACGAGGACGGAACCGTTTCGCAATATGATGCTAAGGCGAGTCAACCCGTATTCAGTGCTATGGGAAAATTCTAACCTTGAGATAGACTGGCGAACAACTGGACAATGTGCAGGTGCACGAGCCGGATTCACCTGTCACCGATCTGCAGTGGGCCCCTGACCGGACATACTTCATCACCGCCTCGAAAGACAAGACTGCCAAGGTACGAAAGCATGCTCGCCTCCCCATCACTCCCCTACTCACATTACCAGATCGTCGATGCCACCAACCTCCAAGTCATGAAGACCTTCGTCGCCGATACCCCCCTTAACTCCGCCTCCATCACCCCTAAGAAAGACTTCGTCATCCTCGGTGGCGGCCAGGCCGCTATGGATGTCACCACCACCTCGACTCGCCAAGGTAAATTTGAGGCTCGCTTCTACCACAAGGTGTTCGAGGAGGAGATTGGCCGCGTGCGTGGCCACTTCGGCCCGCTCAACACGGTCGCTGTCGACCCCAACGGAAAGGGTTATGCGTCGGGCGGTGAGGACGGATACGTGCGTGTGCACCAGTTTGACAAGGCCTACTTTGACTTCACGTACGAGGTTGAGAGGCAGCAGAAGCAGCAGATTGGTGCTTGAAGGGTTGGGAATGAATGACATGGGTGGGCCTGGGTTGGAGAGAGTAGGGTTGCATCTGCGGGCGTTTAATAAGTGCTTGGGGCTACACTGTGTTTAGGATTCCTCAGCTAGACATGAAGGCTGTTCTAAATTTTGTGTGGGAGAGTTTCTGCGTGAAATATATCTCGGGACAGCGTGGCAATGATGTGAAGGTAGGAGATGCAGCCGTTTGAATCTCTCGGGACCATGTGCCAGGGGAGATGCAGCCGTTGAATCTCTCAGGACAATGTGCCACGGATTTGACGGTGGGAGATGGAGCCGTCGAAGACCTCTCGGGACGATGTGCCAATGGTAGTAAAGCCGGAAGATGCAACCGTAAGGGGACGTGCATTGTGTGCCATCAGTGTATCCATGTGGCATCCTGACCCCGCTACGATCCCTTGCCTCTGCACTACCCCTCCACTGATATTCTTTTTGGGACAGCCGCTATTGTCGCGGCTAGGCGGGCCTACGAAGAGTCTCGTATCTTAATAGTAGCAAGTCACGTGTGGATATTTAGGTTAAATGCAGCAACCCTCGCTTGGATGTATTGAGAGGGCAAAGATTTTGTGCAAATCGTGAGACTGTTCAGTCACGTGATGTGCATTATTTTGACAGGGAACAAACACTGGATAAAACCGCAGCTATACTCTGTCAAGCCAGTCACGTTACTTGGTGCCTTGGTATTGAGGGGCATAGCGCCGTGTGAGGCAGAGGATAGGCGGGGATGAGCGGGAGGAAGTGGGGGATATCAGTAATTTGTGACAGTCAGTAATATGCCTGTTGAGAGGAAAAGGCCACGCACAAAAAATGGATTTTTCCGTTGACTCACCCATTTTTTATTCCCTTCATTAATCCCCATAAACCCTCCACCTCCACACCAAAAAATACCATCAAAAACCGTCCGTGATTCAACATCTCAATATTTTATCAGAGTGTATATACTGGTTGTGGGATTTCTTGTACGATTTTAGGCCATCTCTGTACCCGATTGAGATAAATCAGTCGCTTTTATCTATCATTTACGAATTGGCAGCATCTCATTGGCTCAGAGGCCGTCAAAATTGGGCAATGCTGAACCCCACCATGGCTGCGCGACGGACTTGGACACCCGCGAGGCTTTCACACGCACGATTGCTGCAACCACTTGGACGACAAGCTGGGCAATCACGACCGAGGTCGACCAGTATCAGGCCGCGAGGCTGCCACAAAAGTTATTTCTTCTGTGATTATCCAGGGCTTCCTGCAGTTGCTCCTGGTGCTCCTGCTGTTTCTGGTCATACGCGCCGTGTCACCAATACTACCAGCATCAGTCCTGCCAGCGTTACCCCTCCTCATCACCCGTCTCACCCTCCTCAGTTGGTCGCCGTGGCTCCCTCCCTCCCCCCCTCAGCCTTGCGAGCTGCTGCCCCTCTCCGCACCGGTCTCGGGTTTATCACTGCCCGCACCATTCTCCCGATCCTACCAAGGGCTGCATCCCTGCGCTACTCGTCCTCCTCATCTACCCCTCCTCTCTCTCGAAACCTGAGCTTCATCACCAGCAAACCATCCCGACGACTCTTTTCCTCCTCTTCAGTCGATATGGCTGGCATCAAGATTGATGGCAATGCCATCGCCAAGGAGATCCGTGAGAAGCTGCACGCTCAGATTGACGAGCAGCTCAAGACCAACCCGCGATTCCACCCCTCGCTGAAGATCATCCAAGGTATGTGACGACATATCTAGCGCGATAAGGGAATCTGAGCTGACCTTGGTGTGAACAGTGGGCGACCGCTCCGACTCCAGCACCTATGTCAAGATGAAGCTGAAGGCTGCCGAAGAGGTATGACCCCGCCAAGGACTGAAAAATAGCACCATACTGACTATCTGCAGGCCGGCATCAGCTGTGAACTCATTCACTTCCCTGAGTCGACCACTGAGGGCGAGCTCATCGACCAAATCGATGTCCTGAACAACGACCCGACCGTCCACGGTATCCTCGTCCAGCTGCCAGTCCCAAAGCACATCTCTGAATACTCTGTCACCTCCTCCGTAGCCAACGAGAAGGACGTCGATGGCTTCGGCGCAATCAACATTGGCGAGCTGGCCAAGCGTGGTGGTGTCCCACTCTTCACCCCGTGTACGCCAAAGGGTGTCATGAAGCTGCTCGAGTCGACTGGTGTGGATCTCAAGGGAAAGAAGGCTGTTGTCCTCGGACGCAGCGATATCGTTGGCAGCCCAGTCAGCTACCTCCTCAAGGATGCCGATGCGACCGTCACTGTCTGCCACAGCGCGACCCAAAACATTGAGAGCTACGTCAAGGAGGCTGATGTTCTTGTCTCTGCCATTGGCAAGGCCCACTTCGTCAAAGGCGAGTGGATCAAGCCAGGTGCCATCGTCATTGACGTCGGTACCAACTTCATCCCCGATGAGACCAAGAAGTCAGGCCAGAGATTGGTGGGAGATGTTGACTACAGTGCCGCCGTCGAGGTCGCCTCGCACATCACCCCAGTCCCCGGTGGAGTCGGTCCCATGACCGTTGCCATGTTGCTGCAGAACGTCGTCGACGCGGCAACTTCCTCCTTTGCGCGCGAGAGGGCTCGCCGCATCTTGCCGCTCCCCCTCAAGCTGCGCACTCCAGTCCCATCCGATATTGCCATCTCGCGGGCACAGCACCCCAAGCAGATCACCCGTGTCGCGGCTGAGATCGGCGTCCTCGGTGGAGAGCTTGAGCCGTACGGAGCGTACAAGGCCAAGGTTGACCTGTCGCTGCTGAAGCGCCTCGAGCATCGCCGCAATGGTCGCTACGTTGTCGTTACTGGTATCACGCCAACACCTCTCGGTGAGGGCAAGTCCACCACAACCATGGGTGTAACTCAAGCACTCGGTGCCCACCTTGGTCGCATCGCCTTTGCCAACGTCAGGCAACCATCCCAGGGCCCAACCTTTGGTATCAAGGGTGGTGCCGCTGGCGGTGGCTACTCCCAGGTCATCCCCATGGACGAGTTCAACCTTCACTTGACTGGCGACATCCACGCCGTTACCGCCGCGAACAACTTGTTGGCTGCTGCCATCGAGACGAGAATGTTCCACGAGAACACCCAGAAGGATGGTGGACTCTACAAGCGTCTCGTCCCCGTGAAGAAGGGCAAGCGCGAGTTCCAGCCCATCTGGCACCGTCGCCTCAAGAAGCTCGGCATCGACAAGACCAACCCAGATGACCTTACCCCAGAGGAGATCACCCGCTTTGCTCGCCTGGACATCGACCCTGCCACCATCACCTGGAGACGTGTTCTCGATGTCAACGACAGACATCTCAGAGGCATTACTGTCGGAACTGCGGCGACTGAGAGAGGCCAGACCCGCGAGACCGGCTTTGATATCTCCGTGGCCTCGGAGTGTATGGCCATCCTTGCCCTCAGCAACAGTCTTGCTGATATGAGGGAGCGCCTCGGCCGTATGGTCATTGGTACGTCGAGGAGCGGCGAGCCAGTCACCGCCGATGATCTCGGTGCTGGTGGAGCCTTGGCTGCCCTGATGAAGGATGCCATCAAGCCCAACCTCATGCAGACTCTGGAGGGCACTCCAGTCTTTGTCCACGCCGGCCCATTCGCCAACATCTCCATTGGCGCCTCGTCCGTCCTGGCTGACAAGCTCGCCCTGAAGCTCGCAGGTACCGAGGCTGACGAGGACCACAACGCAAAGGCTGGTTTCGTCATCACCGAGGCTGGCTTTGACTTCACCATGGGTGGTGAGCGCTTCTTCAACATCAAGTGCAGATCTTCTGGCCTTGTTCCCGACGTCGTCGTCATCGTCGCCACTGTCCGCGCACTGAAGGTGCATGGTGGTGGACCACCAATCTCCCCAGGTGGCGCCCTTGACAGGGTGTACACTGAGGAGAACGTTGATATTCTGCGCAAGGGCTGCGTCAACCTCAAGAAGCACATTGAGAACGCAAAGCAATACGGTGTCCCAGTCGTTGTCGCCATCAACAAATTCGAGACCGATACCGAGGCTGAGGTCCAGGTTATCCGCGAGGAGGCCATTTCTGCTGGTGCCGAGGATGCCATCCCCGCCAACCACTGGGCTGAGGGTGGAGCTGGTGCCGTTGACCTTGCCAAGGGTGTCATTGCTGCTTCCGAGAAGGAGAAGGACTTCAAGCTTTTGTACAATACCGAGGGCACTGTCCAAGAGCGCATGGAGGCCATCTGCAAGATGATGTACGGCGCCGACAAGGTCGAGTTCAGCGAGCTCGCCCAGCAGAAGGTTGACACATACACGAAGCAGGGCTTCGGGAACCTGCCCATCTGCATTGCCAAGACTCAGTACTCGCTGTCCCACGATCCCGAGCTGAAGGGTGCCCCAACCGGGTTCACCGTTCCCATCCGCGATGTCAGACTGGCGGTTGGTGCTGGGTACTTGTATGCCCTCGCCGCCGATATCCAGACGATCCCTGGTCTGCCAACAGCTCCGGGTTACATCAACGTCGATATCGACACGGAGACTGGCGAGATTGACGGTCTCTTCTAGAGTACGCAGGGGTATAATCTTTCAACAAATCCTTCAACAATTTCCATCATCCAAGATAGTTTCCATGTTCATTTGGAATCTAACGTTGTATATATTGGTCACGCACTTTAACGGGCGTAGATAGCGTGGTGTGGCATACTTCAACATGGGCGCTCGGTGTTAGTCGATGCATTTCTCAGCGAGAGTTGCCATGGGGCAATCTAGACGGGGTTAGGCAAAAAATAGTTTCTAGAATAAATGATTTATGTTTGCAATTGAGGCACACAGTCATATTGCACCTGTAACGTAGTATGATACCACAACCCTCATGCCCGGGTACACAGCATATGATGCTTCACCTAGGTAGTACAAGCAAGTTTACACCCTGGCCCTTCCTGTTAGAACGCCTTACTCCTGATATATCCTTCCGAACCTCCAAATCAACCGAAATCTTTCCCACTCACTCGGCGAGCCTGTAGCTCACCAGAGTATCGACCTTGTGATTGCTCGTGCTGAAGCTCCTCAACTGCACCTTCTCGGCATTCTTAATCTCCTTGGCGTCGCTGTCACCCCATTCCATTGGCACCTCGGAGTCGGCGTCTGCGTAGACAAGCACGTTGAAGGTGCAGTCGCCCTCCAGCTGCGGTAGGAAGGTAACTGAGGCCGTAATCTGTCGGAAGATGGACTGTATCTCGTCTTGAATCTCCTTCTCCGTCTTTTCCGCTGCGGGCTCAGATCCTCTGTCTCTAGTTAGCTTTGATCCCGTTTTCGGCCTGTGATGCTTACTCGGGCGCGGCGTTCTCTTGGTCTGCTGCCTTCTTGGAGGAGGACGACGATTTCTTCTTGTTGAAGATTTGGACGTCGAATTGCCAGCGCTCCATGTGCTCGCCCGTATCCTTGCTCGTAATCACGACAACCAACTTGGAGATCTTGCCTCCGACCATCCATTTATCGAGCTGTGACATAATCTTCTTGATGTACGCTTTGACTTGGTCGTCCGAGGAGACCAGCATGTTGAGGCCATATTTCTTGACTCTGTGAGGAGTCAGCAGTGTCCATCCAGGTGAGGGGGGTGGTATTTACGCGCTGAAGTCTTCGGCGGGGTAAACGCCTCTCTGAAACAGGATTGTGTTGATCGAGTATTGGAAAAACTCGGCAACCAGCCTCGACGAACCTTTCAGCTTGAGCTTGTGCACCTTGGATTTATCCTTTGCTTCAGACATGATACCCGTTTCCTTGATGTTCCGTTTGGTTTGCGATTGACGTTGGAGAGTGGTGTATATCTTATCGTTGCCGCGGGAACGTCAGGCCGGCGCGGAATAACTACCGCGCGACAGGGTCGAGAATTATTTGAGACGACCGCCCAAGGGACCAGCACGACAAAAGCACATTCCCGTCGCCAGCAGCCCTTAATGCGGCGATGTCTCCGCCCTTTCATCAGGCTCATTAGCTCACCGCTTAGTAGCGATGGCACCTGCCTGGCCTTCAATCGCACATTTACGACATCCATAGCGCGGTGGGCGGCTCCCCCCTCGAAACCCAAGACCGACTTGGAACGGCGAATCGATGCGATACCCCTCGAACGGTTCCGAAATTTCTGTATCGTGGCACATGTCGACCATGGAAAGAGCACTCTCAGCGACCGGCTCTTGGAGCTTACCGGCACGATCGAGAAGGGAGGCAACAAGCAGATCCTAGACAAGCTCGACGTCGAGAGGGAGAGGGGGATTACTGTCAAGGCGCAGACATGTAGCATGCTGTATAATTACAAGGGGGAGGACTATATGCTTCATCTAGTCGATACGCCAGGCCACGTCGACTTTCGCGCCGAGGTCACCAGGTCATATGCGAGTTGTGGAGGGGCTCTGCTTCTTGTGGATGCCAGTCAGGGCGTACAGGCGCAGACCGTCGCTAACTTTTATCTCGCCTTTTCCCAAGGCCTGACACTTGTCCCTGTTGTGAACAAGATCGATCTGCCCTCTGCCGACCCTCCCAGGGCACTCGAGCAGCTCGAGAGCACGTTTGAACTGAAGCCGGAGAATGCGGTTCTCATCTCCGCCAAGACTGGACTTAACGTCGAGGAAATCCTACCAAAGGTCATCGAACAGATTCCGGCGCCTGTTGGAGATCACCTGAAGCCACTGCGGCTGCTTCTTGTTGACTCTTGGTACGATAACTACAAGGGTGTTATTCTACTCGTCCGGATATTTGACGGCACAATCAAGGCTGGAGATCACGTTGTTTCGTTTGCGACTGGGCTCAAGTATATTGTTGGGGAGGTTGGGATTATGCATCCGCTGGAGACGCCGCAAAAGTCACTTCGCGCGGGCCAGGTGGGGTATATCTACTTTAATCCGGGCATGAAGCAGAGTAAGGACGCCAAGGTGGGTGATACGTTTACGACAGTCGGCTCTGAGCGTCTTGTGGAACCGTATCCGGGTTTTGAAGAGCCAAAGTCGATGGTTTTTGTGGCAGCATTTCCCGTTGATCAAGGAGAGCATGGCCATCTCGAGGACAGTATCAACCAGATCGTCCTCAATGACAGGAGTGTGACGCTACAAAAGGAGTCGTCTGAAGCACTTGGCGCAGGCTGGCGTCTTGGGTTTTTGGGGACACTTCATTGTTCTGTGTTTGAAGATCGATTGAGACAAGAGCACGGAGCGAGTCTCATCATCACTCCGCCGACTGTGCCTTTCAAGGTTATCTGGAATACCGGCAAGGAAACGATCATCCAGAATCCCGCATTGTTTCCTGATGGCGACGAGGGTAGTTCAAAGGTTGCGGAGCTGCAGGAACCATACGTGGAGGCGACCATTACAATGCCCGAGGAGTACCTTGGCAAGGTGATTGAGCTTTGCGAGGTTAATCGGGGGATACAGCAGAGCTTGAACTTCTTTACATCGACGCAGGTCATTCTGAAATATCTCGTCCCGCTAGCGCAGCTTGTTGACGACTTTTTTGGGAAGTTGAAAGGGGCGACGCGGGGGTATGCCTCTCTCGACTATGAGGATGCTGGGTGGAGGAAGAGTCAGATTGTCAAGATGCAGCTTTTAGTGAACAAGGTGCCAGTTGATGCCGTATCGCGGGTGGTTCACACGTCGCAGGTGGATAGGGTCGGCAGGCAGTGGGTCAAGAAGTTCAAGGAGCATGTCGATAGACAGATGTACGAGGTGATTATCCAGGCGATGGCGGGGAGGAGGATCGTTGCGCGAGAGACGATCAAGCCGTTCCGGAAGGATGTGCTGGCGAAGCTGCACGCGAGCGATATTTCGCGGCGAAAGAAGCTGCTGGAGAAGCAGAAGGAGGGAAGGAAGAAGCTGAAGGCGGTGGGGAATATCACGATTCAGCAGGAGGCTTTCCAGAAGTTCTTGGCAAAGTAGTGTAGTATAATGTACGGAGAATAGATGTAGCCCGTTGTGTCCGAGGTCGTTTGTGATTGGTTGTCGGTGGGGCCTAGTATCACGGAGGTTCTGTAAAGTCCGGCCCTTGCCTTATAACTTGGTTTATCATACTGAGATTAGATGTCCGTTAGGGACTGAACTGAAAGGCCTGATTTTATTTATAATATACCGAGACTGATATCCACTTCGCGGGCTTGGTTTCGTTTATAATATACTTGGACGGATGTCCACCTCGCGGGCCTGATTTCTATATAATTCACCGCGACGCGACGCCCGCGCCATCAGACCTGAGTTCTCCACGATCATTTACAACGACTGCGACGGACGCCTGTGATTTGTCTACCATTATTTACAACCACTGCGACGAGACGCCTAGGAATTCTCTCCGATCCATTTAAAGCCACTACGACGACATGTCCACCTCTTCAGCCCCTATGGGCGTCCCGCCTGCTATATTCGGCGGGATCCCTTCACGTCAGGTTGATATTCCCATCAGCGCAGTTATCATCGCATGCTACCTTGCCATCGGCGCCACACACATGACCATATTCCAGAAGAATCGAAGAGCAGGGAGGAAGTTCACGCCGAGCGCGCTTTGCTTTGGATTCAGCATGTCGAGAGTGGCAACATTTACCATGCGGATTGTATGGGCGACGAGGCCGAGCAACCCAGATGTGACGATTGCCGCCAACGCGCTGGTTGCTGCCGGGGTGATCTTGCTGGTGAGTTTGTCAAAATGAGAGTCGACAGTTCTAATTTGATAGTGGTGCATTAATCGCGTCTTCGCAACGAGGCTGCTCGGTGAATATCATCCACGGCTGTACTCGAAACCCGTCTTCGAATTTGCCTTGCGCCGGCTCCCATATGTCATCATTATATGCTGCGTTCCTATGGGTGAGTACTCTCCGTGGTCGTTGGCGAAGCTAACATATCAGTCCTCGTCGCCATGGTGCTGCAGTTTAAGACGACGAATCCGCATATCCGCGTTGTTACGGGGATCCTCCTCAAAGTTGTCATTTCGTTCTTCGTCGCCTTTACCTTTTCGCCGTTCCTCGTGCTCGCCATTACAATGCTGCTCCCGGCAGAGGTTGAGGGAACGGGAAAAACGAGCACGAAGGTGGCCGTCATCGTTGTCGCCACGACGTTGCTGTGTTGGGAGCTTGTGAGTTGTCGTGGGATGGGTTTGGGCGTGGCTAATATTTTCAGGGGATGAGAACCGCGACGATGTTACAGCATCTTCCTGCGAACGCCGCGCCATGGTATGTTTTCGCGATGGGGGTTGAACTCGCTGATTTTGTACAGGTATTATAGCAAGCCTGCATTTTACGTGTTTGTGCCGGTTTTCGAGCTTGCCGTTTCGTGTATGTACGCGGCTGTTCGTGTCGATCGGTTGTTTTATGTAGAGGGGAAGGCGGAGGGGAGGGTAGTAGGGGAGGAGAAGGGGGAGAAGGGGGAGAAGGTGGAAATTATAACTTAGGGGGGAATGTGTTACATGCGCTGTATTTGAGGCGTTTATCCTACGTTTTCTGCTCGAGAGCATTAAATGTATGTTTCGATAACATTAAAGTTAAAAATTTATCGCGCGACTGTTCATAGGATGTAGTACTATCTGAATAGGCGAAAAATGTTGTTTGAGGGGATTGAAGTTGGATTTCGAGAGGATCGAAATAAAAAAAAAGGTCGTGCTACCTATAGACGCGCAAAGGGGGTCCGTCGAGAGGCTCGAAATTGGATTTCGAGGGGATCGAAATGGAAATGTCATGCTATGCCTTATGTGTAAAAAGGGGTCCGTCGAGGGGATCAAAGTCGGTTTTCGAGAGGATCAAAACAAAAATGTCACCTTACTATACTGTCGATTCATCGTTTAATACTACAGTGCTAATAATATTTAAAGCTGGGTTACTTAAAGACTAATGGTTTATGGTTAGCATGGCGAGTTTATCCTAATTTATTGATCTAGGGAGCCAAGCTAATAAAAGGATAGGCCACAATAATCATGAGTCTCCTGCTGATTTTATCTTCGATATTCATACCTCACATGTGCTACGAGGTCTTCCTTATTATCCACATCTGCCTGTCTATCGCCACAATCGTGGGTTTGTTTTAGTATGAAGACTGTCTTGATGAGATGCACCATGTTGACTGTTCCTAGCCATGCTAAGATTTTCGATAAAGCTTACGATGGTTACTTATGGCCTTTGGTAACGATATGGGTACTTGACCGGCTTTCCAGGATCATCCGACAAGTATACTGTAATATCCATGTTAATCGATCTCTAGATATCCTCCAAACCATGTCCACAGCAACATATAGCAAAGAGGCCGATTTGATTAGACTCGAAGTCATCCCGGGCTCGGAGAGTCTCAAGCCGAAACCAAATTAGCATTACTACCTTTACCAACCACTAAAGTAGAGAGGGTGGGAGAATCATCCTTTCACTCTAGCTGGCTAGGATAAATTGAAGACGATGAACCAATTATTTCAAATACCAAAACTTCGCCAAGGACTAAAGCAACTACTTATGACGACGTTTTACTAGCAAGCGCATCATTAGGTCCCTTCTCTAACTGTGAATCCGTGTTAACTAATTCCGCCCAGCCACAACCTCAAGGCCGCTACAAATTCCTCTTCTACGTCCGCCCATCCACAGGATGAACCAAACGCCTCCGTGACGAGTGCATCAAACACCCCTCCGGGCAGGTCAAAACTCGCATACTCCTAGAAGGTCCCTACGGTGAGACCACGCCCTTGCATCACTTCGAGAATATCGTTCTTCTCGCAGGTGGAACGGGCATTGCTGGTGCTTTGCCGTATCCCAAAGAGCACATTGCTCATTTGGCAAAAGGCACAATGGTTACGCACAGCATCACTCTTGTCTGGGCTGCTAAGCAAGCGGCTATGTTCCATGACTTGGCGGCGAGGGGGTTAGCACCGGTGTTGAAACGAGGGGATATTGAAGTCTCATTCTATGCTACCTCGAATCGCAAGAATGGTCTTGTGGATGGGAACTTGATTGATACGGTTCAGCAAGTAAAGGATTATCTGGTAGTGGAGGTGGGTATTAATTACGGTAGACCAGATGTCATAGGCTAGGTGCTGGAAGTCACTCAGGAGATTAAGGAGGCAGGGAGTCAAGACGGACGCATTGTAGTGCTTGTTGTGGTCCGGCTGGGATGGCAGATGAGGCAAGGGGCGCGGTGTATGTAGCGTTAAAGAGTGGGACGAGGTGGGTAGAGTATATTAAGGAGTCTTTTGGATGGTGAGGGTAAAATAAACTTTTAGGCTAGTGGTACGCACAGCACCTTCTTGTTATTTGGCTATACTACTATCTATGCTAGGCTGCTCTTTTAGTAAGAGTATTATCTTAGTAGTTTAGTTATAAACGCGGTTTTTAGTTGTAAGGCTTATCTACTGTCGAAATTCAAGCGAAACCTCAAAATGGTAATTAAAGACGGGGATATAGGGGCTCGATAAGACCGTGAATTCTAGAAAACATTGGCATTGGGTTCAAATCTATCATGACTATTTGGTCACGCCCGCTACAGCCCCCCCCTTTCTTCACTTGTAATCATCTCCATGCTCCAAGCCCAGAGTCGTTCAGCCAATTCTTCATTCTTCGCTGCTTCAGAAAGCTTAGACTCCGTAGCATCCCAGCTATATCCATACCAGAACTTTCCAGCCAGTGGACCTACATCGAAGTACCTGCCACTTAAATTTTTAGAAGCGATATCGAGGTCTGTAGCGAGAACGAGAGTTGTAAGCGCGCCGGTAAGCGGAGGAATGCTAGTCATTCGAACGATAGATGAAGTTACGAACGAAAGCCATGGAGGGAGGGAGGCTGAGTCGGTGGAGGGAGCTGTGCCAACCGTTCCTGTCGCGTTGTAGGAGAGTCAGATTGATCGTTTTCAGACTTGAAGACAAGGAAGAAAGTTATGAGGCTGAAAAGATGTAATACCTGGGTTTAAACAATTCACAAATATATTGGAATAGCCTAACTCCCGAAGATGGGTGGCCAGGGAACGTGTATAGAGTATGTTTGCGAGTTTAGAACGCGCGTATCTATTTAATGTATTAGTCGCCTCCCTGCCAGGCTAAGATATTAGAACTAACCTCTGCAAACTGCTTTGAACATCCCCAAAGCTTTTGAGCTCCTTAACCCCTTCTACTTTCAAATCTTTGAAATCGATAATATCAGACGATGAAGGCTTATACATAGCGTGTGCATGCGAGGATACCACCACGATCCTGGCTTGCCCAAATCGAATTGATGTCTTTTTAATAATATCCTATAAGTTAAGTTACAGATTCAATATAATGAGTTATTTGAAAATTAACCTGATAGTTTGAAGGACGTACCAGAAGATTATAGATGAAGACAAAATGACCTAGATGCTAGTATGAAGATGTTCAGAGATGCCCACAACGAATACATAGTCACTGGGCTTACGTTTGTCTGCAACTCCCGTAAGTGATTTGCTAGCTGACTTATATAAATAGATAAACTCACCGCAAATTGTATCTCAATCCCATCTTTCGAAAGCGTGCATGGCTGAAATTAAGAGATGTGTTAAGACTTTCAATTACACCCAAAGCGACTCTATCATCTTTAGACGGGCAATTGACAAGAAAGAACTTACCACAACAGCAAGTCCCGCGTTAGCAACGAGCACATCAAGCCTCTTCTCCATCCCTAGAAACTGCTTCGCTGCTATAACGCAGCTCTTCATATCCGACAAATCAAGTTGTAGGAACTGGAGGTTGAGCGAAACCTTAGAGCCACCTCCATCATCCAAAATGTCCTGGGCTTCTTTTACAAGTTCATCAAATTTGGTCTTAGATCGCGATGCGATGTAGACTTTGGCATTGTGTTGAAACAATTGGAGGGCGGCTTCCTTCCCTATTCCTGATGCACCTCTGGAGATGAGATGTTAGCTGAAAGAGCACTAGGACTCTTATAGGGAATTGCAAATTTGGGGATCAAATCATACTAACCCGGTGATTATAACGACTTTTCCCGAGAGATCTGGGATTTCATCGACCGAGAAACGTTTTGAGTACGGCTTCATACTGCGAGGAGATTCAGGGGTAGTGAAAGTCAAGTTAAAGACAAAGAAGTTCAATTTGAGGGGAAATATCCAACACACAGTGATGAAACGGCAGGTAGATATATATGGCAGTTGACCTTGTTCGTTGCACATGCTCATCGGGCACCTGCCTGCGACGGTCTTTACGGTGTTTGCGGTCTTAAGTGAAAGTGGAGCTTTACTGTATCCCCGTGCATGGCGGTTCGTGGGCAGAAGAAGGTCCACAAATGGCACCGAAGTTTGGCATTTGCGACGGTCACGATTCGAGAACCCACGCCACCATAACAACATTAGGCCCAAGTCGGTTGGCCATTCCAATACACGAGAGGGCTCCGAACTAGGGAAGAAGACGGCCGAAGGCATGTCATATTGTATCCATGTCTTCACGCAGTTAGTCATCAAATTTAATCGCCCCCTACCCACGATTTGGACGAGTAGTATGGTGTCCCATGTGTAATATTATGTACTTGCTTGCTAGTGTTGGTTGATTTAGGCGGGTTATATTTTGACGAATAAGAATGTCGGCCTCACGCAATGGCTTGCTGCTATTAGGCAATCTTTATTGTGCTTATATGCAAGGCCTATGGTTTATTTATCTGAGAGCCACCTATACGAAGTAGATTCTAGGATACAGTGGGTGGTAAGCTCCACAACTCAGCCTACCCCTCATTGGCATCTTACTCCTTCTTATGTCTTGTCTTACACTAACCTCCCTTTTAAAAGCTGGTGATTAATTCTAGGATGCAAATGGAAGGTGATGTGCAGTTTATTTGAGCTTAGAAGCGTCGTTCACAGTCCTCCATAGTCCTTCATAATGTCAAGCAATTATAATGGAGTGTGATTGCGGACAGGTGACAAGTCGCGATACATGCTCAGGCCATGAATCCAGGCGTCGAAGCACCACGTGGGGTGATACTGATACGATGGCGCACTTACTAAGGATCGCTCTTAGTGCAGTGCAGTGCAGTGCAGCGCAGCACTTCATGCTACTCATGGTGGTAGCCCTTGCCCCTGGTCTCCGGCCAGAAGTAGTTGACATTTTCAAGGTTATACCATAAGCGCTGTAGGATTAAAGGTTACCTGTGGTTTCTGGACGCTAGTGGTAGCAGAAATGTTTTTGCCGTGAATCCAAACTAGGGCAGCGACGTAATGACCGTACTAGATCGATTTTGGTATGTGCTCCATTTTTAGCCACCTTAGGTTGACACCGTTAGGCGAAGATCGGCTATTGAGATCCGATTATCTAATTAGGTTATCATCCTGACTTTATTCAAACAAGTGGCGACAATTACTGATACCATTCGCCTTCATTATATGCACGTAGCAGGAACAGCTCATACTCTCTTATGGGATAGCCGATTAAGCTGAGCTCCCCACGGAGGCTTGTCAGCTGCGGTAGGCCTTCCGATCTTTATCCTTAGCTCGCTCGTGGACTCTGTAGCCCAGGGTAGAATCCCATCAACTGCGACACCCTCTCGCAAAGGATAATGTAAAACTTACTAACGCGTTTTAGCTTCCTATTATGGAACACCAAAGTGAGAGTGGGTGCGCTCCACCTCCACCTCTAGCATACCATTTTGTCAGACAATCTGGCCGCAAGATAGACGAGTCGACACGCAGTAGCATTCGATCCCATGCAATGAAGGAGTTTCGGAACAAGCAGCGTCAACAGAAACAATTAGGAACTGTACAAAATGGCCAGCAATCTATTACAGAGTTCAACCCTAGCCCATGCCGATGCTTACCTCAAGTTCAGATTTCTTCGGCTTCGTCAGAACAGTACTCAGGCACACAGAGGGTGGTGGTCCCGCCTTTGACTTCCATGTCATCGGTGTCCGGGCACTGCTACTACTGCGGCGGGGTACAATTAATAGGAATGTTCCAGCCACAAGAGGTGGATGTCGTGCAGCAATACTCCGTCTCTGGACATACCTTTGCCGCCGCAGCTGACTTTGATCTTTTCAACTCCATTACAGATCTATCTCAGCCTCACACCACACTGAAACAATCTAAACACGTTTGTTACAGGTTGCGCCGAGTAAAGTGTGACGAGTCGAAACCAGCATGTCTACGCTGTTTGAATCTTGATTTAGAATGTGCACGCCGGCAACCCTCACCTGGTCCTCGCCCACTTAAATGTCGCTCTGTACAGCCAAAGAATGCGAGTCCCTCCACTCTAGTTTCAAATACACTGTCAGGAAGGCTCTTTGAGACGGAGCAGGAGTACCAATATTTCGACTTATTCTCCACAAAAACTGCATTCGAGGTTCTCCCAACCTTCGATGCCGAAGCGTTGCGTCGCATATTGTTGCAAGCATGCGACTCTGAAGTTTCTGTTCGATATGCCATCGTTGCTCTAGGAGCACTCGCCAAGAAGTCCGACACAGCTGGCCCCAGCTCTGTGTCTCGTAACGCTTGTGAGATGAGACCTGTCCTGTATTATCAGGATGCACTTCTGCAATACAGCAAAGCTATCAAATACATAAGGACCGCTGTTTCCAGTGAATGCCAGAATCTTAGGACAACATTACTTTGCTGCTTTTTGGTCACGATGTTTGAGGCAGGCCTCGGTAATGACAGGTTAGTGGTGGATCAGATTCAAACCGGTATTTCGTTGTTACGGGATTGGAGATCGCAATATGCCGATGCGCATAAGCACGCTTTGGGATTATCATCACCAGCTCCTAAGGTCATTGAAGACGACATTTTTCGAGCTTTTAGCCGCTTAGAAATTCAGACACTATATACCCTAGATGAGAGATTTCTGGGTCGACAGGCTTGCCTAAGCAAAGATGCCAACAGTGCACAGCAAATTGGAGACGAGGATTTCCTAAGAAGCGGTACACAAACTCTTCAAAAAATGCCCAGAGTTTTCACCACTTTTGCACAGGCGCGAAAATACCTGGAACTTATCATGAAATGCGCCATTATCTTACATCGCCTGAACATTATGGTGTGCCACCGGACAAACAATTACTCTGTCAACTCACCATTTCTTCGCTTAGCAACGGTCCAGCATCCTACAAATGCAGCTTGCTCATCCGCGAACGGATCCAGCCACACGGATTCCTTACCGCTTCCTCAGAGGTTGGCTTCCTATCAAGCAAACAACATCTCAGGGCTATCTCAATGGTCTAAGTGCTTTCAGGCTTTCTCCAAGGGAATATTTGAGCAGGGTCGAAGGGAGTTATCAGCAGCCGATACACTCTATCTGCATTCAAAGATGGTTCATATTGAGTTAGTGACCGCACTTTCATTCAGCCAAGCCGTGTTTGACGACTTTACTTCCGAGTTTGAAGATATAGTAACTTTATCACAAATGCTACTCAAGACCAACTGGATACACCAATCAGCCACTATTTGCTTTACCTTCGATCTCGGCATCATTTTGCCTCTTTGGCTAGTAGGCATCAAATGCCGCGTGAAGTCGATCAGACGACAAGTAATCTCCTTACTGCGCTTACACCCACGTAGAGAAGGTGTCTGGGATAGCAAATTGGTAACTAAAATGATAGAGTGGATCATGGAAGTTGAGGAGGAGCAAGATCAAGGTGACACTATTCCGGTTTGGGCAAGGACACACGGAATATTGTGGTCTTTCGATATGGAACAGCGAACAGTGTATTTGGTATGTCAGCACAAGAGATATGAGTGGTCTGATGAACTTGTTACAAGGCAGACTAGGATTGCATGGTGAGTCTGAAACGACTATATAGATATTGCATTTTGTCACGTGATGCACCGGATTATGCTGGCAACGATTCTAGATCAAAGAACCATACACTATTTAATCTAGTTGCAGTTAGATAGGAGGCAACCTAGGCGGTTAGACAGGAGGCAGAGAGGGGGGTAGAGGAGGCCGAGGAGGTGGAGGCAGAGGAAGAAAACGGCAGAGAGGCAGAAGCACATTGCAGGGAGGGTCACTAAAGAGACGGCGGACTAGGTGTTTAGGGAGAACACTACCGCTAGGCAACAGAGAGGGATCTAATGGCAAGGGGCAGCTAACAGAGGAGGGGAACAGGAGCAATGCAGGGTCGTAGGGCAAGGTCCTAGACCTACTAGCAACGCTAGGAAAGGGTGGTGTCACTCTAGGCAGTAACGACTAGGATTAAGACGATAACGTGTTCTAGTTGTTATAAGTGAAATGTAACATATATGTAGATTATATAGAAAATACAGAGGGTATGCTATAGTAAAATTAAGTAGTTTGTTAGGTGTGTAGTAGAACTAGCAGGCTAAGAGGGCGAGTAGAATAGGACTGAGACTATATAACATTATAATATAATAGACTTTGTTTAATTGTTATATATAACATTTATACAAATAAGATGTAACTATCTATATAAGTTAGTGTAATATTAATATTAAAGAAGAATATTAAATCCATCTTAAAAGTAGTATAGTATAGAGGTAATACACATAATAATACTAACTAGATATAGTAAGGAAGGGGTGTAAGTTAACATTATTCAACTTAGACTACATTTTAGAGAGTAGTATAACATAGACTAAAGGCAACTTATTATAATTAACCATTAATACTATTATTAAACTTTAGGACTATAGACATACCTGGGAAAATCGAAACACAACACACACAACGCCAATAATCCTAGACGTCAACCCTAAAACCACCCCGCACGAAGCCAGATCCAGCCAGGAAACCAGGAACCCTACACCTCAAGCAGTCGTAGCCGGACCAACACCCCATCACGGGAATTCCGCGGGGGAAACAGACGAGAATAATCACTATTCTCACATTCCGCCCATATAACACCCCAACGACACAACCACCACTAGCACCAGCAGCGGTGGTCACAACCACGTCCCACAGAATGATTTAATTCGCAACTTATATACCCCACCTACACACACGCACACGCACACATAAACCAGAAAAATGCCACCACCGAACCGCCCACAGTCTCTCCCATCGCCGCCTTCAACGGATAACGACGCAGCGCACAAGACGGTGTCTAAGCGGACGAAGATGTCGAAGCCGGGACCGAGGGGCGCGAAGAGAGTGATGGCTGCTACGACGGCGGCGGCGGCGGCGCCGCCGCCGAGTAGGAGTCGGAGTCCGGAGATGAGGGGTGGGAGGCAAAAGAGGGTGTGGAAAGCTTGTGAGAGGTGTAGGATGAAGAAGGCGAAGTTTAGTTGTGACTTTTTCTACTAGTTTCTTGTTTTTTTTGTTTGACTGAGGAGGGTTGGTTTTTGGTGGGGTGGAGATTGGAGAGGAGTATGAGAGTGTGCATGTGAGAAAAATGGGGGTGTCATAAGATGAGAAATAAGAAGAGAACCGCGGGGATGAAGACAAGAAAAAACTTGCCAAAACCAAACCAAACCAAAGAACCACACTAAACCCCCCCCCCTAGTGCAACGCCGAATCCCCCTGCAAACGCTGCCGCGACGACGGCCTCGTCTGCACAGCCGGTCACCGCAAAAAAGCCGAATTCAAGCAGCTCCCGCGCGGCTACGCCGAAGTCCTCGAAAACACCCAATACGCCCTCATCGCCACGGTGCACAAGCTGTACGCCATGGTCATAGCAGGCGAGCAGTGGACGCTCGACTCGCCCGTCGTGAATGCCAGGGGGCAGCCGGTGATTCACGATATTGCGGCCAAGTTGGGGTGTATCCGCCCTGATCCGTCGAGTGCGACTAGTGGTGCTGCGAGTGAGTCTCCGGCTGATGCGGGGGAGTTTGTGGAGTTGCAGAGGAGACTGGAGAGGGAGGAGCGGGCTGGGGGGGGGGGGAGATGGAGATGGGTGGGATACTGAGCGCTGCGACGATGACGACGACCACCACCACAGCGCCAGAGAGTCAATTCGGGGATGACTCGTTCTGTGATAACCTTTACCCCGGCCTCGACATGGAGGATAACTTTGGAGATGTCGATGGTGGCGGCTACGGCGACGTCTCCCCATTTGCAGATGTCTCCGGCGGCTCCCCATTCACAATGGATACCCTGCAGTCCCTACAAACCGGGGCGTACGAAGATTTCATCTCCGCCTCCTCCGCCGCATCACCTGCTCCTCTCCCCTCCTCCACTGCTACCGTGACCGCGGGGTCATCACAGATGCGCATCCAGACTCAGCAGCTTCAACTCACGCCCCGAGGGCAGCAGCAGCAGCTGCAGGTAGTGCTGAGAGCGCAGCAGGCGAGGCAGATGCAGATTCTCCAACAGCAACAGCAGCAGCAACAACAACAACAGACCCTAGGTTTCAGGGACCAACAAAATCAGTGGGCTGGCCCGGCGGCGATGGAGGAGCAGATGAGGGCGTTGATGGAGGGGGGGGTTGTATAACGCTGCTGCTGGTGCTGGTGCGGGAGGTGGAGCGGGGATTGGGATGGGGGGGATGGGGGGGATGGGGGGGATGGGGATGGATGCTATGGGGGGCACTAATGACGACAGTACCCTTGAGGATGTTATTTCACTCACAACTTCCTGCTTCTACCCCACAACATCTTCCTCTTTAACTCTACACAAAATCGAAAGTCGTGACAATCACAGCAATACTATCCAAACCGCTTCCTCGAGACCGTAGTAAGGCTGGCAGTCGAGAAAAGTCGTTTTAAGGTGGGCAATAAGTTAATGTTAATGTAAACGTACGCGAATGCCTTCCAGGCTGTGGTGACGAGTTAATGTGCCTTGTGAGTTATCTTCTTCACCTCCGCACCGGTGGTAACGTAATTCTGAAGCAGGTTATTTTAAGACATCGACCATTACCGTCTAATGGCTATAATGATGCGTCACATTCAGGCTTGTTTCGGGACATCACTCCCGTCAATATGTGCTGGCTTGCTGAGGCAGAATGAAAGCCCAACGCGGGTCATAAGTATGGTTATATCGAAGCTGATGACCTAAAAAAAAAGTGTTATGTAGGACAACACGCCTTTATATGGAACAATATCATTTTTAGGTGGACTCTAGGCGCTAACCTTGCATATGCTCGGATGCAGCCGCCCCTAGCAGGGAAATCTTTCGTGTATATGGCGGGGTGAAGTGGCGGGGTGGTCCCCTGATTATTAGGGTCAGGGCAAAGCCCATCAACATTTTAATAATCTTCAAACATGAAAATTGATTTATGGTATCGAGATATTTTCAGTAATCAGGTATATATAGGTTTGTCCCTTTGATGAAATTTCAAGCTATCGACGACAGTCTACTTCATGTCATATTCACTTTGCGATCCTTGCTCTTCCTCATCGGTCTTCTTCAGCACTTTTTAACATTTGCCTTCTTCCATCCACATCTACCTATTATCTCAAAGCCATTTCTCATTCATATTAGGTTAGGATTACGCACAAAGCTGTAGGAGGCTCTAATAAACGGTTTTCTCAATTTTTTTATGTTTATAGCCGCGGGAAAGGGGGAAATGAAGATCTCAGCCTCTAAATGGTATTTTGGATGTGGTAGTTTAGACCCATGTTCTCCACCCCCACCCCCTTTTACATAGGCAGGATCCGCTCACCGCCTAGAATTATGGCTAAAATACTAACAGCCTCCTAGCTAGGTTCGGTTGATTAGGGACACCTCATCTGCAGATGAGATTCCTAGTAGGTAAGACAGGACGTCCTGGACGTGGGAGACACAAGATGGACAATGAAGGTTCGATGCGAGAAGTATTACCGACTTCATGGTGGATGTGTACAAGTATGATTAGATAGATAGGATGATGGCGATAGAGTTAATTAGTTTAAGTCACAGGCGGGCAAACCCCAACAGTCGCACTTAGACGCAAACATACTAAACAAACTAGAGGCGTAATCAGAGAGAGCCTTCGGGAGGGTTCGATGGTTTGAAACGAATGCAAATGATGTTCTAAGGATTGCCTATTCGGCTTAGCGTAGACTTGCCGCACAAAGTGCGCAGTGGGCCCGGGTTAGGACTAGGCGCCAGCATAGAAGCAGCCACCTACTTCGGCTACACGACGCTTGGTAAGGTACCCGCATAAAGCGCGCAGTGGACGCCACCGCCACCACGAAAACCCCAGTTCGGCTACACGACGCTTGGTATCCGCACAAAGCGCGCAGTGGATCCGACATGGCACTACCCCACCCCAGACCTCGCAAACATCGCATTCTCCAGGAGGAAACCAAGACACAATCCTAGCTTGTCATCCTCGATAGGTGTAGGCAGCCCTCACTGTTTACAACTGCAGCTCTTATCCTTCTGTGTATGACCTCGTATTCCCATTTGACTTCAACTTCGATAATAGTGACTTGAACGACATTTAGCTCTAAGTCAATCAAATATCTAGGGAGTAGGTGGCTTTTCTATGAGCTTTTAATGCCTTTTGGCGGCGTCAAAAAGGACTAGTAGAATGGATGTGAAGATTAAAGATAAGAAGCGGCCTTGCGTCACGTTGTAGCTGGTACTGAAAGTTGTTGATGCTGAGATGTCAGCCCTACCGGTGCTTCGGATACGCGGTTTGGGTCACATCCTTATAAACCAGGCGCATGTCTACCAGTTGGACGAGAGAAAAGAGACAAAGCGAGCTGACAATAAAGTAATTGCTTTCCAACGCCTGATGACTGAAGTTCTCAGACATCACAAAGAGCACGATAAAAGACACAATCCTAATACGGATTGTCTAGAGACAGCACGGTCGTCCAGCTATCAACCGGTTACAGCTTAATGACAACTAGTCATACTTTTGTCATGATTGCTACAAAGAAAAACTTCAGCAAACTCCCAAATGAAATTATTTGTCAAATTGCAGAGGTATTGTGACTCTCTTCTGAAAAGTTGTAACGACTGACTGGGCAGAGCCTTGGGAAAAGTGACCTACTTAGATTTCGTATCACGTCCCATAGAATCAACCATTGTTGCACTACTGTTGTGCACCACCGAATCTCTAGCGAGCTGATCGTTACAACTTCTCGACCGTACCTGCATCATGCTATCGAACTTTGTCTGCACCAGGCGATTCAAGCCTGCATAAGCCTCGGAGTTCCTATCGAGATAAAGAATAAGACCGACGAGACTGTTCTACATACTGCAGCACGAGCAAATTGTTTGAAAGCCGTTCAGCTGCTATGCTGTGCTGGTGCAGATGTAAATGCTCACAATCTGCATGAATGGACACCACTCCTGTTGGCCGCGAGGTATGGTCATCTTAAGATTACTAAGCAGTTGTTGGCATTTGGAGCGATAGTCAACTTCAAGGGTTTTCATGGCTGGACTGCATTGCATCTCGCCTATCACTATGATCATTTAGAGATAGCGAGTCTTCTTCTTTCAGCAGGGGCTGATGAGAACATTCGGGATAATGATGGAATCATGGCACATCAAAACTTCAATAAACAATGTTGGGGAAGCGGGGTGCGTGGGGCAAAAATCCGATTATATGATTAACTTCGCATAAATTGATTCTCGTAACCCTCCACCCCTCTTTTCCCTCCTCATTTCCAAAACCTTCCTCCTCGTCTACAACCCAAAAACCCTCCCGCTCCCCGCCCTGACCTCCCTACGACTGCATCCTCACTGCCTCTATCAAACTCCCCTTCTTTTCCCCATGATCTACCAACCACCAATGCTCTTCAACCTCTTGTACCGACCTCGTATCGAACCCCATAAAACACCGCTAACTCTTCTTGCGGCTTCAATCCATCATTTGGTATCATCTTCTTGCCTCCCACGCGTCGAAAATGTCGTACACAAATCTTCGTTCCAGCCCTGTTGCCATAACATTCTTGACCATGTGCCTCTTCTCTAAATGACCCCCCACCGACCCTAATCCAACCCCCAGCATGCATTCCTTGCAAATCAACCTCTAGTACTCTTTATTTGCCACACATAACCTCACCAACTCTGCCTTCACTGTCTCTATTGTTTGCCTTTCGCTGTCGCCCATCGTTGCATCTTACACTGCTTTACTTGGTCTCGTCGGTATAACCTATGCTTTCTAACCCTGACCTTGCTGGGTTATATACCCTACCCAACCCCCTCATTTTCACTCACCCTAATCCTGTCCCTCACTCATGTCTCACTGCCATGTATGTTTCGTGCTGCATGCGTCACCGTCTCGAACATATACAATACCCGCCAAACCCTACCCGCCGCCCTCCTGGGCGGGCTTCGCCTGGATGGATTTGGGTTATGGGTTGGAATGTGCTTACTCCTTCCCCACTTCCTTTTATAACTCTACCTTTACTATTAACCCTTCCTTATTCCGTGACCTCTCCCGGTGTCGCCATCTTATGCTCTCTGACCTCTGGAGTGGCTGTCGCCGGGCTTCACCGGAATGGGCTCAACTATGCTCCCTTCTACACCAAACCCTTGCCTTCATTGCTAACCATAACCCTCACCCTGTCATCTCAATATTAACTTAACCCTTTCATGAAACCATTACCCATCCTTTGCTAACCTCCTATGCTGACCTCATGTTGCTAAATCGACATGTACCGCCAATCTCGAAAATGTATCCACGTCCATGCTGACAAAAACTCCAAACTTATTTCGAACGCCCAATATGTGCTTGTCATCATTAGTCCCATTGTTCCCATTTCTCGCACAATCGCCCCATCCTACATCCTCCACCCGACTACCTAACCACTCAACCCCTAATCGTGGAATACCCTCCTAATTTTCACCCCATCATTTTATTACTCATCCTAAACAAATCCTCGCCCTAACTCTCTCCATGAACCCTACCCGTGATTGGTATTATACGTACATTATATCAAATCTAAATTTATTATTTTGTATTTCACAAATAAAATTGAAAAATAACCCAACTTTCACCTTTTATTAATTGAACTATACAACCTTTCTATATCTTTTATCTAATAATATTATTCCTGTCAACTAATTATTCTAACTCTCTTCATCTAAACGCTGGCTGGCCAGCTTTTTGAACACTCTGATCAAATTATTCCCTTCGATCCCACCCCACTCAACCTTCTTTCCCAACCACTGCCTTTCTGACTCTATATCGTCCCGGATGTCATATCAGTCTCTATCTGCTAATTTGTATAATCAATCCAACGGTGCTCCCTAATCGTCATCATGCTCTAAAACGCCAGCATAATAATATTTGGGTATTGACACTCCTAACAATCTAAAGCTCGCCATTTTAGGCGACTGCAAAGCATGACAACGTGTAATCTATTATAATGAGTTAGCACAAGTCCTCCACACATTCTTTCGACTATTGCAGGACAGTTAGAAGATTACATTAGCTAGACCTAGACGAATAACAGAGTTCTAAAGCCCATCGATAACTATTACCAAACTTAAGACCTCTCTAAAATGTTTTCGTATCATAATCCACCTTACAATTCCTGCTGCTCCCTTAAAGCATAAATTCTGAGAAATTTACCAGCTAGAAGTCGAAACTCGTCTGCCTAAAATTATCTGCGGTAACCGTATTTAAGAAAGCTCTAAAATTGAGTAGCTTGTTTCTAGGAGCACTCCATTAGGGCCATTTTTGCAAGATGCTAGGAGTGCCAGAATTTGGATCTAAACTGTGCACGAAACTGATGTAGTACGATTGAATTGAAAAGGCTGCATTTCCCAGCGTAATACCAAACGCAGGCAATAAATCTGTAGCGTGGAATGTACTGAGGACTGGGAGGCCGTAGAAATAAGTACTGATGTATGACCACGTCGGGATGTTTGGTTTGACAGTTGCAGCTAGCGTAAGGACGAGACGACGTGTGAACACAAACATGTAGTCGCTAGTAATGGCAGCGATGGTTTTATACTGCGGGTAGATGTTGTTAAGTGGACCGGTGCGGAAAGGGGAGCCAGCAGAGACATCGTCAGGGTAGGTATCCACAAAGCCTTAGAGTACAGCGCGAGGTGTGTTAGGGAATGTGTAGGCAAGATGGTCCACTACGTTGGTAGAGTTTTGGAGATTAAGGCTGTAGGTGAACAGTGTGCCCTTTTTTTTGTTGAGTTCCGTAAATAAATGGGACTGGGGCATATTTACCTGACTTCAAAAGATTTTCAGGCGTGTCAGTGAAGAAAATACCGTCCCGACGTAGTAAGTAGGTATTTATAGGAATGTTGGCATTGCTGGATACATTAAGGAATGTGGCATAGTCGAGATTCTAGAGATAGGATAGAGTGTCTGAGGCACTGGAGCAACTAGCATTTTGCACGATTATGTTGTAGCGATCCTCGGTGCGGCTCTCATTAACTGCAGCTGCTAGTAAAAGAGAACCACTATCCATGATTGCACCACAAAAAAGCGGCTTTCTTTTGTAGGTGTGGTTGCCATTCTTGTAAATCATGTAGGAGAAGACGGAGGCGGATCCTGCAGACTCTCCCCAGATTGTAACCTTTAAAGGGCCACTACTAAACGAAGCAATGTTATCTGCAACCCACTGACAAAAGACGTTAGCTATGTTAGTAACAATACCTAAAAATCCTCACCTGAAGAGCTAGCCGCTGGTCTCTTATGCTAAGGTTCGTAGACCCATCTGCTAAGACCTCCTTGCCGGATAAAAATCCGAAGGCTCTAAGACGATAGTTGACAGCCACGAAAATTATGTCGTTTTTTTAGGAGACTGAAGTTGAGATTAACGAAGTTCCATCATAGATTTGCGTTAAACCAGTTGTGAATCCTCCACCAAAGATCCAAAATAGAACTGGGAGTTTTAACAATGATGTGGCAGAAGATGGTCTCTAAACGTTAAGAGTTAAGCAGTCTTCTGGTGAGTCGCTTTCAAGGGCAGCTGGAGTCACAGGGAGGCTACCTAGAACCCCGGTTGCATTAGTACTAAGCTTAGTAGTATCCACCCGACTTGCGGTGCCTTAGGGGCAAGCACGGGGCGTGCCCGTAGCAACGATAGTTCCGAGGTCTGATGTGATTGACTGTGGTGGCTTTAAGCGAAGTGCCCTAACAGGAGGCTTAGCAAATGTAATGCCCATGAAAGAATCCACGCTAAGGAATGATGATCCGACAACATTCCCGATACTAAGCCTGACCTTAGGACCGACTCGTTTTTCGGTTGATGGTGCAGCAAGAGCAGCCGGAAGAAGTACGACGGCTAAGAGGTTAGTGCGAACCATTATAGATAGCCTCAAGCGTTTGAGTGATAGCTGTTGTGTAGGTACCTAGCAATTTCTAAAGGACAGCTGTGTCTTCTTAAATAGCCTAGACTCCCCGCACTTGAAACTCAGGTCTTTCCTCCCACCCCGTACCCCGCAAAAAAGGTAAATTGACCATTAGACTCACTAATAGATCCCTGAAATAGTTGGCTAATATGGAAAGTATTACACAAACTAAGAGAAGTCAAAGATGCTCGCGACAGCGTGCTGAAACTACTTCCCCTACCAAATAAAGAATCTGCACAGTAAAAGCAAATGTCGGAGAGGTAGTAATTTCATTGACCTATCTGCACGACAACGAGAAGTTTAGTTAATTATTCAGTCCTTGAACCTGTGGTAACAATCTGCCCCAGCTTTCCGGCTGACAGGGAGATCTCGATTTGTCAAGAGCGTTCTAAACCCAATCCCTTGACTTCAGCTAGTGCCAGTTGATATGCCAGACCACGGCACAAATGCCGCGGTTTTTATTGTACCAACGGAAGTCAATCCCATCGAGAAGATACAGACCAATCTACATGCTAGGGGTGAGAAAATGTGAAGTTGTTACCTGTGGCTTTGGAGCGAACCTCTACTGGACGCGCTAAAAACACGGAGCCGACCCGGCTTGCTCCACAATTTCCGCCGACTGCCTAGGCCAAATTGATCTGCACAACGAATCTTCGGGAAAATGATGTAGCGAGAGCGGGGTACTTAGCGCAGAACCACTGGCACGGTCCATGGGTTAGCTAGCGCTAGCTCGGACTAAGTCATTTCGCAACATTATTTTCCCTACTATAGAGACAGTGCGTCGTAACTTCTAGAGCCGGTGTAATTCAATTAGGCATCAAGATACGCAGCCTACCGCTTCGTATGACTCATCAGTCCATTTTGGAATCATCTTGTGGCTTTCTGGTAGTATTTCCTTAGCAGCAGGATTTAAGAATATTAAGATGTATATAATAGCTTGAATACTCGTCAATACCACATGCTTTATACACTAAATTGACCGGTCTACTGCTTTTGTAACTGTGTTCTCTACTTACGACTTTTACCGCTATCCACAACTACGGTTCTATAGCTTTTTGCAGAGAGACCATTATTTCACGTGAATGAGGCTCTGCTACTAGTTGTAATTACGGGTTACTGCCAGTGATGAGCTAGTAATTACTGCATGTGGGTTTTCTCTACGGCCGTAATACTGCAGTACTTTACCGGTTCTTATTACCCAAACTGATACTACCACATAACTTGTCTCGAACACATCCTCCGCCCCTAGGGTCTCCTCGAGCCGAAGCATACCGCGATGGAGGGAGATACGGAGAGATTCTAGCATATACACACATTTCTGGATTTCCGGCATAGTTAAACCCTGGTGTATCTTGAGCTGGTAAAGAGATGACTATACATGCTTAAGGTTACCGGGAGGTCATGTGATGTGTGAACTTAGTTGATTCGCATATTTATTCTACAGTAGTACATACCCTGTTTTATAGTGCTTCATGCCATATAGGCACCACTAGGCTACAGCTACCAAGATATAATAATGAGTTGTTACGCGGTTAGGTCACATTGCATCGATGAGGAACGTGATCAGATGCTAGACGATCAGATGCTAGACCCTCAACACCACTAGCGTGCGTTAGCGTTGGAAGCAACCACTGGCTATATTGCAACGTTCCTCTTGCCCCTAAATATCGTCAACCCACCTCCTAGCATCACCTAATGTGCGAATCTCCGTACGGTGGATCTCAGAGTTCGAAAGCAAGCAGTCGACATTGAAAGTTTAGCAGCCTCTGTTGGCTGTGATGGCTACCACGGCCGACCTCAATGACCTCCAGGCCGAAAGTCAAGGCAGTACTGCCAGGATGGTGCGTGCAAGGCAGCACCAACAGCAACCAGTGCGCAACGGAATTGTCCGCGCATGTATAGCTTGTCGACAGATGAAGGTGAGATAAGATGTCATCGTATAATGCGACCCGGCCCTTGACGTTGTTTTGCTCTCACGTTAAGCGGTTTGGTTGGACAGAACTCCATAGCATGTCTGCTTGTGGTTGGCCAACTTACAGAATGTCGTCCACGGTCGTCCCTTTATCACTAGATTTGAACCTTGAAATATGAGACTGAGTCTGCTTTTGGATGTTCGGAAGATTATGAGAATACCTTCAGCTGACAATGGAAAAAGATGAAATGTGTTGGCGCTGATAACCCACCCTGCGCCAAGTGTATCAAGGCAGGCAGAATATGTCAACCCCAATTGCCTGCACATGATCCCTACCAATATGGTCAACCTCATCCTCAAGCTCATTCACATTCACCGCGTCATATAAGTCGTAGGTTATCGAGCAATTCAGCTTATGAGTTAGAGCGCCCCATAAGGGGCCATGGCATGGTCGACACGATCCCCCGACCAACCACCCAAACACTCCAGAATCAGCTACCACACTCTCTCTTTGCCCAAAGAAGGGGAAGCCATGCGGGTCTCCCATCAATATTTTCTACGCCGCCAGTAGATGTACTGAACAATTCAAGTCCTCAGACGTCTGCTCCAACTCTGCCTACTGAAACTCCGAAAAAGCGAAAGAGATCTGAGGTGACAAGCGAGGGGCTGGAACTACCCTTGCCAAATATCCGGCTATCCGAGGAGCAGATTGCGCTTCCGTGGCAAGATATACGGGACATGATCATCATGCAAGTGGACTAGCGAAATCCTCATTCGTCCAATGACTGATTATATTCAGGTTCCGGGAAAAACTTCTTCCGTTCATACCAGCACTCCTTCCAAAAGATTTCCAGGATATAGGCGTCCTTATTGAGACAGAACTCAGTCTCGCTTACTCCATCTGTTACGTCACAGCACGCTTTCTGCCCGGTGGTAAAGCCATCCAGGAAATTTTGCTACCTCGTCTCTTGCAGTTTCTAACAAGGATCGTAACAAGTAGTGGCAGTAGAGCTAGTGAGATTTCTACCTTCAAGGCTGTACTTATCCTATACGTACATGCGAATTGCTCGCCCTCCACCTCTCAGCTGGCACAACAAAATCGTACTGGGCAAATATTATACTGGCCTCTCAAGTCACTCATGGAAGTCTGTGCATCACGACTGTCGTTGCACAGTTCGATACAGGATCTAAAAATGGAGCTACGGGCGACGACGTCGGATACAATAGTTGACTCGCCAAGTTTCCAGCGATATATGTATTGGCTTCAATTGTTCATCATGTCACACTAGTGCGTACTGGCCCTGTTAAGGACCTCATTTATGTGGTTGTCAATTTTTGTCACGTATTCTGACGCTTTTTAGTGCTTCTATAATTAGTGGGACACCTCCGAGTATTCGAATAGACTCGACCATTCGTGCAGCACCAGCACTATTACAAGAAATTGGACCGAACTCACAGATGAGGCTATTTGGCGAGGTTGAGCTCTGTCTCATATGGGAAAAGGTTAGCCAATGCTTGATATCGGGATAGGTGTTTTTCTCTATTAACAGGAGGATAGGCAAGCGCAGAGCAAAAGCAGTTGGGTGAATGGTGGTGTCTCCCGGATCCGACTGATGACATAGATGACATTGCAACGGAGGCAATCTTAACAGAGGCTGGCAACGCAATTGATGCGTGGTATGATAAATGGGGAAGCTTCATTCGTAATGGTTAGCACACTCCTCTAGCACCCTCTATGATACTCATACTGGACATCAGATGATGGCGTCGGAGCGGTTCTTGACCTGCTTGGTCGCTACGCCCGCTTTTGCATTAGCAACTTCGTAGTGCGCTGCCTTCCAAATTCATATCATGGTCTATCATCCCGACAGAAAGACCGCGTACGGGGTTGCGTAGCATGCGCGAACCACGTCCTCAACTGGCCGCTCAACCTGCGTCCAATCCAGAAAGAAAAACTACGCTACGTCTCCGATTCGGGTAGTATCATGCTCAAGTTTTCTGCCTTGTTTATCATTGCAGGTTGTCAAACTTTTTCGTCCTGTATTCCTAATGTCTCCCAATGTCTTGAGAACGTCAGGGCCGTTGGGCAGCTGATAATTGACCTGGCAGGAGATCAGAATTCCAACGCACATACTCACGGCAATCTGATAATTGATCGTGCAAAGGCGTTGAGTTTGAGTTTGGAGCAGAGCGATTCCCAGGAGACATTCACTGGGCCAACTTCGGAGAATGAGCAGCTCATAGCTGATCTAGAACCTCAGACGGATGAGATCTCTGATATATTAAACGCGAGCTTTAATGGTAGTGAAGCACTAGGCTTCGACTCGGTCTGGGACTTCTCGATATTACTACCTAATACTTGGTAATTTTCAAGAGAGGTACATCAAACCGTACTGTGACGACCTTATCTGCCTGCCTTTCCCCTTGCTTTTCCGCCTCTGTGGGGTTGAATTCACATCCACCTCGCCGCATTGACACTTCCATACCTTAAGCCGATGTTAAATCATCTAAGCACTTCACCAGTAACGCCCGAGGATTCATTCCGCTCATCTCGGATAACCACCGCGAACTCCCGGGCGGGCTAATCTGCCCAGACGCATTTTCAACCTTTGGCCGCAGCAGGCTCGTAACTGTGTCTCCCCATCAAACAAACTCTCAACCCAAATCGAGCCATATGCATATTCTTCTTATGATACTCGTTATACTCTGATAATATCATACGGGCCTGCCACAACTCATTACTTACACATCAAACCGATGTAAACGGGAAGGGAAGATTGAATGTATTTTTGGAAGCGGCTCTCATCGGACAAGGACTTGCCTGAAGGTACAGTACGTTCTTGAAATGAAGGATCAAATGACCTCGATTCCGAGCATGCGATAAAGGCTTTTCATATCAATCCCACTCAGCGGCAATAGATGTGGAGAATTATCCTTTTGTAACGCCTAGGTGTGAGGCACAGACAATACCCACGTATTAAGGCAGGCTCCAATAGCGTCTTAAGTACTTTATAGAGGTGTATCTACATTTTATGCGTCGACCTCTCTTTGTGGCGCTCATACCAAATCAAAAGCAATCACAAGCCTTTGACAACGGGCCTGAATACTTATTTATACTACCTGTAGGCGGCCACTCGTCGGGTTCAAACTCGACATCAAAAGCGTGCCATCCCGATGCAACCTTAATTTTCTTCTTCTCGCCCAACTCTTTCTTCTGCATCGGTAAGACAATGATGGCTCTTGAATTTGGCGGCACCTGAAGCTCTAACTTGAACCTACTGCCCTCAACCCGCCACTTAGCCTCGACCACTCCGAAAGGTCCGTCAAACCTCGTCTCGGCCCAGGTCAGCCCGCCACCAGGCACAGGCCGTACGTCAATGGTACGCCACCCGTCGCTGCTCACTAGGCCACCGACTGTCTCGTGCAACCAAGCTGCAACGCTGCCCAATGCATAGTGATTGAAACTTAACATCTGCCCTGGATTCAGCGATCCGTCCGGCATTAGGGCGTCCCAGCGCTCCCAGATCGTCGTTGCGCCCATAGTTAGCGGGTACAGCCATGACGGGCAGTGCTTCTCCATCAGCATGCGATACGCGAGCCATGGCTGTCCCGTGCGCGTCAGCGCGGGTAGGATGGCTGGTGTGCCTGCAAAGCCCGTCGAGACGTGGTACTGGGCTGTTTTAACAAGCCGCATAAGCGCCACGGCAGCATTGTCACGCTGCGCTGCGGTTGGGTAGAGGTCAAACTGGACGGCAAGTGCGATAGCGGCTTGGGTGTAGTTTGCAAGGTTTCCGGCCGGCGTTATGTAGCGATGGGCAAAGGCGGCTTTGAGCTTTTCCTTATCTGCTGCATAACGTCTGGCATCGTGGGCTTCGCCTAGGAGGGCCGAGACGTCAGCCAGGATGCCAGTGACGTAGACGAGGTATGCGTCTGCGACTAGAACGCCATCAGTGCGACCCAATCCAGGCTGTGAGGGGGGTGCGGCGGGATCGACCCAGTCGCCAAGTTGCTATAGTAAGGTTATTAGTCGTCTAGATTCAAAAAGGGATTTGAGGAAGTAAATTAAAAGTGCAGCAAGACGGTACGAACCCATAGAGTAGGATCCCAGAGGCGATCTGAGCCTCGGCGGATAGCGGTGTCAAGCCAGGAGGTCATGGAGACATATTGCCTACGAAGCAGGAAGATGTCTCCAGAAGCCTGGTACAGATTGTAAGGGACGAGGATAGTCGCGTCGTGCCAGATCGCTTGTGGGGTAGGGGTCCACCAGCTGCTCATAACGTCTGGGCAAATAAGAGGTGGTATCTTGTCGTCGCGGGCGAGTTGTTCAGCTGAGAAATCCGCGAGCCAGTTTCCGAGCTAAAACGATAAATGTAAGTATATTGATATTTATTAGAGTTATGGGACAGGAAGAGTTCTGTAAGATTATAGAAAGCACCTACAATGCCGTTTGTATCGTACAAAAAATTGGCTGCTGGACCAAACACTTGTATGTCTCCAGTCCAGCCCAGTCGCTCATCACGCTGAGGGCAGTCCGTTGGGACACTGACAAAGTTCCCCCGCATTCCCCATACGATGTTTGCATGCAACTTGTTGACAAGATCGTTTGAGCACTTGAACCACCCTCGACGCTTCATATCAGTATGGGTAACCAAAGCTGTGAAGTCTTCGAGGGAAGGGGTCGTTCCCTCAGGCCATCCATTAACTTGCATGTATCGAAATCCATGGTAGGTAAACTTCGGACACCAATGGAGCAGCTCATTGTCCGCTGTTATAGCAGTATCGGTACATTTCGCGTTACGTAGAGGTCTCATGCCCATCTCTTGGTCAACAAGAACTTCAGCGTGTACGAGCGAAACCTTGCTATGAGGCGGCAGTCTTTTGATACGAACAAACCCAACGACATTTTGTCCAAAATCGAATATGGTCTTCCCGCTGGGAGTAATAGTGATAGAGACGGGTTTCACCTCTTCGGTAACTCTAGTAGGCGCCATGTCAGATGCGATCATTGACGCAGAGGTGAACGGGAGCTCCTTGACCGATGCCCAAGCAGTGGAATCGAAGCCTGGCATTTCCCACCCATATTGCTCTTCTCGCATATCGTACGTTTCCCCATTATAAATTTCGCTATTTGTGATGGCGCTGGTGTGGCATTGCCAGGAATGATCTGTGTGCTTAACCATCACCTCGCCATTATCGAGAGTAATTTCCAACTGAGCAAGAAGCGCAAGTTCTTTGCCATAATTGAATCGCTGCCCACCTCGTATACCTATTAGGCCTCCATACCAGCCTTCTCCAACCTCAGCACCAATAGAATTTTGCCCCTTCTTCACCATCGCGGTAACATCAAATATCTGGTACGCAAGTCGATGGTGATAGCTTGTCCATCCCGGTGCCAAGACGTGATCACCAACACGACTTCCATTGATGTGTGCTTCGTAGACGCCAAAGGCCGTGATGTACAAGCGAGCCTTAAGAATATCTCTCTCCAGCGGCACAGTGAATTCCTTCCGAAAGCGTAGTGGGCGTAATGTTACATCTTCCGCTTCGAACTTCTTAGACGATGCAATTGGCAGTGCTGACCATCTTTCTCTCTCAAATAGACCAGCTTCTGCGCTAGCCCATGACGACCATTGCGTAATGTCGTCTTTTTCCTGACCGTAGCCTCTGACTCTTATTATCACGGCTTCTTTCGAGATAAGATCAGCTCCAGGCCATGGTACGAGTGCGGACTCAGAACTCTCGATATGATGGGTTCCACTTCCTGCTGCGTCCTCTGCTTTGATCTCGATGTCGTATGCTCGCTGAGTCCATGACCCTACTGACTTGAGATCCGCATCTGCGGGGTAAAAGAAGGACCAAGAAAGGCGAGGACGACTATTGCCTATACCGAAGCCATCGGGATGGTGTTCAAAGCGAGGGGTTGACGGCACAGGTTGCAAGGGTTTGTTTGAAGAGTCTCGCATTTTTGGCATGGACACAAACAAGATAGGAAGAGATATTTGCCTTAGAAACAAAGAGTTGTGAGAGCGTTCGTGTATATATGTACGTGCATGCATTCACAAATAGGGGTTTGTCAATGGCTAGAACAAATGTAGGTAGAACATGTCTAACAGTGAGCAGATTGTCATGTTCAAGACTGATTAACAAGGATGCAAAATAGAGATCGTTTCCCATTAAAATGTCGCCACAGCTCTGCTTTCGAAGACCTGAATAATCTTGACAGAGCAAGTTCCTAAACCCACAACGCTACACAAAAATCATCTTTTTCGGCGACTCGGTGCAGTGTTAGTGTAGAGCGGGGGGAAGGTGTGTAACCACGAGCCTACCCTGTGTTAGCGGCGTTCGTTAGCGTCCGTTGGCGTCCGTTAGCGTCCGTTAGCGTCAGCCATTACCCAGTAAACCGGGACCTATGGACAGGATTACTGTCCGGATGGGTCTGGAAAACTCAATAATGTCATGTTAGTCGTGGCCCGTGTTATACCGTTGCCTGCCGTTCGCACGGCATTACAACATCATCCCCAAGCTTCTCCTCTTTGAGAGGCTTCGAGTAAGCTTGGCATCTATCATTACAGCCCCAAGGGCTGACTTGCGCGTTCTCGGGATTACCGAGTTTCGCGAGTGGCCTGCACAACTCTCCAGTAATCTATAAGACTCTCCACGATATTAAACTCTTCTTCCCCAGACCCCACACACCATAATCATTGCAAAGCTCTTCTTGCTGTCTTCTCTTCCTCTATCACCTCCTCTCAGTTGCAAGTACCATTTGTCAAGATGAAGAAACTCAACCGCCTCATCCTTTATGTTCTTACCATCTCCCTTGGAGGCCTTGTTATCGGCATCGATACTGGCATCATTGCCTCGGTCCTATCTCAGAAAGGGTTTCAGGCCTACATGTTCCCCCAAGGAACCAAGAACGTCACCTCTCTCGTAGGCGCAATTGTTTCCATGGGCGCGGCTGGTGGAGCTATTGGCAGTTTGATCAGTGGCTTCTTCCTTGAGAAGCTTGGAAGACGCAAGACGCTCTGGATCTCCACATTCTTCACAATTGTTGGCGCCACACTCCAGACTGCTGCAAATGGCGTTGCTCTAGTTATTGTTGGTCGCACGATTGCTGGTATTGCTCTTGGAATGTTGCGACCTACCATTCCCGTCTACATCTCGGAGATTGCGCCGGCAAGTCAGCGAGCTAGGCTTATGGGTATCTTTGGCCTCCTCATTGCCGGTGGCTATGTGTGTGCTGGTTGGATCGGATATGCCTGCAGCTTTGCCTCTGGGCAAGTGACTTGGCGACTTGCACTCGCAATGCAGATTCCTGCTGCAGCGGTACTGATGGGACTCATCTTGTTCGTCCCTGAATCTCCTCGCTGGCTTGCACAGAGAGAGCGGTACGAAGATATGGACAGATGCATGCGTCGTATCTATTCTGACGAGGATGAGGACTTCTTCATCCGCTCTGTAGTCGAGATTCGTGCACAGATCCAACTCGAAGCCATACAGAGGACTACCAAGACACTAGGTCATGCCCTTATTGAATTGTTCAATTCAAGAAACATAAAGCGTACTGCGGTTGCAATCACTGTCTTGCAGGTTGGATGTGTTTCTGGCGCTCTCGCTATACAGCAATATCAATCCATCCTTTATGCGTCGCTAGGCTACACTGGCCGAAAGGCGCTACTGATAACCGCTTGTTACAGCTTCATGGGCGTACTTGTAAGTCCTCAACTAAGACCGCACACCACCCTGCTAAATTCTTCTAGGGTCAATTCATCAACATCCTGGCTATCTCAGATAAGTGGCCTCGTGTCCGCACCATGTGTGAGTCTTCCTCTACCTGGTTCACAACACAAGGCAACTAACATCAACCAGGGGTTGGCTGTCTGTCCCTCGGCGTCGCCCTTTCCCTCCTTATGGCCATCTCCCGCTTTTATGGCAACGGTCTGAACCCCTCGGGCGCCCAGGCCGGCGTCGCATTCATCTTCATCTACTCCGCGCTTTATGCGATGTTCTTCAACTCAACACTTCACACCATTCCTCCCGAGTACTTCCCCGCCCATCTCCGCGGCTACGGGCTGTCAGTCGGAGACTTCTTCCAGGGCGTTTCCAACATCTGGCTGTCACAAGTCACACCATATGCGTTTGATGCCATTAGGTGGAAGTACTACTCTGTGTTCATTGCAAGCGTTATCTTATTAGCGGTGTTTTTCAAACTGTTCCTTAAGGAGACGAACCAAATGACTCTTGAGAGGACGGCCGGATTGTTTGGTGATGAGACAGTGTATAATAGCTCGATTGATAAAGTGGCTCACATACAACATGGAGTGGCGGACCAGATTGAGATTGGAAATCGCGCAACAAACAAGCGGAACATTACACCTACCTAGACGGTTAAACGATACAATCTAGAATATGACAACATGTAGGTAGAAATATGTAACAATAAACGTCAGCTAGCACTAATATAAGTGACAAGATGATTTAACGGTGTGCAACTATCGTTTTATCCAACGCGTGATGATATTCCGGCGAGGATTTTGTAGATCACACTTTGTGCTGTGTGTTGGACAAATGGGAATTAATAGTCTGAAGGTGCTCTCTCTGTAGTCTTGGCTATACTTGAAGCCCTAAAGCCCCTCTGGTCCTCGGCGTCGAGAGCTATCACGGCTAGTTTAGGGATAGCAGGGTTGGCAGAGGTCAGGCATGTCAATAGTGTGGTGTGGTATCCCACACTATCGGTGTATTGACACAGCAAGGATGAAGGCTGCTGCTGCAGCCATGCGCGAGAGGCCTTAAGATACAAAGGATACGGGAGAAAGTCTTGCATTACAGGACTGCATTATGCAGTTCCTACGTCCACCGTCGAGACTGTAACACTAAGAAAATGAAAGTATACACTTTACTCTTTAGTTCATAACCTATCTGCTAAACTAAAAATACAAGCTAGCCTTTAGCTAATTTCAGCTTTTAGTTAACTATGTTATTACAATTTTAATATTTCGACATTTTGCTGTGGTTTTGGCGTAGGGTTGAAGTACGCCATGACATAGGTTCTTGTAGGTCAAGACTCATTTCACCGCGAACCTACTTCGAGCTCTAAGTTTTGCGCCGAAAAAGTAAAGCGGGAAAATTCCACCAATGAAGGCAACTGTAACAGCACCCAGAATGCTTATACCTGGACCGATACCGAGATTTTTGTAGAGTGGATGTGCGAAGAGTACTGCTGCTGCTGCAAGTAAAGATCGAGCCGCATCATTGCCGGCAAATAGGGAGGCGGCATACTGAGGATAGGTAAATGCCAGATACATGAATAAACATTGCATCATCATGAACATCCCAATATTGTATATCGCAATCCCTGTTACCGAAACCATCCAATGAATAGACGATCGTGCCGTCCAACCTAAGGTCAAATGTGTTAGTTGAGAATGCACTAACGATTCACTTGGGTGTAGCTAGAGCAGCTACGCTCTCGTGTAAGAGTACAACGGGAGATAGCGTACCGAAAATAAAGAGCCCAATAGGAGGAATAAAACACGCATAGAGCGCCGGAATCAGACACATCTCTGGAGTAATTGGTCCCTTGGATTTGAGTGTCGGAACCCAAATTGCTAAGATATAGAAACAGTAGATGGCTAGAGAAATGATGACTCCAATTAGGACCGATAAGAAAACGAGCCCCATTTCTCCGAGGCTAAACCCGTATATAACCGGATAAACGAGTGGAAAAGCCTCGAAAAATGAATAGTAAATGCCGTAGACCAAACTGGTGTAGATCGCGGTGTAAGTAATTGCAGGGTCTAATATCATGATCTGCATTGGCCTCAGAAGCGACTCGACGAGCATTTGGTGCAAGGTCATACTTCCTTGCTTGACTTCGCTCTGTGACTTGAGTTGTTTATTTCCCGTAAGGCGACGTAAGCGTACGGCACGACGTAAGAGTATTGTGTCGGAATATGTCTCCGGGACGAGAAAGAAGAAGGCGACCCAGACAGGACCGCTCGACCAGAGCATTTCCCACAGGGACCATCTCCAACTGTAATTTAGTAAGCGGGAAAGAACACAACCAGATGAAACCGAGGAATTCTTACCCCATAGCTGGCACGCTGTACCCAGATAGCAGAGGTCCCATCGCTGGGCCTGCTACGGCGCAGACTGACCAAAATGCGATAGCAATGGGCAGCTTGACCAACGAGAACTAGAACTATCAATTAGTTTTAATGACCCAACTGACTCCGTCTAGTACATACCATATCGCCCATGGAGGCTGCGCCAGTAGCAAGGCAGGGTGATCCAAAGTAGCCTTGGAGAAATCGCAGAGCGATGAGCCCCCCAAAATTATCCACCGTCGCAGTGGGGGCACATAAGATGACAAAAATACCAAAGGTCACAATATATGGAAGGTTTCTGCCCACGGACGGGATTTCACTAAGTGGTGAAAACAATAAGGGCCCTAGGCCGTCTGTTTTCAAATGGTGGAGTTAGCGAAATTAAAATGTAAACGGGGAATGAGATTTCACGCACATCCCAAGACATATATAGCAAGCCCGAGAGATGCAGCCGTATACGAAACATTGAAAGTTTCCATGACTCCCCTGCCCAAAAGTCAGTGAAGAGCAGTGCTACATGTGATACGACTGCCTTACCCCATGCTTGCAACGTATATGGAAGATCCCCCATATACCACAAACGTGTACAAGCTGGAAGAAGTGTCAGCTCTGCAGCTTCCCTGTTTGTGGGTCATGAAGACTCACTTGATCAATAATGCAACGCTCAGCTTCTTAGGGAAAGACCAGTTTTGTGGGTTCTCCCCATCGTCCTCGTCGTACCAATCCACTAAAAGGTCCTGTTCTGCGCGGTCAGGCGACTGCCAGTCTGGCTTCTCATCTGGGTACAGGAGGACCCTCCTTCCAGATATGAAGCGGATGAGCTGACCAGCGGTCGAGTCGCGAATCAGGTCAAACATTATTGTTGCAAGAAAGTCGAGAAATGTTACACTTCTGCAATACTTGTCGGCACTAGAACTTGGACATAAGAAACTGACTGATAAGACACTATATATGCGACCAGCACATCCTGCGCAGTTTTTGCGTGGAGTGACAACGCCAGGGGTGCGAATACACGCAAAAAGCGCGCAGAGTTTAAATTACTGTATACTGGAGGTTCTCATACTCGCTTACAACGAAGACTGAAGTTAGGATCCAGTCACATTTTAGGGCTCTAATTGGCTACTCCTAAAATTAGGACTTAGGTACCCGCCGCACAAAGCGCGCAGCAGGGATCGGTGGCGCCCTAAGACCCACCACAAGCACTTGGGGATTGACGCATGTGTAAGCAGACTGGCTGCGTAATGACACGGCAACTGGTTTCAAAATCTCACTAGATCCTAATTTTCTCCGACTACGAATAATTACTGCCAAGCGCGTTCTCTGCGTCGTCCGTCACACAATGCGGCTTTTCTGCGCCTTGGTGCAGGCTACTCGTACGGGGGCTCCAGTTTTGTCGATCGATGCTTTCAATTAATCCATCATCATCGCCACCCCAAAGATGCTTTTAGCGGTTTTGGGTCGTCCTCTATTACTTATACGAGTCGCAGCTCTCTCTGATCCCAGGCTCCCAGCAGACAGACGCAGACAGCAATCATGCTCATCACCCCTCCCTCCGCCCTTCTGCGCCTACCGCCGAGGTCTCTGAGACAGTATGTCCTACCAGCTGCAACTGCCATGGCCACACCGGTCCGCACGTTTCGACTAGGTGTCCTCAGTTCTCAGCGAAGGCTAAAAGGTTGCCAGAGCGCGCCGAAAACTCTTTGTAGCAGCAAGGCGGCAACCACTCCTTCCCTAACTTTGACTGCTTCTCAATTCTGGACCTCGACATCAACTTGGAAACGAGCCACCATCAACACTCTTCGATGCCTGGTTGGCTGCACTGTCGGCGATTTTTCGGCCATGTGGTACCTTCAAGCGTTCCATCCAGCCCTCGGAATGGGGACAATTATGGCCATCTCCAGTTAATCTCACTGTTTACAGCTGTCCGTTCACGCTTACTGATCCGATCTAGTGGCCTCCGGAATCACGACCTCGATTCTCCTAGAAACGACTCTTCTCCGATTCGGCCGCGATCGTCTTCCTTGGGTAGCTGCTGGTCAAACTGCTGCGGGAATGAGTATAATTTCGATGGTCACGATGGAGCTTGCCGAGAATGCGGTTGATTATCATCTCACTGGTGGAGTGGTCCAGTTGGATTCCCCTGCGTTCTGGGGCGCAGCTTTGCTTTCCGTGTCTATGGGATTTCTAGCACCCCTGCCGTACAACTACCTACGTTTGAGGAAGTATGGGAAGGCTTGTCATTGACTGGCGTGTTTATTAGAATGTATATCAGTCTTGTAACATAGACGCTGTACTCATAGAACCGTTAAGCACAATGGCAGTAGATCATTTGTGGTAGAAGACTTCTGGATCGTGATTTCAATATGGCTGTGACTAAAGGTTGATAGACTGGCCATGACTCTAGCTTCTGCCAGCACTATGTCTCGGCTCTGCCACACCTAATTCCCCTCGCCGGCGTTACGGATCGCGGCTTGGATTGCAATTGGAGGGACATACGGTGGGGAGCGATGATAATTTCTGCTTATAAGGCATGTTTCGACTGAGTATACGACAGCAATAACGTTTCATGAACTTTCAGTCTTCAGTGCGCTTCAGGTATCGAGAAATCACTGCTTACACAGTACATTTTACAGGTTGCCCAAATAGACAAAATCTAATTCAATCTACCCTGTTGATAAAATAGCTCCCACAATCCTTAATAACTCTCTACGCTATGATAACCCACTCTTACTTCCGCGTAGCTAATCCTTCCTCCCGAACTTAATCCGGCTTCAGGCTCTAGAACGGCCATCTAAGTTCGGGCAATTTTAGCGCCAGACTGCTTAGCACAACGCTAATGCTGCTTCCTGCCATCGCTACGGCAGCCCACACTGGGCTCATGCGCCATCCGGCGTGGTATTCCGTCGCTCCGATTGTGTAGAGAACTCCAGCTGCAACTGGGATCAGGGTGACGTTGTATACACCGGCCCAGAAGAAGTTCATCTTAACTCTCAAGAATACACGTTTGGAGAGTGTGAATAATATGCGAATCGCAGCAAGGTCTGAGTTTAGTAGAATAAAGGACGACGCATTGATTGCGATATCGCTGCCCGAGGAGAGCGAAATGGAGACATCTGCAGCGGTCAATGCAGGAGTATCATTCAGGCCATCACCAGCGAAGGCCACCAGCTTCCTCACACCCTTGGCGGGGTGTTGAAGTTCATGAATGTATTCGGCCTTCCCTTGCGGCAGAACACCTGCTCGGACGTTTTCAGGAGGGATATTGAGCTGCGAAGCGATGGCATGCGCCGTAGTGGCGTTATCACCAGTGCAAAGGTGAATGGCGAGACCTAGGCTGCGCAACGACGCAATAACCTCGGGAGCTTCTGGGCGGAGGGGATCGGACAGAGCAAAAATTCCGACGGCCTTGTAGCGGTTGGAGTAGCGGATGGCGATGACGGCGACGGAGTGGCCTTGGATTTGGTGTCGATAGAGGGCTTGTTGCAGATTCTTGCTCGACGTTCTTGCGATTTTGTTGTCGATGCTGTTTCCCGACCTGACTGGCGCCTCAGCTTTCTCTGCCTCTGTCTCATTGAGGAGATCAAGGAGTTTTCCATTTCCAATGGCAGCTTCCACGGCATGCTCCCCCGACTCCGAACCGAATGTGAACCTCGCCGTCATACCATGACCCGGTATCTCTCGGATGTCCGACATGGTCACCTCTTCCGAGCTGGAGGCACAAAACGTAGTTATGGCCTGAGCAATCGGGTGGCTGGAGATACATTCCATTTCCCGCGCCATGGAGAATAGCCTATCTTTGCTAGTGTCTGGATCGAGTTGTTCGTAGTCCGTAACCTTCATCTGACCCTGGGTCAGCGTGCCGGTCTTATCGAAGACCATCACACTTAAGTTAGATGCTTCCTGGAAGGCCTGGCCCCCACCCTGCACCAAGATGCCCTGCTTAGCAGCGAGGCCCCCTCCAACAAACAGTGCCGTGGGAGCAGCGAGGCCGATGCCACATGGACATGCAACCACGAAAACCGCTATGGCGAACTCCAGGGACCAGAACGCCCACCCTCCCTGCGCAGAATCAAGCCAAGCATCGGGCAACTTGCCAGAGAGACCGAGGCTAAGCCAGGTCACCCATGTTACAATTGCAAGTAGAGTAACGACAGGTACAAAGTAACCAGTCAGAACATCAGCAAATCGCTCGATGGGAGCACGTTTGGCCTGGCCCCCCCTTACGACTTCGATGATCTGATCGAGCATAGAGGCACCACCAAGTTCTGTGACTTTGATTTCCACAGGATCGGCCACGTTAACAGTCCCAGTAAAGACGGTGTCTCCTTTGGTCTTTCGGACGGGCTTCGATTCGCCGGTAAGTGAACTTTCGTCGAAGGAGAAGGAACCGTCCTGCTCGACCGTACCGTCTGCCGGCGGGGAAGTTCCCCGTGGGATCTGGACCACATCGCCAACTTCCAGCTGATCAACAGGAACCTTCTGCACTTCGCGGTCTTTCCCCACAAGGAGGGCTTGGCTTGGTCGAAGCTTGCTCAGCATAGCAACAGCATCTCCGGTTTTGGCCTTGCTATACGCTTCGAGATATTGGCCCATGAGAATAAAAAATGTCAAGAACGTGATAACGTCGAAGTAAGACGAAGACATCCTCATCGAATGGTGTCTCTCGGTTTTCTGCGTAGCGTTCATGATGAGGACCGCAAGGGACGAAACGTACGCGACCATCGTGCCGACGCTTATCAGCATATTCATGCTACCAAAGCGATAGAATCGACGTAGCATTGGAACGACACTGTTCGGTTTCCACATGGCCCAGATCTCTTTGAACGCACGTCGGTGGAATAGATCCGTGCCAAAGAACATGACGGGCGTCGTCAGGATGAGCAGTGCCCATTCCATCCGCGTCGCATTCCCAGCCCACATGGGCTCCTCAAACCACATCCTTGTAGGATTATCGCCTGGAACAAGGGCCATATAGACGACGCCGATGATCAACGAAGGTATAGCAACAATCCCGGCGAACACTAGACGCCACAAGATTGAACGCCTCTGCTGGTGCTGGATTCGTCTCGACCGTTCTTCGATGGTGGGGGGGTGGTACACATAGACTGAGAATTCCGAGTCGACGGATTGAATGGTGGAGATAAAGCAGCGGATTGTAAGGCCTTCCGACAAGGACGGTTTGTACGTGATCTGCACGCGGGGATCCGTGGAAGAGGGCGGCCTTGATATGCGGAGGTTGGAAGCAACCCCCATTTCAGAACGTAACTCGTCCAAAACCTTTACGACCCTCTCCGGACAGCGAATGCAGTGCATACCGTCGATCTGGAGGTCGACTACCCGCTCTTGTGAAGCAAGACTGGACTTCGGCTCGACTAATTCAACGACCGTTGCACGATAGCCCATATCGCTAAACTTGTCTAATATCAGGTCTAGATTCTTCTTGTCCCCTCGAAACTCCACTGACCCGCTGCTCGTTAGCAAATCGATGTTGGCAGTCGTGACGAAGGGCAGCCCCTCCAGCCCTGCAGTGATTTTGCCGATACAACTTCCACAGCTCATTCCTTCAATCGATAGCGACGCAGTGTAGGTAGGAGTCGACTTCGGCCTCGGTTCTACTAGTTCGACGAGTGTTGCATTGTAGCCTAGGTCGCTGACCTTCTCCAATATCGGGTCTACGTTGATCTTCCCACGAAATTCAACGGCGCCGCTGTTGGTGAGCAGATCGATGTTGACCTTCGTGACGAACGGTAGCCCCTCCAGCCCTGCTGTAATCTTCCCGATACAGCTACCACAGCTCATTCCTTCGATCGACAGTGATGCAGTGTACGTGGTGGATGAGTCGTATTCGGACGGACCATCAATATCGATCACAGTCGGGTTGTCATTAGAACCCGTAGCGGCAGCGGTCGATCTTGTAGAAAGCACTGGCGAGGCACCGCCACTCCCCCATTCTTTCTGGCAAGAATTGCAATTCTCCATGTGCTTCTGTTGGAATCGCACCCGCGATGCCTCGCTGTGGTTGATTCTTGTTGCAAGATCGTGCTCTTCAGCTAGTCGTCCATGGTTGTCGAAAACGGAAACATGTTGTACGTCGAAAGCCGATGCAGTCAAGGCGTCGGTGATTGACTGATAGTTGATGATCTTGCTGTTAAATACAACCCGTATAGTTTGGCTTATTAGGGACACCTCGTTTGCAGATGAGATTCCTAGCAGGTGAGACAGGACGTCCTGGACGTAGGAGACACAAGACGGACAATGAAGGTTCGATGCGAGAAGTATTACCGAGTTCATAGTGGATGTGTGCAGGCAAGACAAATATGATAAGGCAGAATAGGATGATGGTGATAGAGTTGACTATTTAAAGTCACTGGCGGGCAGACCCCAACAGTTGCACAAAGACGCAAACATACTAAACGAACCAGCGGCATAATCAGGAGAGCCTTCGGGAGCGTTCGATGGTTTGGATAGAAAGCAAATGTTAGAAAGCAAATGTCGTTCTTGCGCATACTTGCCGCATAAAGCGCGCAGTGGATCTGACGTTGGGTGCGTCGCCCTTGGACCTCACAAACCCAGTTTTGGTCACACGACGCTTAGTACCCGCACAAAGCGCGCAGTGGATCCGACATGGTGTTCCCGCACCCCAGACCTCGCAAAACGCGCTCCGGCTAGACGACATTTGGAGGTGGCGATGACATAATCCGCACAAACATCGCATTCTCCATAGGGAAGCCAAGACAATCCTAGTTTGTCATCCTCAATAGGGTCCACGGTCGCATCAAGTCTAGAAAGATCCGTTTCGTCCTTAGGAGGCCTGGCTTAGGCTGCACCACGCTGTTGAATCATCCTGCCAACCACTCTCGTGAAAGAGTAGTATTTCTCTTGACATCGGTCTGTTGCCTTAGCTCGAGATCTAAAATGTTGATCGGCGGGGAGAAGTACGCATGCGATGCATGCGTGCGCACCGGGCCAGTAACTGTCAGCACTCTGGTAAGTTGACGTTTTCCCTGGCGAGCTTCCAAACCCATCCATGGTTTCCGCTAAACAAAATTATTATCTCTTTTCAGATCGCCCGCTTGTACATATCAGCAAACAAGGTCGCCCACACTCACAATGCCCCCATTGTCGAACGCTGCGAAAGTCACGCTCGGCCCATGTCAAGTGCGACTGTGGAGAGAAGATCAGTGGAAAGAAAGCTTGCACGCATGGCGAGGACAGCGAACTCCCACGTGAGTTATTCATAGGAATCACACTAATTCCGTATGATGTATCTAATTTGAATCTAGCGAACGCATGCTGTTGCAGTCATGGTGGCCGATGCTCATGCGCCTCGAAGAAGGAATTAGTCTAACCTGTTCTTGAATATCGTACAGACGAGAACTCTATATCGACGGCTTCTGTAGACAGAAGTCTTCGTCCGCATTATCTCACCATTTTTTCGGTAGATCCCTTCCCACCTTTTGCTCACGATCATCAGATGCCATTCTACCTAGATATGGAAATAGCAGTCGCTAGTGGATTATCCTGCGTGGTGCCGGAAATCGGCTCGAACTATACGTCCTAGTTAAGCCTAAGAAACACCCCCCCTAATTTCCGTTGATTTTTAAGCACTATTAGCACTTGCCTTAGCTTTCTATACGTTTAAAGTCTATTAGCTAGTTCTTACTAGGAGCTAAAGTAAGCTTAGCAAATATAGAACACTAGCCTTACTAATTACATCGTTATATTATACTAAGCTTAGGCCTATCCATTATTGTCCTATCTAGTTAGTACAGTCCGCGGGTTTAGGGCCAATAGCAACCCCGGTCAAGTTGTGGAAATTACGCGAAATGGGCACCCCGTGGGTTACAGCCCGCAGGTTTTCATATTACCCTAGAAAACCCGAAAAAAGACGTTAAAAGGTCAGTCATTAAGGTAAGTGGCCCCGTAGAGTCGATTCCCATCATTAGAATGTACAAATTCCACGTTTTTTGCGTCGTTGGGGTTAGGGTTGACGTTGGGGTAAGTCACGTGTGTGGAGATGAGGATTTGCATAAGCCATGTAAGAACAAGGAACGCGGAACACATCTAGCACCCCGAAATCAATATAAGACATAAGACGGGAGAAATAGAAGAAGAAATAAAAGGGCAACATAGAGGAAGACCATAAAGGGTATATTAAAGGTATAGTTGAGGAAGGAGAAGTATAGAGGCAGAACCCTAGAACTAGAAACATGGACTAATTTTTAATTCATTTGCCCGAATTCCACGTTATTGTGTGTAAAAAGTGCTAATATGCTATATTACCTAGCTAGATCGATGCACATTTTGCACCCTAGATACCCCGTAGAGAGAAGAAGGCGACTAAGAAACCCCATAGGTTAAGTAAAGCAACGCGTGAGAGAATTAAACAGGATGTAGCCTAGATTGAGGGTTTAGTCCCTAACCCCGGAGCATTACACTAGAGTGAGTTCCCGTTCCCACTACTAACAGTAGCACCCATTCCCGCATTAGGGTCACCTAAGACCAATGCGATGCAATGTACATTCAAGATAGGCGAGGAAGAATGCCGATATATATGTTGTTCGCTATAGCAGATGCGAGAGCATTGCGGGAATGTTCATTAATGGAAAAGCAAAGAGTAGGGAGGACGGCCTAGAAAGGTCAATCCGCAACTAACCCCTAGAGTGCTATGGCAGACCGGAATCCATTACTAGCGGTTTTTTAAGCAGGGACACAAATCATAGTATTTCGAGGTCTAACCCGTCGAGACAGGGCCACGCCTAACCCCACGAATGGCGTCCTAGGCAGACTAGTTTAAGGCGGCTAAGCAGGAGATGTAGAGGGCGTTCGAGAAGGCTAAGGAGGAGGAGAACTGGAAGATTAAGGAGACTGACGAAGCTAAAGAGCTGAGTCTATGGTTGAGACGGGTTAGGTGCATCCCCCATTTAGCCGGCATCGACCGTAAGGAGGTGCGAGAGTATGTTGAACTGGTCGATGGAAAGGACGAACCCTATTTGGCCATAGTGTGCATAGCATTCAAGTGGTTGATTTAAGACGCACAGCACTATGCTGTACGCAAGGTCGTCGGGATACAAACGTTGTTCGAGGCAAACAGGAAAGAGGTGGATAAAGAGACGAACATGCCGTTTAATAGTTGGATGGACATCACGACCATTGAGCGGTATGTTAAGGTATAGAAGCAATTGTTATTGTTCGTGTTCTAAGCCGAGGATGATGAGGCCGAGTTCCGACCCCTGTACGTGTTGACTGAGGCGTAGCAGTCGGCTATGCAAACCGTGAGAGATAAAATTTAGGCGTTTTAGGGGTAGAAGGGGGAGCAGGAGAAGAACGCGGTGGGCGAAGACCGTAATGAAGACGAGGGGTTTAATGATGGGGAGGATGACGAGGGGGTGGAGGGCGTCAAGGGGGCGGCCGAAGAAGTCGATGAGGGTTTTGAGGATGAGATGTCTAAAGAGACCAAATGGATGCGGCAGATCTAGTGGGAGGTATTGCGGTTTTGCATCACGTTGTTAGACCACCCGTTACAAGACAATGAGTACTAAAGCCCCATCATTAGCGGTTTGGCCGTTTTGATGATAAAGGGGGACAAAGGATGGCACGATGCTGAGGATTTCACCACTAAATATTCAGCAGTGATTAAGTTGGCACGGTTGATGGTGGTTCAGGAGGCGTACGAGCAGAGGTAAGAGCAGATTCGTACGTATTAGAGCGAGATGACAGAGGTTAAGGCGCGAAAGAAGGCGACTAGTTATTACTGGTTAGTTAAGTAGTTTGTCGCCTAGTTTACGACCATGGCCTACGGCGGCTGCGATCCCACGCCTATGCAGTAGATATACTAGACCCGTTCGTACGGATTCAAGATACGATACACCACGCTAGCGGCTAGGAAGATCTAGTGGATTCGAGATGAGGTGTTGTACCCTAGCACCCGTGTCTAGATGTCGCAGTTGCGGAGCATAGTGCATAGATTGATTGGAGAGGCGCGAGACGAGTTGTTTAGGAAGTTGATGGTGGTCACGGATGAGGGGGGCGTACCTAGTATCGATTAGGACAATACCGTCGACTAGCCGTCGGAGACTAAGGTTAGTTGGTCGTTTTTGGATGACGAACGAAACAAATTCGGCGCCTACAAGGAGTGGTGGTTGTTTGAGCGGATATACTAGGAGCAGGCGTTACGGGAGCAGTTTTTAGACGACGACGGTTTGTTGAAGCCTAGCGCGGGTGAAGCATACCAACAACACGTAGAGCGGTTTTTAGAGTTGTTGTTGATATTGATCCATTTATGTGCCGGGCAGCCTAGTCGTGCAACAGAGATTTTAGGGTTGCAGTGGAAGAATACAGCGAACGGGGGCGTACGAAACGTCATCATAGAGAACGGGTTAGTGGGTTTGGTCGGCTAGTACCATAAGGGGTACCGTAGCAGTAGCAACATCAAGATCATCTACCGGTATTTACCCTAAGAAGTTAGAGAGTTGTTGGTATATTATTTGTAGATTGTGTTGCCGTTTTAGGAGAAGATTTAGTTCTAGATGACAGGAAAGGTCGTGTCTAGCGCATTTTTATAGGGGGATGCCGAGAAGAAAGAGCATCGTTAGTGGACAGGTCTAGAGAGGGGAGGGGGTATGAAAAAGGGGAAGGGGAAGGGGAAGAAGGGAACAAAAGAGGAAAAGGAGAAAACCTAGGAGGAAGAAAAGGGGCGGCGAACTAAATTGTCATGGACATCCGAACGGGTGCGGAAGATTATGCAGGACGCTAGCAATCGATGGATAGGAAGCTAGTCCATATTAAGCATTAGTGCGTGGCGCTAGATTGCCATTGCCATATCACAGCAGTTTTGTCGAGAAAATCGATTCGAGGACGAGAGCGGAAAGTGGGATCCTGATGAGAATTGGGATGAGGATAATGCGGCTAGCGACGATCCGTGGGATTTGCAGGCTGGGCATAGGACGCATATTACGGGCATGATTTACGCCTGTGAGTTAATGGAGGGCAATAATACCATCATCAGCCGTTGGGAGAAGTTTCGATAGGTAAGTTGTACGTGGCATCGGTTTTTAGAGTTTGCATCCGCGTGTTAGGGAGACCCTACGCGTGGGAGCAAGCGCAAGCGTCCATCGTTTAAGGACGAGATGGACGAGGTGTAAGCCTAGCGGTAGAAGAAGTTGCGGACGGTCGACATCTAGTAGGCATTAGAAGAAATGTTTAGGGCGGGCACGCAGTTCCGTGGGTTGCAGAAGCCGGCGTTAGAGGCCATTATGAAGCACGAGAGCCCCATATTGGTGGTGATGGGGACCGGTGTAGGGAAGTTGATGTTATTCTAGATTCCGGCAAAGAGCGTGTCATCCGGGACGACGATTGTCATCACGCCGTTAGTGTCGTTGTAGGGCCATATAGTTGAGCGGTGTTAGTAGGTTGGGATTTCGTGTACGAAGTGGGATAGTCAGCGCATGGGGGAAATGCAAGCATAGATTGTCATCGTCACACCCAAGTTAGCGGTTAGCAAGACGTTCGGTACGTTTTTAAATGAGTTGCAGGGTCGTCGGGAGTTGGTCCGCATCGTGTTTGACGAGTGTTACACCGTTATAGACAGCACGCCCGATTTCCGGCCCTAGATGCAGCAGTTAGGGGCATTATTGACGCGGGAGGTGCAGATGGTGTTTTTGACAGCCACGTTGCCGAAGCATACCGAGCCCGAGTTCATGCGGATTATGAAGATTAAGCTAGAAGAGGTGTAGACGTTTCGGGGACCTACGACGCGGCCTAACATTGCGTATTCCGTTCACGAGTATGCCGATGAGAGCGATGAGACGGGGGCCATTTGCCAGTTAGTAGGGGAGAAGTTAGAGCAGTACGCGGCGCCTGCTAAGATCATTGTGTATGGGGGAAGCATTGAGCGGACGTAGGAGTTAAGTAAGGCATTAGGTTGTCACTAGTATTATCGCGAGGTAGGAGATCGAGAGGAGAAGGGGGCAATCATGGAACGGTGGCAGCGTGGCGATGGGCGGTTGATTGTAGCTACAAACGCGTTTGGGTTGGGAATCGATGCCCCTAATGTCTAGGTGGTCATTCACGCTAGGTACATTTACTAGATGCAGAGTTATAGTTAGGAGAGCGGTCGTGGTAGGCGGGATGGCGAGCGGAGTGAAGCCATCGTTGTGATGCTGGCCGGCTGGTAGGAGGAGTTGCAGAAGAAGATAGCACGGGCCAAAGCGCGGACACAACCGTAGAAGATCTAGAGTCGCGTGATGCGGCCGTAGGAGGTCAAGTAGGTTGAATGGGAGAAGATGGAGAGGTTTTTAAGCGGCAGTAAGTGTCGACGGATATATTTAGATAGCGAGATGGACGACCGATAGGACTAGAAGAGGTGCGAGGTGGGGGAGGAGCGATGTGATGTATGTGAGAAGGATAATGCTATAGTTGAAGACGCAGAGGCACGACGGGCGGCATACATTAAAGAGCAAAGAGCGAATCGAGAGCAGGTAGCATAGGCCGAGCGTAAGGGACAGAGCCGATGGGTAGACAGCGGAATCGCCGTCCCTAGTAGCAGCATAGGTATTCTAGCGCCAAGCAGTGAGGTTTTAGTTCCTAGGAGTGTCGTTGTTGCTAGTCCCTAGCCATTCACGGACTAAGATATAACGTCGTTTGAGGAGGGCCATCCCATAGCCTAGTCACGTTGCAGTTCCGTTAGTTTCGATTAAGGGTTTGCAGCCGACTAAGATGCAGCTGGCGAGAGCCGTATGTTCGAGGCCTAGAAGCAACAGCGAAGTTAGTAACGATGGCGAGTCGAAACCGACAGCTAGCGGGAGGGGCATGAGGTGTGGAATTTAGAAACCTAGTTGGATTCGTAGGTAGGCAAGTGCCCGTTATGTTACACCCGACAGTGCTAAGGTTTAGATGTTGATGTGCGGCATACATTAGAGAATTGTCCCGATGAATCACAGACGAAGGTGATGACAGAGATTAAGGCATTAAAGACGATCCGATTTGAGCTATATGCTAGTTGTACGTTTTGCATAGTGGCGCAGAAGGTGTGTACGCGGT